GGCACGAACCCGTGTCCCCTGCATCGGCAGGCGGACTCTCAACCACTGCGCCACCAGGGAAGACCGGTGCTCTTTTTTTTTTCTTAAGTTCCTCTTTGTTTTCTGGTTAGAGTAATTTTTATTTCTCCTCACCTGTGTTGAGCCCACTGATGAGCCATTGAAGGCACTCTTTATCTCTGTGACCATGTTTTTCTCTCTCATACTTTTCATGTGTCTGCTGAACCTCCTCATTCCTTCATGCACGTTGCCCACCTTTTCCACCAGAGACTTTAGCATATGAACCATAGTTACTTAAAATTCCCTGTGTGACTGTCCCAACATCTGGGCCACATCTGGGTTTGGTTCTGTTACCTACCTTGCCTTTTAGGGATGGGTTGATTTTTTTTCTCCAGCTTCTTTTGTCTGTCTCGTAATTTTTGATTGCATGCCCAACATTGTGTGTGGGCCAGGAGAGTCTGAGGTAGTGTTCATGCCTCCTTCTCTGCTCGGTCATTAGTGGGGTGGGGGGGTGAGTCAGTTTGGTCTGGAGTTGAGCTGGATTTGTGTTTCAGTGTGCTGTGGCCACCTTCCACACAAGACTCCTCCAGCACTGCCCTGTGCTTATGGTGGGGATGGGCTGCTGAGGGATTTTCTCAGTGCAGCTGCCCACTCCCCGCTTACAGCCTTCCTTGCCTCTGCACACTTTGGCCTCACCCGGAGTGGTGGCTGCTGTTACTATCACTCAGCACTTGTTAGCTTGGTGGTGATGGGAGCGGTGTTTTCTGTTGTCCCAATCCAGCCTCAACGATGGTCTTTGAAGCTTTCCACATCCTAGATGCAAGTTAAATTTGCGAGGTGATTTCAGGTGAAACAAAGGCAAATTTTAAACAGATTTCTTTAAGTTGTTTCATATTTAGTTTATGATACAGGAGAATAATGAATTTCCATTTATATTGGCACATACAGTTTTCTTTTAAATTAGATTTTGGTTTTTAAGAAGTGATTAAATTTAACGGAAAATAGTCCCTAAATAATGCTGATTATCAGTGGAGGCTGGGAAGGCACACGCACGAGCGATGTTTTGGAAACTGAGCTATGGCCCATTTCTGATAGAAGGTCTCACCCGGCACAGGAGGCACGCAGGTCATGACAATGGCATGTTCGATGTGCTTCAAATAGCTGCTTTTCATCGTTCTTTGAAGCAGAAGGATGAGGACTGCGACGATGGGCAGGGAGGGATAGCTCTGGTGTGCCTGGGGCACGTGTACGCGTGTGTGGGTGTATGTACGTACGTGTGTGTTGAAGCTTCTACGACCTACTTCCCCTGGCAGCCCCATCCAGGGGTCTGGCATCTTGAATCTGACACACTCACGTTTGAACTCTGAGCCCCTCCTGTTATTGCCTCTCAAACCGTCCTCCCAGTGTCTCCACCTCTCAGGTGAGGCGTGTGTGTATGTATATGATGCACGTGTATATAAGATGTATGCATGGGTATATGATATATGGATGTATGTATATGGTGTGTGTACAGTGTATGTATGCATATGATGTATGTTTGTATGATGCATGTGGGTGCATATGACGTATGTGTGAATGATACGTGCATGTGTATCTGATGTATGCATGATGTGTGTATATGATGTATGTGTGTATGACGTGTGTACGATGCATGTGTATGATGCGTGTATGTATGATATATGTGTGTACGATGTGTGTATGTATGATGCATGTATGGTGTGTGTATGTATGATATATATGTGTGTGATGCATGTGTATGTGTATATGATGTTTGTTTGTATGATGTGTATCTCTGCCCTCCCAATGGCTCGGGTTAGAAAACTCTGCACTTCTTCCTCACCTGGCAGATCAACCTTCGAAGTAGGAACCGAGCTCATCACTTCTCTCCATCTCATGACCCCCGCGCTGGTCACGCCCCCTGTCCGTTGCCCAATAATGGCCTGAGGCCATGTCCCTGGCCTCTGTGCCCTGCCTTTGCCTCCCTACAGTCTCTTTTCAACCAGCTGCATAGCTCATGATGTGCACCCGCTGGGGCCCTGCTCCCTTGGCGTGGAGGCCGAGGGCTTCACAGCGCTTACAAGGCCACGTGGGTACTCCCCTCCCCTCCTAAACTGTTGCTTAGTGCACAGTCGTGTGGGTCTCTGGCAGTTCTGGTCTCAGCCAGCCTCTCCCCCTTGTTTACCTCACTGCTGGGTAGTCAGCAGCTGGACGGCCTGTGATGGCCTAATTTCCAGGTCTGGCAGCAGGCAGGCTGCTGGCCAGGGCATGGGACTGCTGGCTGGGCGGCCACCTCTCCTCCACGTGGGTGGTCCTCAGCAGGCTCGCTCACGTGTGTTCCTTGGAGGTACCTGGCTCTCAGCACCAGCTCCTTTCAAACTCCTGTTTGTGTCACGTCACTCCTGTGTCATTACCAGCCCAAACGGAAGGGACGGAGATGGGGGGAGGACTCGTGGCTGCTTTTTGCAATCCCCAAGGGCCACGTGCTGTCTAGCAGGGCCACCTCCAGTGGACCCTTGTTTACGCAAGTTTAGCAGCCCCCAACCTGGGTTGGGCAGCAGCAGTTATGCAGGGTGGTCATGGCGTGCATGCAAACTTGAAAACTTGGAGTTTCCAGCCACGTGGAAGCAGTTCAGGAGGTGGCAGTGGTGCTCTTTGAGGGCATCCTGCACCCGCAAGGTCTTCACGGCCGATGGGACCATGATGTGTGAAAACCCGGACACTGAGACACGGGGCTGCACAGTGATTGTGAGATAACAGAAATGCATGTCGGTCTCTGTGCCTATCGTGGCACAGACCCCGTGAAACCCCTGTAAATTCCTAAGTGGGAAGAATGCTAGGAGCATCTTTTTCTCTAACAGGTGGACACTGGGTGGGCTCCTGGTTGGCTCCGGCACAGGGGCTGAAGGCCAGAAAGGCCAAGCCATGCTTACAAGCCTGGGATTTTCAGCCCTCCTTCCCCCTCATCCTCCAGAGAGGGGAGAGAGACTGGAAATGGACTTCCTGTGTGTGACCCTTGTGGGTGCGACCCCTGGCTGTGCTCGGCCGGGGTGAGCGGCGCTGTCCACCAGGCGGCCTCTCGTTTACACTTAATTGAAGTCAAGGCAGAGCAAGCCTCAGCTCCGCAGTAACACCGCCGCCCCGGGTTCCGCGGGAGACGAGGGCGCAGACTCGTCCTATACGGTTTCCAACTGGCAGCGCGGTTTTAGCGTCTCCCTGGATTTGGGTTTGTCGGATTGCTTCTTCATGCCCAGCTCTGGGTCATCTCGACAGGACTAACGCACAAGGGATGGCACAGTTTTCTCGCCCGTGACGCCGTTTGAATCAGCACCGCAAACCTCCAACGTCAGTGCTACCTACCTGGCCCAGGCGTCAGTCAAACCGCGCTCCCGCCACCACCAAGATGGCCGTCGTGCGGCGCCACCAAGATGGCTACCGAGGCTCCGCCCTGAAGGGTGCGGCCGGGCAGCTGGCAGCCAATGGGCGCGCGCGCCTGTCCGCGGCCAATGGGAAGGAAACGCGGGCCAGAAGCCGAGAGACGTTGCCCGTGGCTCGTTCGCGACATGTCGGCCTCCCAGGCGCGGGGCGCTGCCTCGGACCTGGGGCAAGGGGGCTGCAGGCGGGCCTGGGTCGAGCTGCTGGGTAGGTGGGCGCGGGGCCCCAAGACCCCTTCCTGCCCCAGCCTCCTTCGGCCCGTCCCCGTTCCCCCCTCACTGCGCCCCGATCGCGGCCCGTCCCCGCCTCACCTCGACCCCCGCCCGTCCCCCCCTCACCTCGACCTCCGCCCGTCCCCCCCTCACCTCGACCCCCGCCCGTCCCCCCCCACCCTGACCCCCGGCCCGTCCCCCGCTCACCCCCGACTCCCGGCCTGTCCCCGCCTCACGCCGACCCGTTCCCGCCTCACGCCGACCCCCGCCCGTCCGCCCCCATCCCGGCGCCTGGCCTGTCCCCACCTCATCCCCGCCCGTGCCGCCTCAACCCCCCCGCCCTCCTCCTCCCCCACGCCCACCCCGAGCTGTCCCCTCCTGGCAGCCCTCTGTCCACTCTGTCCAATGAGTGGCCAAGAGGGGTGTTTCCAGAAGGTAGGGAGTTAAGATTCACTGCCCCCCGCCCCCAGTAGCCTGGATGACAGTAACTGTTCAGCTCCGCTTAGCCCCAGAGTCGCGTAACCTCTTTGAAAGGATCAATCCCAGGAAACTAGCGTTGGTACCATCCTGCCAGCGATACTACACTTTACTCAGGTTTCACCAATTTTCCCCATAATGCCCTTTTTCTGACCAGTCTCCCGCGTGGCAGTTACTCCCGTCAACTTGGTCTCCTCCAGAGGGTGACAGTTCTTGGGTCTTCCCGACCTGGATGTTTGGAGGAGTGTCCCTCAGTTGGATGTGTCTCAGGATTAGATTAAGCTTGTGTGGTTTTGACAGGAATCCCATGGAAGTGACATTCCCGGGTGCGTCACCTCCAGGGGTACAGGGTGTCACGATGTCTCCTTGCTTGAGTTTTTAAAGAGTGCTGTAATTTTTTGAAACTGATTTTCTCCCCTAGCGGGAAGGGTCAAGAGGCAGAAATTGGGTCCTGAAGGTGAGCAGAAGGTCAGGGAGTCGGCTGTGCGCCTCCTGAGGAGCCACCTAAACCTGGGTGACCTTGTGCTGGAGGTGAGTGGAAGTTGGTTTCGCCTTTGCCAGCACATTTGGGTTTGGGGATTTGAGCCCAGCAAAGCATCATATTCATGAAAGACGCCTGGCAAGCCTCGTGAGTATCTGGGAGAAGCACGCATTAAGTTTGCTGTCCAGGTGAGAAAAGTAACCGGGAGCACGTATCTATTTGGAGGTAAAACAGTCCGGAGAGGAATCTGGTAGTTCTCAAAGGCTTCAGTAGGTTTCACCTTTTAAAATGCTTCTTTACCTCGGAATATTTGGGAATAGCGCAGTAGGCAAGCACTGTGGACACTGGGTGTTTTCAGGACATGGCTTGAATTTTAAAATGGAGTGCTTGGTGTTTGGTTTCTAGGTAGAAGGTCCTCCCGGTAAACAGCTGTGTCTCAGCCGCTTGATTGATTATGATGGTCCTGGGGCCCACATTGACCTTTCCAGTTCATTGATAGGTAAGTTAGAGCTTCATTTTCTCAACAGATTGAGTTACGGATGAGCTTTATGTAAAGTAACTTTTAAAAAACAATTTTATTGCAGTATAGTTGCTTTACAATGTTGTGTTAGTTTTTGCTGTACGTAAAGTGACTTTGATTTGCTTATAACAAGCAGATGTGTAAATTCCCCCAGGTAATGGTTTTCTGCTTATATGTGTGGTCACCAGCCACAAGTTTTTGTGACTTGCTTGAGGCTTGTTATGGGGCTCTTGTTTAAAAACAGTGACTCAGCATCGGACTCAGAAGCAGTAGGAACCAAAGTTACCCTTGGAAAAACGGGACAGAAACATGCCCCTCGTTTCTGGAAGTGGTGAGAACAGGCTCTGCTGGGTAGGGAAGTGCAGCAGGCAGCCAGAGATACAGGCTGACCTGGGGAGACTGTGGTTTGGGTTCATACCACTGCTAGAAAACGGATATTGCAGGAAAGCGAGTCCCACGAATGTTTCGGTTTCCTGATGCATATAAACTTCATGTTTACACAATAAATACTGTAGTCTACTAAGTGTACAACAGCGTTGTCTAAAAAAGTGTACATACCTTAATTAAAAAATGCTCTATTATTAAAATTCGAAAAACTGCTTTATTGGGGCTTCCCTGGTGGTGCAGTGGTTGGGAATCCGCCTGCCAATGCAGGGGACATGGGTTCGAGCCCTGGTCCGGGAAGATCCCACATGCTGTGGAGCGTCTAGGCCCGTGCGCCATGAATGCTGAGCCTGTGCTCTAGAGCCCGTGCTCCGCAACGGGAGAGGCCACCGCAATGAGAGGCCCGTGTACCGCAATGAAGAGTAACCCCTGCTTTCTGCAACTAGAGGAGGCCTGCGCACAGCGGCGAAGACCCAATGCAGCAAAAAATAAATAAATAAAATAAAAAACAAAAAACCTTCCAAAAAAACCCGCTACTTTATGGCTAAAAATGCTAACCATCATCTAAGCCTTCAGAGATTCGTAATCTTTTTGCTGGTGGAGGGTCTTCCCTCAGTGTTGATGACTGCTGACTGATCAGAGTGGAGGTTGCTGAAGGCTGGGGGGCTGTGGCCTTTTCTTAAAACAAGACAGCAATGAAGTCTGCTGTATCTTCCTTTCACAAATCCTCTCTCTGTAGCCTGCAATGCCAGCTGATAGCATTTTACCCACAGTAGAACTTTCAAAACTGGAGTCAGTCTTTTCAAACCCTGCTGCTGCTTTATCAATTGAGTTTATGTAATAGTCTAAATCCTTTGTTGTCATTTCAACAGTCTTCCTGGCATCTTCATAAGGAGTATGTTCAATCTCAAGAAACCACATCCTTTGCTCAGACACGAGACGCAACTCCTCATCCTTCAAATTTTATCATGAGGTTGCAGCAATTCAGTCACTTCTTCAGGCTCTACTTTGTTTTTCAATTTTTGTAATTTTTTAAATTGAAGTATAGTTGACTTAACAATGTTTCAGGTGTATAATAAAGTGATTCAGTTATACATATATAGATCGCGCGCGCTCTCTCTCCCTCTCTCTCGATACACTTTTTCAGATTCTTTTCCATTATAGGGTATTACAAGACATCCAGTATAGTTCCCTGTGCTATACAGTAGGTCCTTGTTGTTTATCTCTGTTTTTTTGGTTTTTGTTTAAGATTTTTTGATGTGGACCATTTTTTTAAATTAAATTTATTTTTATGTATTTATTTTTGGCTGCATTGGGTCTTCGTTGCAGCATGTGGGCTTTCTCTAGTTGCGGTGAGCCGGGGCTACTCTTTGTTGCGGTGTGCGGGCTTCTCATTGCGGTGGCTTCTCTTGTTGCAGAACATGGGCTCTAGGCGCATGGGCTTCAGTAGTTGTGGCACGCGGGCTCAGTAGTTGTGGCTCACAGGCTCTACAGTGCAGGCTCAGTAGTTGTGGTGCACGGGCTTAGTTGCTCCGTGGCATGTGGGATCTTCCTGGACCAGGGCTCGAACCCATGTCCCCTGCATTGGCAGGTGGATTCTTAACCATTGTGCCACCAGGGAAGTCCCTGACGTGGATGAGTTTTAAAGTCTTTCTTGAATTTGTTACAGTATTTTTTCTGTATTATGTTTTGATTTTTTGGCCCCAAGGCATGTGGAATCTTAGCTCCCCAACCAGTGATTGAACCCGCATCCCCTGCATTGGAAGGCAAAATGTTAACCACCGGCCTGCCAGAGAAGTCCCTGTTTATCTGTTTTATATATAGTAGTGTGTGTATTTTAATCCCAAACTCCTAATTTATCCCACCCTGCCCCCCTTTCCCCTTTGGTAACCGTAAGTTTTCTACGTCTGTGAGTCCGTTTCTGTTTTGTAAACGGTTCATTTGTATCATTTTTTTAGATTCCACACGTAAGTGATATCATACCACATTTGTCTGACTTACTTCACTTACTTTGATAATCTTTAGGTGCATCCATGTTGCTGCAAATGGCATTATTTCATTCTTTTTTATGACTGAGTCATATTCCATTGAGTATATGTACCACATCTTCTTTACCCATTCGCCTGTTGATGGGCACTTACATTGCTTAGGTTATTGTAAGTGGTGTTCAGGCTCCACTTTTAATTCTAGTTCTCTTACTATGTCCTCTACATCTGTAGTTACTTCCTTCACTGAATTTTTGAACCCCTCAAAGTCATCCATGATGGCTGGAATCAACTTCTTCCAAATTCCTGTTAATGTCAACATTTTGATTTTGATACATCCTTCCCGTGAATCACAAATGTTCTTAAGTTCTTAATGACATCTAGAATGGTGAATCCTTTCCAGAAGGCCATCAATTCACTTTGCCCAGATTCACCAGAGCAGTCCCCGCCTACGGTAGCTATAGCCTTACGAAGTGTATTATTTAAATGATAAGAGTAGAAAGTTGAAATTCTTCCTTGATTCATGGGCTGCAGGATGGGTGTTATGTCAGCAGCCGTGAAAACAGCATGAATCTCATTGCCCATCTCCAACAGAGCTCTCGGGTGACCAGGTGCATTGTCAACGAGCAGTTGAAAGGACTCTTCTTTTTCTGAGAAGTAGGTCTCAACGGTGGGCTTAAAATAGTCACTAAACCATGTTGTCAACAGATGTACTGTCATACCGGTTTGTTTTTCCATTTTTTTAGAGCACAGGCACAGTTGATTTACCATAATTCTTAAGCGCCCAGGGATTTTCAGATGGTAAATGAGAATTGGCTTCAACTTAGTCACCAGCTGCATTAGCCCCTAACAGGAGAGTCAGCCTCTTCCTTGAAGCCAGGCACTGACTTCTCCTCTCTGGCTATGAAAGTCCTGGACGGCGTCTTCTTCCAGTAGAAGGCTGTTTCCTCTACATTGAAAATCTGTGATTCAGTGTAGTCACCTTCATGGATGATCTGAGCTAGAGCTTCTGGAGGACTTGCTGCAGCTTCTCCATCAGCACCTGCTGCTTCACCTGGCACTTTCGTGCTGTGGAGATGGCTTCTGTCCTTCAACCTCATGAACCAACTCCTCCTGGCTTCAGACTTTGCTTCTGCGGCTTCCTCCCCTCTCTCATCCCTCATAGAATTGAAGAGAGTTAGGGCCTGGCCCTGGATCAGGCTCTGGCTGAAGGGAATGTTCTGGCTGGTGTGATCTTCTGTCCAGACCACTCAGACTTTTTCCATATCAGCAATAAGCCTGTTTGGCTTCCTTATCATTCACGTGTTCACTGAAGTAGTGCTTTTAATTTCCTTAAGAACTTCTCCTTCGGCTTCGCAGCTTGGCTAACTGTTTGGTGCGAGGGGCTTTAGGTCTGTCTCAGCTTTCGACATGCCTTCCTCGCTAAGTCATTTCTAGCTTTTGAGTTAAAGTGAGAGATGTGCAACTCTTCTTTTCACTGGAACACTTAGAGGCCACTGTAGGGTTATTAATTGGCCTAATTTCAGTATTGTGTCTCAGGGAAGAGGGAGGCCCGAGAGACGGAGCGAGACAGGGGAGCGGCCGAGAGGTGGAGCAGTCAGTGCACACAGGATGTTTGTGGGTTAAGTTCACCATCATCTGTGGGTGTAGTTAGTGATGCCCCAAAACAGTTACAGTGGTAACATCGGAGATCACGCATCACAGATAACATGACAAATGTGATAATAATGAAAAAGCTTGAGATATTGTGAGAATTACCAAAATGTGACACAGAGACACCAAGTGAGCAAGTGCTGTTGGAAAAATGGTGCTGATAGACTTGCTGGGTGCTTACAGACCTTCAGTTTGTAAAAAGAGGCAATCTCTACAAAGTGCGATAAATCGAGGTCTGCTTGTCTGTTTCTAGGTCCCCCACCCCACTTTGAGAATACGAGACAGGGAGAGTTCTGTGGGAATAACAAAAATAAGTTATTTTCTGGTCTTTCACATTTTTATTATGTAATGACTGTCATTTCAGAAAGATGCAGTCGGCCCTCTGTATCCGTGGGTCCCACATCTGTGGATTAAACCAACCTTGGATGGAAATACTCAGGGGGGAAAAGAATTCCACAAAGTTCCAAAAAGCAAAACTTGAATTTGCTGTGTGCCAGCAACTATTTCCACAGCATTTACATTGCTTTAGGTATTATAAGTAATCTAGAGATGATTTAAAGTGTCCTTGAGGATGTGTGTAGGTTATATACAAACAGTACGCTATCTTGTGTAAGGAACTTGAGCACCTGCGGATTTTGGTATCCACGGGCGGCCCTGGAAGCAGTCCCCCTGGAATACTGAGGGACGACTGTCTTAACTAATTCACTAATTTGTTTTAAATTGCTACTCTGAGAACCCTACACCCCAGGCTTACGTCGGCAGCTGATCCCTGAAAGCCACAGTGCTGCTTCTCTCGGCCGGAATTGTACGTGGATTTCACAGACTGTGCACGGTGCAGGGAGCCAGCTCATCCACACACTCTCTTGTGTGGACTTTTGGATCAGAGCATAAGAACTTAGATAAGAAGCTCTTCACCTTGACCACAGAAATATAAGTAGACTTGCAACTTGTGAATTTTTCAGTTTCTCCTGCTGAAGGCGGTGGCTACCATACGTATTGGTATTTGTATAAAAATAAAAGCCTTGTAAATAAAAACAGGGATAAACTTTCCCATGGGCACAAATTGGAAATGAATGGCTAGAAATGAGCATTTTCTACATTTCTGCCGTGAGTTATTTCCTGACCACAGTGGTGGATAGTATCTAGTACTGTCACTTGGAACCTTTACAACTGTTGCACGTGTTTTCACTTCTGTAGTGGTCTGTGTTTCAAAGCCTTGAAGGTAATGGGCATGTGATACAGTTTCCTGGTTTTTTTAAATTAGTTTTGGAAGTCAAATAAGCTAGGAAACAGTTTTCTGGTGGCATCATCTATTTCCAGGCTGCGCAGCATTTCTCTTTGTTGAGTGCAGACCAGGGGCTGGTCCTCAGGGGGCAGGTGGCTGCCTGTGGGCCCAGCTTCCACCTGGCAGCCCAGGGACCGGCACATCTGTGGCATGCGATGCCTGCCATGTGTGTGGCTGGCATCAGGAAGCCAGACCCATGTCCAGTCAAACATCATCGTACGGTTGTGGGAGTGGTAACTATAAAAAACTGAAATTTGTTAAAAGTTCTCAATTTATTGTGCTCCTTTGGAAAGAGTTGCTAAAGTTCTTGGTCAGAATGTATCTGCCAAGCTCCCTTGTTTTTGTCATACAAAACGCACAGATGTGTATATGCAACCATGGGCTTCAGGTGCTGCCCTGATTCTCGTGAGCTTCTTCAATCAGACTGAAGTTGTCTTACTTTCATACCTCATGTTTTCCCCCCAGATCTCTTCTCCCCTTCAAAAGGCAATTTTCTGTGGTGCTAGAGCTTCGGAGAAGGCATTTAACCAATCTACTTCAGTTGTACATTTTGTTGTGTGTGTCTGTGTTTTGTCTCATCTTTAAGGCTCTGCTTTGCGCGACCAAGCCGCGCAGCTGGGTGTTCCAGCGGCTGTCCTGTGCAGCCAGGTGGTGGCCTCTGGCCTCGTGCGGGTCTGTGAGGCAGATGCGGTGCCCCCTCCCAAGGTGCTGCTGACACCGGACCAGAGGGTAAGACACAGCACGAGTTGCTATTCAGCTGTTTGGGAAAGTTGTTTAGAAAGCTGTTTAGAAAAGTTGTTTAGAAAGCTGTTTAGAAAAGATTTAATCTCTCTTTTCAGAAGAAACTGTCTTCCTTGTTTGAGATCGCGCAGAATTTATTAGCACAAAGCATGTTCTCCCGTCTTTCCTTCTGTCAAGAATTATGGAAAGTACAGGTAAAGTTGAGATTGTAACTGACTCTAGGGTTTTCAAGCAGTGTTCTGTTGATTTTGGTGGAGCCAGTAAAATCCCCAGGTTTTGTTAGGAATTCCAGCAAGCATCGTATTAATTACAGAGACTGGAGTGCCTCTGTGGATGGGAAAGAAGGACCATCAGTCACCATATTTGTCAACATTCACCCATCATTAGTAATGTTTATTAGAACAGACTGCACAGAAACATCATGCTTTGCTTTCTTAGGTATATTATGATGAACGATTTCCCAGGGTAGCATAGTAAACTAGAAAAATGTGATTTAAAGTGATTTAAAATCCTTCTCTTTTTTTTTGGCCGTGCTGCGTGGCTTTGGGGATCTTATTTCCCCTATCAGGGATTGAACCCGGGCCCCCTGCATTGGGAGCAAGTGGAGTCTTAACTGCTGAACTGCCAGGGAATTCCCTCATCTGTTCTGTTTTGAAACATTTTGAATTCAGTAGGCCTATAGATTTTTTTTTAATTTTAATTTTATGTTGGAGTGTAGTTGATTTACTGATTTTTGAACACTTCAAAGCTATTGCTTAGTTACTAAATGAGATCAGTTAAGTATATAGGAGAAGGAAAGAAGAAAACCAAGATTATGGTGCATTCATGGTTTTTTCCCCCCTTTTATCCAGCATACAGTGTAGAGCTCAGTTGACTATCAGGCGTTGGTATGGCCCCTGCACCCGTTGGTAACTAGCTAAATGGCCCTGGTGTTTGCAGGTAGCAGAGAAGAGTGGGCGGCCATGGCTGATTGGGTGGTTAGGAAGGGCTTCCTGGAAGGAAGTTCCTGGGTGAAGAGGAGGGCACTGTGGGCGTTGGGGCCGAGTCCGACGGGGGCTCCTTGTTCGAGGGGGTGGGCACATCAGTGCTATAGTCTGGAGGGCCTCCCTGGGAGGACAGACGAGAGTCTGAACTTTGTCCTGAAAGCTGGGAGGAGCCACAGAAAGGGTTCTAAAGAAGAGGAGAGATTGGCCTGGCCAGTTACATTTTGGAATCTTGTGTTGGCCATAGTGGACTAAGCTAGAGGCTGGGCAGAGAGCAAGCCTGAGCCTGAATCTGGTTGCAGTGGCGGGGGGGCGGGGTGAAGGTGGTGATGTGAGTGTTGAGAGGCTTGGTTTTCAGGAGAGCACGTGCTTAAGCACACAGGCTGAACGTCTTGTAGGAAAATGTGTGCGTGAAGGACTGACTCATAGTTCCTGTCATTTTCTGCAGAATTCTTTGCTGCTTGAAGCTGTGTGGCGCCTTCATGTTCAAAACATTGTAAGCCTCCAAGAGCTGCTGGAAAGGTATACCAGTGATTATTTACCATTAAACTAAATCGAACATTTAAGTTAAAAATTAAAATTTTATGTAACATGAAATTTAATTAATATTACATGATTTATTTTTTTCTAATCTAGTATGATTTATTTATATGTAAAGCCAAAAATCACCTAGAGAAGCAGTTGCTTTATTATTTAAAGAGAACATTTGTTATAATTGAAGTCTTCATCATGCACAGACTTGGTAATGTTTTCTTTGTATAAGATGTACAGTGCGATAAAATATTTTTAAAAGCTAAAAAAGAGACATTCAGGTAAATATGGCTGATAGAATGTGTGCAACTCTTACCTCCTGAAATCCCACCAACAGTCAGAAAGGGGGTTTTATAAAAGGAATAACCCCATAAGGTTGGGAGAGTCTAGGGGAGGAGAAGCAGGAGGCGGAGGGACGGGTGGTGAATGACTTAGCAAGTGAGCAGGCGGTGCAATGGCGCCAGGTGCCTCTGGGTGAGGGGGTGAAGGGGAGGGGGGCTCAGGATGAGCTGACTGAGAACACACATGAGGAGCATATGGAGCTGTAGGTGGATTGTCTTCTCTGCTCTAGGCAGCCAGGCAGTCAGTCCTCCCCTGGTCGACAGAAGGCTGGAGGTTTACGTGTTTATTCTCTGGTCAGGGAAAACAGACAATGTCTAGTTTGGGGAACTGTCAAGCACAGTTGAAAATGTTGTATTGAAACCGGTGGCAGCATGACACGTGGGTCACATCCAGAAGTCGTGGAAGATTGATCAGTTTGACTACGTGAAAACCGTATCTCCCAGCATACATGCCTGATGTCAGGGCTCCAGATACATGAAGCAAAACCTGACAGTTGGAGGGAGAGATGGACTTTCAACTGTGGTCATTGGAGCCTTCAGTCCCCCACTTTCAGTAACGGGTGGATCACCTGCTCAGACCAGCAACGACCGGAGACGAGAGAGAGCAGCATTCGCAGCTGGCGCCCGCGGAGCGCCCCACCCGGCGGTGCCCAGCGCCAGGGGAGGCCACCCGCTTCAGGCCATAAGCCAGGCTGGAGTAAGTTTACAAGGGTTGAAACCATACACAGCGTGTTCTCAAGTCACAAAAGAACTGCATAGAATCAACCAGAAGATTTGGGAAATCCATAATATTGGGAATTAAGCAATAGACTTTTGTTTTTAATAAATTTATTTATTTTCATCTTTGGCTGCATTGGGTCTTCGTTGCTGCATGAGGCCTTTCTTTAGTTGCAGTGAGCGGGGCTACTCTTCGTTGCTGTGTGCGTGCTTCTCATTGTGGTGGCTTTTCGTTGCAGAGCATGGGCTCTAGGCGTGCGGGCTGCAGTAGTTATGGCACTTGGGCTCAGTAGTTGTGGCCTGTGGGCTCTAGAGCGCAGGCTCAGTAGTAGTGGCACACGGGCTTAGTTGCTCTGCGGCATGTGGGATCTTCCCGGACCGGGGCTCGAACCCGTGTCCTGTGCATCGGCAGGTGGACTCTCAACCACTGCGCCACCATGGAAGCCCCACACATCCTGTTTTTATTTTAATTAATTAGTTAATTATTTTTGGCCATGCCGTGAGGCATGCAGGATCTTAGTTCCCCGACCAGGGATCAAACCTGTGCTCCCTGCAGTAGAAGTGTGGAGTCCTAACCACTGGGATGCCGGGGAATTCCCCACACATCCGGTTTTTAGAGCTTACTACAAGACTGTAATTATCAAGAAAGTGCAGTCCTGGCATAAGGATTGACATATAGATAAACAGTAGGATTGAGGATCCAGATGTAAACTCACACATTTATGGTCAGTTGATTTTTGACAACGGTGCTAAGACCATTTAATGGGGAAAAACGGTCTTTTCAACAATGGTGCTGGAACCACTGGACATCTACATGCAAAAGAGTGGTGTTGGACTCTACCTCACACTACAGATGGCAACTAACTCAGTGCATCAGAGACCTAAACCTGAGGGCTAAAACCATAAACCTCCTAGAAGAAGATCTGAGGGTAAATCTACATGACCTTGGATCAGGCAGGGGTTTCTTGGATATGACACCGAAAACTCATGCAACAAAAGAAAAAATAGGTCATTTAGGCTTCATCAAGTTTTAAAACTTTAGTGTGTCGGCCCTATCGAAACAATGAAAAGACAATGCATAGAAATTGTTTGCAAATCACATATCTGATAAGAACCTAGTATCTAGAATAAAAGAATTCTTAAACTTCAACAAGAAGAAAAATAATCCAATTAAAAAATGGACAAAGGATTTCAGTAGACATTTCTCTAAAGAAGATTTACAAATAGCCAAGCACGTGAAAAGATGCTCATCATCCTTATTCTCCAAGGAAATACAAATGTGACAGGTGAGGGCTCCCCCACCCCGCTCTGCGCCCAGACAAGGACTGTCCTGCAGGGCTGCTGCATTGCTGACGTCTAGAGCCCATTATCGCTACTCTCGCTATTTATTATTACTGAAATTTCCTTTTTCCCCCAAGAATAGTAAGCTACTCCAAATAAATAAACTATTTGAAAAAAGTGATGTTTTGTTTTTTTTTTTTGCGGTACGCGGGCCTCCCACCGCCGTGGCCTCTCCCGTTGTAGAGCACAGGCTCCGGACGCGCAGGCTCAGCGGCCATGGCTCAGGGGACCAGCCGCTCCGCGGCATGTGGGATCTTCCCGGACTGGGGCACTAACCCGCGTCCCCCGCATCGGCAGGCGGACTCCCAACCACTGTGCCACCAGGGAAGCCCAAAAGGGATGATTTTTAACATCAGTGGCAGCCATTCCTGATGCCCCTTGTACATCTGCTGGCCCTGTTGTGGCTTGGGACGGGAAGGCTGAGGTAGTCGCTCGGTTGCTGTCAGTGGAGTGAGTGTGAAAGAAAGTGGAATAATGGGGTCAGGTGAACTGTGTGCTTGTGCCCCCAGCCATGCCGACTCTCAGGCCGTGGTGGCCTGGCTCTCCAGGGACCTGCGCCTGCTGTGTGAGCAGACAGAGGCACCCTGTCAGCACACCGACGTCGCCAGGGCTATGCTTGCTGGTAAGTTCACGGCAGAGGTGGGTTCCTGGGTACAATTGCTTTAGACCAGTGGGAATGCTTTCTGCTGTGACGATCTGTGGGAAGCAGAGCGGCCCACACACTCCAACAGGAAGGCATTGCAGTCCGTACCTGTCGTTGTGGGTTTGCATTGAACTTGAGTTGTGGAAATGTCAGCTTGTTGACCCGATGGGTTGGGCCGGAGCTGGTGTGTTAAGGATGTGCACCTTGTGACCTGCTAGCAGAGGCAGGTGGCTCCCCCGGCATCCCAGCTCCCACTTTGGAGAAGCGAGAGTCCAGGGCTGATTTGACTGAAGACGCAGTTCCTAGACAATGCGCAAAGGACGTAGGGTCACAGATTGGTTATTTACATATCCCAGGGAGCTGGGGATGGGCCGTCCTCCGTCCAGGTCACAAGCGAGCAGGAGAGAGCACAGCAGAAGGCACCAGTGCTTGTATGGTGGCCACTGGCTTTCCACGGCTCAATTCTAGGTGGTGGTTTTACAAGGTGCCCGGGAGAAGCAAAGTGGGAGCTTGGGCAGGAATCCTTATTTGAATGTGGGGACTGTGGGTGAGCAGGGCTGCCCTGCTGTGGACGCCTGGGCAGCGCCACACCCTGTTCTTCTGTCACCTTCCCTTTCTCTCCGAGTCAGCAGGCCCGCCGTCACACATACCGAAGGAATGCAGTCCACAAGTAAACGGAAACCTAGATGGGAGGGGTTCCCTACAGTTAGTTGGCTTGTGGACTGTTTTTCTTTGCAAAAGGTGCATTCCTTTTTCCTAAAACTTTCTTGGTGATGTGAATTATTTCCAATTCCTGAATCCTGTAATCTGGTCCCAGATTAAGTTTAAATTGAAATTTGACAAAATCTTTTTAATTTCAGTCCCATTGGTCATAACCTTTTCAGAAGTTATGAGTCCATTTTCTGCCTCATTTCCCACAGTGTAATGCTTCCGAGCCCTAGAACCGTCTTTGTATGGTTGGTGTAGGAGATTGGCTGAGAGGAAGGCCACGTAAAACCCTTAGTAGATACTTTTTTGTTTTCAGTGAGAAAATCCTTCCTATAAACTTGATGGATTGTGTTTCCTTTTCACATAGAGTGTGGCTCGGGGAAGAGGCTGTCCTTGGCTGGGTTCGGTGGTGTGGTCGGTGGGCTCCCTGGGGCCAGGAGCCGGTGTCCCCTCAGCTCCATGCAGGTCCTCACTCTGCCGGCCCCTCTGAAGCTGGTGGTCTGTGTGATTCACAGCTGTTCAGAGACCACAGTGTATGTAAATGCTTTGGTTTTGTGGGTTTCAGATTTTGTGCAAATGCTTGTTTCGAGGGGATTCCAGAAGAACGCGGATGTGAGAGGAACCGTGGACCCGGAGTGGATGTCCCAGGTAGGAGGACACTGGGCCTCGTGGGGCAGCGGCTGCAGCACGAGAGGCCCACGCTGTAGTTGTCAGCTCTATACGGGGAAGTCCGCTTTGCTGTCACCACAGGGCGCTCCCTGAGTGCAGATGTGAGGGCACGGGCACGGGCCTGGACGGTGGTCTCTCCCCCACAGCTCTTGAGGGTAAAGCCCTCCCCATGGCCCAGATCCTGGGCCGTGCCTGAGGGGGAATCTGGAGATGAGCTCTTTGTAAAGTCCAGTCTTGCTTTACTTTGGGGTGACGGCTTGCTCGCTTGTGCCGCTGTGTAACTGCAGCGTTCTGTCCCCGCAGGTGGCCGTCGCTGTTCTCAAGAGGATGCTGGCTTGTGAGTGGCTCTGTGGCCGGGTGGCAAATGGCCTCTCTTGCTGCTTAGGGCTTCCTGTGGTTCGCCGCCTTTGCAGCTCAGTGCTGCTCCGGGGAGGCCTCTTTTACGGTTGTGATTGGGTCTAAACTCACCAACTTGCTTGTTTCTCTCCTGCTGTCAGTTTTGGTGGCTTCACACTTGATCTCCAGAGCACCAGAGGTGACCAGTTGAATGGTTCATTAGGGAAGCATTTTCTTGCCTACATATTGTGCTTGATTTTCAAGGCTTAAGTCTGGTACCACTGAGACACTTGGGATCTTGCAGGGCTTGTGCGTCGGGGGGTTCGGGGGCCTAGGAGGCCTGTGATGGCAAGGTGTCCGTTACCTGACTTGCCCAGAAGCAGTTGGTCGGGGCTGTTTATGATGGGTGGTGATGCTGTGCTGATGTCTCTTTTCTGCCTCAGCCGCGCTCGAAGCTTTGGCGGCCGGGATACAGGAGGGGTCCGCAGCACACAAGGCAGTGAGCTGCTGGTAAGTTCTGGGGGTGGGCCTGCCGGCTGAGTGGTCCCAGGAATGCTGGTCGCCCCCGAAGGCCCAGTGATCCTTTGCTATTGTGGTGACATCAGGAGCTGGAAAGCACTAGAAGTCCTCTGAAGATGAGGCCCTTCCTGTGGGAACCATGCCACCTCCGGGTCTGAGGGGAGGGGATCTGAGGGGTCCCAGCCAGGGAGACCTTGCCCGTCATGCCTGCCCCCGCAGGACCCTCCGCTTGCTCTCCTTGGTTCTGTGGAGGCGCATCCAGGTACTTGGGGACCGAACGTTGGGGTATCGGGTTTGCTTCAGAGTAACATGGGGTGAGGCCACCTGGACCTTGGCTCTGTCCTGGGAACCCGGGAGATTTCCCAGCATTTCCAGGCTTTGTCACTCTTTCCATTTTTCCATTATTTTGCTCCTGATTACCTCTTCTCCACGATTACTTTAATCGTCCTCAGACCTGCTGGGTGAGTGCTTCACTCATCAGCATATCAAACACTGCTCTGTTCTGTGGCTCATGCATGTTCACCATGTGCTAGTCCGTGCTCAGACTTGTCACGAGAGTCAGATCACGACTTCACGATTTTTATTTAGTTGCCAGCACTTAGAGTCAGACGTCCCCTCCCAATCTGGGTGGCCATCCTGCCTGGAGCCTCCGCACTGCACGTGTGACATGGGCAGTTCACGTGGCTGCTAGGGCCCCGGATTCTCTCCCCTGAGGGGTCGGGTGGGGCTGATCATGACACCCCGCTGTCGGCCCCGGTCTCCCTTTGTCCCTCCTGACCTGTCAGTGACATCCTGCTCCCTCTCCTTTTCTTGCTTCTCCTGTCGGGAGAAGGACGTCCTTGGCTCCGGGTGGGGTTGAGAGCCTCCATGTGCCGGGGCAGGATCAGGTGCTCAGTGGGAACCATGGCCCTGCCACCTCTGGTTCCCATTTCACAGATGGGGAGACTGAGGCTTTACGACTGTGCTGGGCCTGGGTCCAGCCACTGGCTGTTGTCACCGTGGCCTCCATCACCTCCTGCGAGGCCCAGCCTCCTGTGACCTCACTCTGACCTTCTAGCTTCTCCATGTGACAGCGACTCCATTGCCTTTGATTCTGTCCTGTTGAAGCGACGCTCCCCTGGATTCCATTTCCATCTGCGGCACGGCCGCCTGGCTGCAGGCCTGGCTGGGGAAGCGTGGGCAGGGCCAGCCTGTGAGCCTGAGCTGGGGGTCTGGAGTTGGGGGCCTGCAGGTCCCTGGCTGCTTTGCCAGCGAGCCGCTCCTCGTGCGTGAGGTGCCGCTGTCAGGTGCTGACACTGTTGAGTGGCGGAAGCCTGCAGGGGTCTCCTCCCCTGAGATCCTCTGCTGCATCTGCAGGTTCGGTGTGTTCAGTGGACACATGTATGGAAGTATAATTTCAACCGAGTATCCAAAGAGGTTCTTCTGTCACACTCTGACCCAGATCCTCACCCACAAGCCTGTGCTGAAAGGTGGGTCCTGGTGCCCTGGGTGCCTCCCTTGACAGAAGCTCGGGCCACGGATGTTAATGCTGGGAGGACAGTCCGTTTGTCATTAAATATCTTCTCATTTGAAAGCAACACTTTCCCGTAAAGAAAATTTAGAATTAAAGAAGCGTCATCCATTATTGCCAAAGTAGAATATCTTTAATATGAAGCCCTTCCTGTCTTTCTAGATAGGTTTTTAAAACAGTGCTCGTACTGTGAATTCCAAGGTTCTGTTTCTGCGGCTCACGTCAGCATTTTCTGTGTGGGTGCATGGCTTTCTGAAGGGTGTCTGACACCCGAGTCATCGTCTGCCTGACGCACTGTCCCGTGAGGGCTGGGCGGTCCGCGAGGCTCCTCATGGTGCCTTCTCTGTGGTGCTGTGTCCAGGGGCGCACGGAAGCCCCCGGCAGAGGCTGCTGCCCTCCCGGAGGGCCTGGCCTGGCTGATGAATGCTTTCCAACTGTGTCCTTTCAACACGTCCTCACTGACTGCTTATTCTTAGTGAAAGTTTAAAAGCAGCAAAATTAAAGTGTAACTGATGGGTTGGAGGATATTTATAGCAGATATGATCAAGGATTACCAAAGACAGACAGTTCATGACATAAAAAAATGGCTGGAAAATGGGGAAATGGTGAAGTTCACATACATTTGGAAAAGTGCAAATTAAAACAAGGTACTTTATTGATACTGGACTTTTTGATGATTACTGATGTGACATTATGTGTATTTCCTCCTGAATGAAGTTTCCGACGCTGTTCAGATGCAGAGAGAGTGGAGCTTTGCAAGGACCCCGCCTCTGCTCAGTGGCCTGTACCGTAGGGTAAGTGCACAGGGTGGGGTCCAAGACCTGCTGCACGGGCTCTGTGGGTCCCAGGAGATGCCACAGCCACGGCCGTCCATGGCTGGACCGCCGTCCGGGTCCAGAGACTGAACTTTTCACTTGGGCAAAGCACCTTGTCCTCAGATGAGAACTCCCTGCAGCCACTGCTGGCCGTGGGGGTCAGGAGGGCAGGCGTCTCGAGTCTAGGCTGGGTCCGATGCGGAGTGGGAGGGAGTGGGGGTCCAGCTTTGACACTTCGGTTTCAGCTCTTCGTGATCCTGAGCCCAGAGGAGCTGGTGGGCCACTTGCAAGAGGTTCTGGAGACACAGGAGGTGAACTGGCAGCACGTGCTGTCCTGCGTGTCCACACTGGTGATCTGCTTGCCAGACGCACAGCAGCTCGTTAATGGTGCGCGGGGATGGGAGCCCCGTTGTGTTCCGTGCGTGCGTGTGCGTGTGATCCGTGGACCGGCGTTGAGGCGAGCCTGCGGGCGGAATCGCTGTGTCTGGCTCAGTGAGGATGGAAGCCCTTCCTGCCTACCCAGCCGGTGCCCTCTGGACCGCCCTCTGCTGTCGGCCTGCCCGTGTACCCGCTGCTCGGCTGCGTGTGGGCCGCCACCCAGGGCCTGAGGGTCGGTGTTGGGTGAGCGGACTGTCCTGCCTGCCCCCGCACCCCCGTCCCAGTCCCCGTCCACAGCCGTGCCACTGTTCTCACCTAGGTTGGGTGTCGCGTTTGCTGACTCATGCGTTCGAGAGCTGTGACCTGGACAGCATGGTCTTGGCGTTCCTGGTTGCACGGCAGGCCGCGCTGGAGGGCCCAGCTGCCTTCCCGTCCTATGCTGCCTGGTTCCAGGTGAGCCGCCTGCGCTCCCGCTGGGGTCGGCTCTGCCGAGGCTGCTCAGATTCCCATCTGCCTCATTGAGCCTCCTGCCGTCTCTCACGAGAAAATGAGTGAAATCCAGTAGGAAAGGGTGAAAGCGAACACAGCTGCCTTTTTTTGCACAGTGTGCTGCGCTGTGATTGGTTTCACGTCTGTCGGGGAGCGCCCTCCTCTCTTGCCTGTTTCCCTCCACCTGTGCGTGTTTGCCCCTCTTCCCAGGCTGCTGAACCTGGCCGGGCCTGGGGGGGCATCTTTGGGACATCAGCTTTGATGGTTGGGCGTGTGTGGATTTGGGTTTACGAGCCCTGTTCTTTGCAGAAGCTTTGGGTGGTGTAGCTGTGGCCTCTTTGGAGAGCCCGCCTCTCTCTGCATCCACTGGGCTCTGTGCCTGGTGTGCCGTAGAGATGGTGGGCGTGGTTCTTTCTTTCACGGAATGAAGCTCCCTCCTGGCCCCGTGCTTCCCCCAGCTCCACACAGCGGGCCAGGGGCTCCTGCTGGACGCACGTGGACTCAGTGACTGCGTCCACAGTCCTGGCACTGAGGGACTTACCAGAGTCCACTCGGTGCTCCGAGTGTAGGTCCAGTGGTGTTGGCCTTGTGTGCTCGTTCTGATGACTTTGTGCCTGTCGTCTGACAGCACAATTGTTAAGAAGAACCACAGGGTGTGCTTTGGAGGAGGAGCTTCCGTGGGCCTCGTGGTGTTGCAGGTGGGCCTCTTGTGGCTGTCGTGAGGCGAGTGCTGGTCTCTGCAGGCTCATGGGGACATATTCAGGGCCGACACCTCTTCAGAACCTCCCTGCCCTGGGCACCCCCAGGCACCCCTGGGTGCCCTGGGTTCTATAAGAGTCCACTGTCCTGCTGCGGCCTGGGCACTTTGCCCGAGGGCCCACCCCTGCAGGGATCTCATCCGCTCACACGGGCTTGGAGCTGGAGTGGAATGAATTCACCTGTGAGGAAGGGACTCTCGCAGGGTGGTTAACAAATCCTGTCTCTAATGTTCATAGAAAGGCACCATATTTACCATTTTCTGCAGCAATATATTTTTAATTTTTTAAATAAATTTTCAGTCCGTCTGTTTAGCTAGGCCACAGCCATGCCGTCCTAAAAACAAATGAACTGAAATGGCTTTGCTTCCCTTTTTCTGCTGTTTTTGAGGCCGGGATGTAGCCACGGCCACCACGCGGCAGGTCCTCCCGTCGCCCCCACCTCATGCCCATTCTCCCCACAGGCCGCCTTCGGGAGCGCAAGGGGCTTCCACGGCTCCAGCAAGAAGGCGCTGGTCTTCCTCTTCAAGTTCCTGTCTGACCTCGTGCCCTTCGAGGCCCCCCGGTACCTGCAGGTGAGAGGCCGGCGGCACGTTCGGCTCAGGGAAGCCCCACAAGTGACAGTCACAGAATGCAAACGCCATCCTGGGGTGTTGGTGCACTCCTGGGGAGGCATGTTTCTTATAGTAAATGCCCAGAAACCAGCCGCATGTGGTCCTAGGAGCTGGTGAGTGAGCAAAGGGGGCCTGGTGCCTGCATAGAAAGGGGGCCCCATGCCACAGACACCGAAGCCAGCGAGTGCCCTGGGTCCCATGGTTGGTTTTTAAAAATGATATACTTTTATATATCTGGAAGAATCTGCCCCCAGTGGCTGTGGACGTTCCTTCTGGGAGTGGAAGACTTCACGCTCCAGTTTACGTTCTTTATCACCATGTACATTAGTCTCATGATTAGGAAGTGCCTTTCAGTGAGCTTTCTTTTGTAATCAATTGACTATAACCAGCATCCGCTTTGAGGGGTGGGGCACTTGGAAGATGAATCTCACCTTCTTTCTTTAATTAAGAAATGCGTTATTTCATTTCAAAGAATACACATGACGTAACTCACGCAGCCTGGAGTCTGGTCTCCCCGTGCATCTCAGTCCCTGCCGCCCCTCCCGGCCCCGTGCCGAGACCCTCACCCAGGACTCCGTCTGCCCCACCTCCAGCTGTGGCCCTGGGGTCTTTGGCTAATTCTTCAACTTTGTTGCTGTCAGTACGAGTGTCTCCCCCAGAAAGTCAGGACAGCTGACGGGCTGATGGACCTGCTCCGCCCTCTGCCCGCAGGTGCACATCCTCCACCCGCCACTGGTTCCCAGCAAGTACCGCACCCTCCTCACCGACTACGTGGCGCTGGCCAGGACGCGCCTGGCCGACCTCAAGGCGAGTCCCAGCCTCCCCTGCTGCCTGCCCCTCCTCTGTCTCCACGGAGGCCAGTGCCTATCTGGGTCCTCACATGCGCCTGTGTCTTTGCAGGTTTCTGTAGAAAACATGGGGCTCTATGAGGATTTGTCTTCAGCTGGGGACGTCACGGAGGTAATGTCCCGGGCTTGTCGCTGAGCGTCTCTGCGTGTCCGAGCCTTTTCTTTCTGGGCCCCGGTGCGTGTGCAGCAGCTGGGGTGAGCTATGCTCCAGGGCTTGTCCGTTCGTATCCACACTCTTCAGAGCAGTAGCGAGGGTCACCTTTTACAGGGATGCTTCTTCCAGGAGGTCCCCCTTCCCGTGGTTTCACGGACAAAGTGGTCTGTAAAACAGTTGGGGAAGGGCGGTGTCATGTTCTTCTAGGAATTACAGAAAAAAGTGTGAACTATATTTATGTAGACCAAATGTCGGATGGCCATATGCGGTGTGTGTGTGCTTTCTTAAGACACTCTTACTTCAAAGTTGCGAGTCTCTGGAGAGCCCTTGCTGTTGGACTGTTAGGCAAATACTTTAAGTTTTCTATTTAAGATTTATCGCTGTTCACAAGTTGCCATTTCATAATTTTTTTAAATCTCAAAAATTAGGTCTTGGCACCTTCCCACCTGAAAATCTTGCATTGGGATCCTTGTCTCTCCCAGAAGGGCAGCAGGAAGCGGGGTGGAGTGCACAGACACATGGAACCTGGGGGTGGCTGTGGCTCCCCGGAGGTGCTGAGCTCTCTGGGGCCGGGGCAGCAGCTGATCCCTCCTTGTGGTTTTGCTGGTATCAGGGCGTTTGTCTGCATGTCCGCTTGCTCTGTCATGCCTCTCGCCCGACCACAGAACCGTGGCCCCACTGTGCTCCTGCCTTTTCTTTTAAATCTTCTGTTTCTTTCCATCCTCCCCACTTGGAGCCAGCCCCGCTGCCAAGCGGCCCAGGATGTTGAGAAGGCCATCATGGTGTTTGAACACACGGGGAAGATTCCCGCCGCCGTCCTGGAGGCCAGGTGGGGTTACGCTGCCAGAAGGGCTGGTGGGCAGGTGCTGCCGAGCCCCTGCTGTGACATGAGCTCCCTTGCGGAAAGCCCAGGTGCCCCGCAGCACAGACTGTTCAGAGGGACCAGACAGGCCCTCCCTGTGGCCACGATGACTTTTCTTGTTCATGCTTCAACGGTGACCGTGTGAAGCCAGCACAGGGAGTTGAATAGCAAAATTTTGTTGAATTTGGTGTGACGCCAAAACACGTTGAATTCTGGTTGCTACCAGTACGGGGTAGCTGTGGGGTAGCTTTCTTAAGGCTTTGCCTCTGAGAAACGCTCACAGCTTCCAGCTCCCACGGTCGACCTCGTGGCCGCGGATGAACCCAGGTTCCAGGGCCGTGCATCTGGAATCCTCCAGACTCTCAGGGTGCAGGTGGTCACCAGCACAGAGTTCCCTTTGTGTGAAATGTCCCAAAACAGTGGGAAAGAAAACTTGAAAACGTGATATAATGTCATAGCCTTGAAACGTGACACCACGTGGCCCACGCTCTGGCCTGCAGGGACGGCCCTGGACGGTCATTGCCCTCACTGAGGGTCCTCTGGTCGAGGTGGGGCACCCCTGAGCCTGGCCTTTTCTGTTGCAGCATATTCCGGAGGTCCTACTACCTGTCCCACTTTCTCCCCGCCCTGCTCACACCGCGAGTGGTCAGTACACGTCGCCGTGAACGTGGGGCTGGGTCGGCAGAGAGAGGGGTCCCTGTCGGCGTCTCACCCAAGTCCTGTCTTTCCTCTCAGCTCCCGAGGGTCCCTGATTCCCGGGCCGCTCTCATAGAGTCCCTGAGGAGGTATGCATGGCAGCGCGGCTCGTCTGGGGGCTAACAGCGCAAGGAGCTGTGGCTCTTCTGTAGAGAAATGTGTTTTGTCACATGTATGCTTTACTTATAAAAAGTTGGCTCAAAATTAGTCGGTTAAATGTTAAAGAGAAAATTTCTTTGATTCTGGATATCACAACTGAGCGTTTTTCAATGAACTTTCAGGATGATTAGTCTGGGAATTAAAGAAAATAGTGTTTCTGCTACATAATCATTGGGAAAGGAGGAGAACTTAAGGAAAGAAGGAAAAGGGAGAGGTGAAAGCCTTCCACTGTGATGATTTGGGGAGAGTGGAGACCACGTGTAGAACGGGGGTCCCATCCCCCGCCTCACACTGAGGACCTCCAGGAGCAGAGAGGTGGTAGAAACAGAAAACGATAAACCCTGTTTTCCAGTGTCTTATGGGAAGTGATGGGTCCTGTGAGAAGATTGAAAAGATAAAGGGCCTAGAAAGTAAAAATAAGCTTTTTCATCTTATGATTAGGCCATTCTCTGGGATCCTTACTTCTACTTATTTTTGGCATAAGATATTCCAAAAGTAAAAAAAACACCCCTATGCCCCATTCGCATTAATATTTTTGCTATCTTTTCCTTTTTTTTCTTGAAATAGTCCAGATACATCTTACCCCAGGTCTCCGATCCCCTCCCCTTTTCCTCCAAGAAAATCATTATCCTGAAGTTGGTGCATAAATTTTTCCTCTATTTTTTATCCTTCTGTTTTATATGTTTATAACCGTAAATCATGTCCACACACAAACACACCACACAGTGTGCTCTTGTGTGTTTTCAAAGTGGATTTCATAGCAGTGTGTGTTGTTCTGTGACTTGCATTTTCACTCCCCCCCGCTGGTCGTGTGCTCTGGTTCGTTTAATGCTGTGTGGAGTTCTGTTGTGTCTGCAAACTGCCACGTCGCACCCCCCCGGGTGCAGGCCACATGCCTACGGAATAAATAGATGCACTCACCACCCTGGAGTTGGACCCTTGGGTTACTTCACGTTTATGTTCTGTTAGCGGTGCTTCAGTGAACACCCTTGGCTGTATCTCCGTGAAAGCTTGAAAATTTTGAGTGCAATTTCATTGATTCTATAGGTTAACTTGAGGGTATTTGGCTTTATTATGGTACTGAGTTTTTCCTTCCAGGAACACAGTACATCTTTGTTTATTCAAGTCTTTTACTAGTGTTTTGTGTTTTTTCTTTATAAAACTCTTGTAAATTGTTGTCAGCCTTGCTACTCGGTACCTAGCTTTCGTTGTGAACTGCATGTTCTTTTCTGGCTTCTTCATCAGCTGTTGCTGAGGTGTAGGTGCCCTTGTTTCCGTTAACTGTTGAACTTACTCCCAGTGGGTGGTGAGATTTTCTATGCAGTCACGCTGTCCACAAGATCAAGTTTGCCTCCTCCTGTCTGATTATTATGCCTCTCGGTGTTTGTCACTGTATTGGGTAGGATTTTAGTATAATGAGCAATCGTAGGAGTGAAAGCTGGCCTCGCGTCTTGTTCCTGGCTGAAACAGGCCTGCTTCTAGAGTTTTTCCATTTATATATATATATATATATATATATATATATATATATATATACCCTCCTTACCATATTAAAAGCGTTCCCTCTGTGAATTCGCTAAGGACTTGTAGCAGGAATTTGTGCCTTTTTTTTTTTGGCAACCCTTAAGATGATTGTGCTGTTTTCCTGTCATCGGCTATGTGATAATTACATTGATAGGTTTTTCCACTGTCTTTGCGTTCCTGGAATACCCCCTAATTGGTAACAGTTTTTTGTTTTATGAACTGCTGAATTTGGTTTACTGATACTTTATTTAGGGTTCAGGCATCTGTGTCTCATTCTGTTACACTCACCTTGGCTGCTTTGCCATTAAGGTATTTGGTTCCTCATGGAACGAACCAGGTAGCCTTCCCTCTTTCCTGTCCCCTGAAATAGTTTGTCACACAGGGATCATGTGTCCCTTAAGGTTTGGTAAAATCTGGCTGCAAAATCATCTGTTCCTGGTGTCTTTTGTGGAGGCAAAACTTTTGGCTGCAGACTCAGTTTCTTGAATGGTTATTGGTTTAGTCAGGTTTTTTATTCTCGAGTTAGCTTTTATATATATTTCTAAAAAATTGTCCATTTCATCTAAGTTTGCAAATCTATTGATGTATCATTTTTCATGATATTCTATTGTGATTTAAAAAATTTGTCTACCTCATCTGTACTTTTCATCCCTTAAAATTTTTTTCATGCTAGTGTTAATTTTTCCTTTTTTTATGACTCATTCATTACTTAAAGACTTGTCTGTTTTATTAATTTTATCACATAACCAGCTTTTAATATTGTGTCCTTCCTGCTGTTTTGGGTTTTTTAAATAAATTTATTTATTTTATTATTTTTATCTTTGGCTGCATTGGGTCTTTGCTGCCGTGCATGGGCTTTTCTCTAGTTGTGGCGAGTTGGGGCTTCTCATTGAGGTGGCCTCTCCTGTTGTGGAGCGTGGGCTCTAGGTGCGCGGGCTTCAGTAGTTGTGGCATACGGGCTCAGTAGTTGTGGCTTGCGGGCTCTAGAGCGCAGGCTCAGTAGTTGTGGTGCATGGGTTTAGCTGCTCTGTGGCATGTGGGATCCTCCCGGACCAGGGCTCGAACCCATGTCCCCTGCATTGGCAGGCGGATTCTCAACCGCTGTGCCACCAGGGAAGCCCCTCCCTGCTGTTTTAAAAAGTATCTTCTATTTGTTTTTAGATTTTAACTTTATTATTTACCTTTTGTTTTCTTTGGGTTTACTATGTTGTTCCTTTTATAACTTCTTAAAGTGGTGGTTTAATTTATTGTTTTATAACTTTCCTTGTGTTTTAAAACAGGCATATTTTAATAAATTTTACCTCCAGATATCACTTTAGCCGCCTTCCAAAAGTTTCAATGTGTAGTTCTTACACTGTCGGTCAGTTCTAAGTAAATACTCAACCATTGTGCTATGATTTTCTCATAATTTGTAAGTTAGTTTTAAGTAAATTTTAAAAAATTTTAAACATTTAGGTGTTTGCCCATGAGTTTTTATTGTTGAATTCCAATGTTAATTGCATGTTTCACAAAGAATATGATTCACTTTATATGGAGATTTTTCTACTTGTCAAGACTTCCTTTCAGAATTTGCTTGGAATTTGCAGACATTCCACGCATCCTTGAAAACAACACATGTCCTTCAGTTTGGGACTGTAGGGTCTGTCTGTTAAATTGTGCTTATTCTCAAGTTTTCTGTATCCTGAATAGTTTTCTGTGTCTTTGGTTTATCAGTTTATTGTGGAGGTGGTTGTGATTTTGTCAGTTTCTCCTTATAATTCTGTCAGATTTGTCTTGTTGCAAGAAAGTTTGTAATTGTTAAAATACAGGCTTCTCTTGCTGGGTGTTTTTCCCTTTGTTATTATGTAATGTCTCTGTTAGGCTTTTTACCTTAATTTCTGTTTTGTCTGCTATTAAAACCAGCTTTTTTTTTTTTGGTATTTGTATGGTATACCTTCTTAATTTTTTTTTTATTGGCTGCGTTGGATCTTTGTTGCTGCACGCAGGCTATCTGTAGTTGTGGAGAGCAGGGGCTACTCTTTGTTGCAGTGCGTGGGCTTCTTATTGCGGTGGCTTCTCCTGTTGAGGAGCATGGGCTCTAGGCGCGCGGGCTTCAGTAGTTTTGGTACATGGGCTCAGTAGTTGTGGCTCACGGGCTTAGTTGATCCACGGCATGTGGGATCACATGTCCTGTGCATTGGTAGGTGGATTCCCAAGCACTGCGCCACCAGGGAAGTCCCTAATTTTTTGACATATTTATTTCTAATCTTTAAAAAAGAGTTTTGTCAGAGTTAAATATAGATATAGATTAAAGAGTCCTGGCAGCAACATGGATGGACCTGGAGATAATCATACTAAGCGAAGTAAGTCAGACAGAGAAAGACAAACACCAGATGACGTCACTATGTGTGGAATCTAAACTATGACACAAATGAACCAGTGACAGACTCACAGACATAGAGAACAGACTTGTTGCTGGGGAGTGCAGGGGTGTGGATGGGGAGGAATGGAGTGGGAGTTTGGGATTAGCAGATGCAAACCATTATATATGGAATTGATAAACAACAAGGTCCCACTTATAGCACAGGGAACTATATTCAGTATCCTGTGATAAACCATATTGGAAAAGCATATGAAAAAGAATGTATATATATGTATTACTGGGTCACTTTGCTGTACAGCAGAAATTAACACACATTGTAATTCAACTATACTTGAATAAATTTTTTTTTTTTAAGTTAGATTAAAGAGTCAGATACTTCTATGAAGTTTATTAAGAGAAATAGCCAGGGGCTTCCCTGGTGGCACAGTGGTTAAGAATCTGCCTGCCAGTGCAGGAGACACGGGTTCTAGCCCTGGTCTGGGACGATCCCACATGCCGCGGAGCAACTAAGCCCGTGCGCCACAACTACTGAGCCTGCGCTCTAGAGCCCACGAGCCACAACTACTGAGCCCGTGTGCCACAACTACTGAGCCTGAGCACCTAGAGCCCGTGCTCCCAACAAGAGAAGCCACTGCAATGAGAAGCCTGCTCACCACAACGAAGAGTAGCCCCCACTCGCCACAACTAGAGAAAGCCCGTGCGCAGCAACAAAGACCCAATGCAGCCAAAAATAAGATAAAATAAAAAAAAATATTTTTTAAAAAAAGAGAGAGAGAAATTGCCACTCCCCACCCACCCCTGCTACTTCACTTTCTTTCTGGAAGCAAGCATTTTCAACTCAACTGATTTTTCGATATTTCGCCCCGAATCTCCATATAACATTATTATTTTGGTATTAATTTTTCTGTTTTAGTTTTCTTTCCTTTACCAATACACATAGCTGCCCTTCCTGTGTTGGTTTTGAAAAATTGCTTTTTAGGGCTTCCCTGGTGGCGCAGTGGTTGAGAGTCCGCCTGCCGATGCAGGGGACACAGGTTCGTGCCCCGGTCCGGGAGGATCCCACATGCCGCGGAGCGGCTGGGCCCATGAGCCGTGGCCGCTGAGCCTGCGCGTCCAGGGCCTGTGCTCCGCGGCGGGAGGGGCCACAACAGTGAGAGGCCCGCATACCGCAAAAAAAAAAAAAAAACCACAAAAAAACCCTGTTTTTTTAAGGCTATCTAAACAGTATTCAGAGTTGATCATTAGGAATCGTTACTTTCTGTTTTCTCTGGAGTTTATAATTATCTTTGTTTTATCTTAGTTTTCCTTGTACATATCATGATTCACTGGAAACTCTGCCAGTTGTCTAAATGTTCTCTTGTTCAGAATCATCAAGTATCCCAACGGTTGTATCTTTGGGAAATCTCTTCTAGAGCCTTCTGACCTGCTTCACTCTGACCCACTAGCTTGTTATGCCTCTAAGACTGCTGTCACCCTTGTATCTTCCTTCAGCATCACCTGGGGACTGACGTCCTTTGCTCTGGCTTGTGCTGGCTTCTCCTTTCTGTGCCCGAGATCATCCTCTTTCTTGGTTTACTCCTTTGTCTTGGTGGAAAACATCCTATTGAAGCTTCTTACAAAAGGATGGGTGTGAGGTAGATTTTTCGACACCTTATTTAGCCCTCACATTTGATAGGTAGTTTGGGTATAGAAATCTAAGTTGGAAATTATTTTCCCTCAAATTGTTAAGAGTCACTCCTTTGACTTCTAGCTTCCGTTGTTGCGTCTGAGATGTTAGAAACTTACAGTTTCTGACTCTTTGCATGGGAATCTGTGTTTTTCTTTCTGGAGGCCTGTAGTGCCTTTTCTTTGTTCCCTGTGTTCTGAAATTTTATAGCAGTGTATTTCATTGTGGGTCTAATTTTATTTCTGGGCTGGGCACATGGTGGGCCTTTTACTCTGGAAATTCATATCCTTCAGTACTAAGGGATTTTCTTGGATACTTAAAACCTTTTTTTTATGAAAAATTTAAGACAAAAGCAGAATAGAATCTATCACCCAGATTTGTTATCAATAAATGGGCAATCTTGTTTCATCTATAGCCTTCAAACTCACTTACCCACCCAGCATTCTGGATTATTTTGAAGGAAATCCCAGACGCTGATTATTTCTACTTGGTTTATTTCACTGCAGATGTGTCCTCTTTATGTCCTTTTTCTTCTTAGAACTGCTATGTTTTAGATATTAGATCTCCTGTATTGTCTTCTGATTTTTTTCTCTTTTGTCCTATTTTGCGTATCTGTTTTGTTTTGTTTTTTCCTCTCCTTTCTGAGAGATTTCTTCAAGTTTATCTGCAAGTTCTTTTACTGAGTGTTTCATTTCTGCCATCAGATATTCCTTTGTACAGCAGTCCATTCTTCTTTTAAAATTTTAATTTAATTAATTTATCTATTTAGGCTGTGTTGGGTCTTTGTTGTTGCACGCAGGCTTTCTCTGCTGGTGAGCGGGGGCTACTCTTCATTGTGGTGTGCGGGCTTCTCACTGTGGTGGCTTCTCTTGTTGCAGAGCATGGGCTCTAGGCGTGCGGGCTGCAGTAGTTATGGCAGTTGGGCTCAGTAGTTGTGGCTTGTGGGCTCTAGAGCGCAGGCTCAGTAGTTGTGGCTCACGGGCTTAGTTGCTCCACGGCACGTGGGATCTTCCCAGACCAGGGCTCGAACCCATGTCCACTGTATTGGCAGGCAGATTCTTAACCACTGCGCCACCAGGGAAGCCCCCCAGCAGTCCATTCTTGTTTCACAGCTGCAGTGTTTTGTCTTACCTCTCTGAAGATACTAATAAAAGTGATGACTGACAGTTTCTTTTCTGTGAATTTCTCCGTTTCCTTGAATTTGTTCTTTCTTTTTATTTGCATTGGTTTCTGTTTTTTCTTTTCTTCTTTTTGGTTTCTGTTTTTTAAACTGAAGGCTTTCCAGTCCCCAGGGCAGTGGGTGGTACCCTCAGTTCCTAGTCTCCAGCCAGATTCCCTGCCTCCCTCCAGTCCCGGTGTGGAGGTGTGGATTCTCACTCTGGACCACAGCTATGTCTCTGTTCTTCTACTTGAATCTCGTTGTCACGGTTTGCAGCACTGATGGGGGGGGGATGCTCTGTGGCTCTCGTCCTTGTACTTGCTGCTGTGCCATGACAATGTGCCAGCCGTGTCCGTGCCCTGCAGATGCCCCGTGTCCTCATCACAGGGCTTGTATTTTTAATGACATTAATTGGATGTTTTCCTTAGTTAGCATTTTTCATTAAAAGTAATATAAGTTCACCTTTAAAACTGGGGAATTACCAAAACTTGAATGAGAGAAGTGAAAATCATTTATAATCTCACTACACAACAAAACCCACTGTTGGGAGATGTTTATATAGGAAGTATGAAGTAGTCAGGACCATTTAAGTCCATATGGACAATGTTTTTCCTAAACATAGGGTCATGCTGTGGGGTGTTGTATAATTTATTTAGATTTACTCTGTTGCATATTTCTGTTTTATGATAGTCTTTGGGATTGTAAGCTTGAGAATTAATTTGAGTCATAGTTGACTATTTTAATGTTTTCTTCTGATCCAGAGCAGATAAAATTCCCCCCTCCTTATACTCCACCTACCGCCAAGCCTGCTCCACTGTCGGAGAGAAGAAGCCAGAAGGTAAGGTCAGTGGGTCGCTTGGTCCCCAGACGTGCCCACATCTCACCTCCACTTCCCTGACCACGAGACGTGTCGGTGGCACCTTGGTCCATCTGGTCTGCTTCTGTCATGCTGGGTCTGGTCACAGCTGTGGCTTCAGAGACTGCCCAGCACCAGCCCTGGGACAGCTGTGACACCAGGAGGGCTGCCTGTGATGTCATTCCCTGAACACACATGCAGTACAAAATCCACTTGACCATTTCTCATCTTTGTGTGCCCCGCTGAGGCTGTCATGTGGCTTCTGTTTGCCTGTCTGAATTCGAGCTTTTTTTTTTTGCATTACGTGGGCCTCTCACTGTTGTGGCCTCTCCCGTTGCGGAGCACAGGCTCCGGACGTGCAGGCTCAGCGGCCGTGGCTCACGGGCCCAGCCGCTCCGCGGCATGTGGGATCTTCCCAGACCAGGGCACAAACCCGCGTCCCCTGCATCGGCAGGCGGACTCTCAACCACTGCGCCACCAGGGAAGCCCTGAATTCCAGCTTTAAAGTCAGGTGACCAGCCAGGCCCGAGGCCCGTGGTGCTTGTTCTGCACCGTGTCCTAGTAGGGGGTCTGTCATGGCTCTTTGGCCGTTTGGACGGTTGGGGATCTTTCTGCTTCTAGGGGACAGTGATGTAGACCTGGGCCAGTGTGTGAAAGTGTGCATCATTGCTTGGAGCAGCTGGGCAGGCTGTCCGCACCCCATTGCCCCAGGAACGAGGCGCCATCCAGACAGGGCCTGGTCTGTCGGTGTTGAAATGGTGCAGCTGCTTGCTGGTCAATCCCTCTGACGCCTGCAGGGCCAGTTGGGCTGCATGAGCAACTGCAGCTCTGCTTTCTAATTCTCTCTGCCAGGACCCTCCTTGCACAATCTTCCACGGTTTCTGACAGCCAGGGAGACCCACACCTGTTTGGACCAGTATCGAAACATCTTGCAGACAGGATGCCAAGGGGGCCGTAGGGCTGTGTCCACTGTTGAGTGAGGCCTTGCCCTCCTTTCCTAACCCCATGGTCCTGCTTTTGGGGGCTTCTAGAATGTTTTCTAATGCTGTATCTCATAGGGCTAATATTTTTTAGTAAACCTACTAAATGTGTGTTGAGGACTGGTAATCACCTCTAATATACTGATTTTAACATCCTGTTGTAAAAAACAATATCACAATGTTACTTAAAAGTTTGAGAAACAGGGACTAAACCATCATCTGTACATAATTCTGCTCTCCCCACCCAGCCTCCCTCCACATGCATTTGGTCTTTATTCATTACATACCTGCTTTTTACACTTGTGGCGATAGTGTGTATAGAACCATGGTTTTTCTTAAACTTCCTTATGAATGTTTTAACTTTGATAGGACATGAACATCCGCCGTCCAGGGAGAGCGTTTCACTTCCCTCCTCATAGGGCCTCAGTCCTCTGTGTGCCCTCTGCAGGGAGAACCCAGGGACAGCGTCAGTTCCGTGTGCTTCCTATCTGATCTAACCTGTTTAATTGTTAAAATTACCTCCTGTCTCTCAGATGCAGCCTCGCAAAGGGAGGTGGAGCCCAGCTGTAAGGAGGAGCCGCTGGGCCTGCTCACGACTGCCCTGCGAGAGCTCAGGGCCTCAGTGACAGATCCCACCCAGCGTGACGGTGAGGACAGGGCTGTGGGTCGGGCCGTCCGCAGTGGGTGCCCGTGGGTGCACAGGCCAGTCCTGACGTGCTCAGAGCTTGAGGCTGCTCTGTTGCCCATAGTGGCAGTGGTCAGTGCATTTTCCCTGCAGTTCAGCATCTGGTAGTGAACCCGACCACGGCCTGGTGGGTGTGGAGTGTGCCTCCTTTCTGACACTCAGGCTGTCCCAAAGTCTGGGTAGAATATGGTTATTCTGCTACTTGGCATCCCGGTGGGACAGGAGACAGAGGAGGAAAGCTGCGTTGTCTCCTTCCTTTACTGCCTGGGTGGCTGTGCTCTTCAGCACTGGGCCTCTGCTTCTGGGACTATTTCCTATGAGGGGCCTGGAGGACGGGCGTGAGCAGTTCAAAGCGCTCAGTGGCCATAGCGGTCCACAAGTAAAATGTAAGGTTCTGGTGTTTTTAGAGTTTTGCTATGCTAAATGCAGAAACTAAAATACATAAGGCATGTTTTTGCCTAGTAACTTCAGTAGATGTTTATTTATTATGAATTCATTTAATTCCTATGAGAGTCTCACGGAGGAAATACAGTTGACCCTTGAACAACACAGTTCGGTTTTTTTAAATTTATTTTTGGCTGCGCTGGGTCTTCGTTGCTGCCCGTGGGCTTTCTCTAGTTGTGGCGAGTGGGGGCTGCTCTTTGTTGCGGTGCACGGGCTCCTCATTGCGGTGACTTTGCTTGTTGCGGAGCACGGGCTCTAGGCACACGGGCTTCAGTAGTTGTGGCTCATGGGCTCTAGAGCGCAGGCTCAGTAGTTGTGGCGCACGGGGGCTTAGTTGCTCCGCGGCATGTGGGATCTTCCTGGACAGTGCTCGAACCCGTGTCCCCTGCATTGGCAGGCGGATTCTTAACCACCGCGCCACCAGGGAAGTCCGCAACACAGTTTTTAACTGTGTGGGTCCACTCAGTATATGCAGATTATTTTCAGTAAATATACTGGAAAATTTTTTGAGATAAATGACAATTGCAAAAATTTCAGATAAACCACATTGCCTAGAAATATTGAGAAAATTAGGTATGTCGTGAATGCATAAAATACACGTAGATGCACATGACATGCAAAATACACGGAAGGCTGTGAGGAGTTAAGCTTCGGGTCAGAAGTTACGCACAGATTTTCACCTGTGGTGGAGGGTCGGCAGCCCCAGCTCTGCACTGTTAGCTCTGCCTCCACCGTGGTCGTCCTGAGGGCCCAGGATGTCCCCTCATGGTCAGCGTGACCCTTCCAAACTCTGCTCCTGCAGTACGTGGTTCTTGGGGAGGTCGAGGCCCGTGTGGGGCCCCAGCGCTGCCGCAAGATGGTCAGCCAGCCAGGCCTGTGAGTCCCTGTGCTGGCAGAGCTGCTGAGGCCGGGCCAGGCGGCCGCAGCGGGCGTCAGTGTGTGCAGAGGTGGCGGGCGGACGAGGGGCGCGGGGTATAGACACAGGGGCTGTGGTGACGTGAAGAGCTATGCCAGCCCCTCGGAGAAGCCTGGCCACCTGCACTGCAGAAAAGTGGTTCCGCTGCTGGCCGGGCGGGGACGAGAGCGGGCTCAGGGTCAGTTGAGAGTGTGGCCCCTGAGGTGGTGGGTGGCGCCCCTGCTCATGGCGCCGGTCCCTGCCTTGCAGCGTTGTTGGCTCAGATGGCAGTGATCTCTGAACAGCTCCGCTCCGCCCTGGGCCTCGGCGAGGATGACAGCGACTTCGAGGGGGCCCCGGTTCAGCTCAGCGTCCGGGCCCCCAAGCTGCAGCCGTGGGAGCAGAGGGTGAGTGTGGGGCACCAGGGAGACCACATGTGAGTTGAGGGTTTCGGGCCGGTGCTGCCGTTTGCGTACAGACTCTGTGTTTGAGAGGAAGTTGTGGCAGAGGCTGCTCGTGGCCCTTTGTGGGCAGGTTTGCTGACCCTGCTCTCTGCTGAGAAGCTCCGTGATGACCCCTGGGGGCCCCTCCCAGGGTTTGGGGATTCCTGTGCTGAGGCGTTGCAGCCTCTTCTCTGGATGGGGGCTCATTTTCCAGTCTCGTCAGCTCCACTGTGGCCCTGTACGTCCAGGGTGGAAACGCTGTGATGTGGGTTTGCGGCCCTGAGACCTCTCCTCTCTCAGGTCGTGGACCTCCTGCTGACGTCTTTCTGTCAGAACCTCATGGCGGCCTCCAGCGTTGCCCCACCAGACAGGTAGAGGCTAGGTGGTCTCACCGGGTGGTTTGGAGCTGTCCTGGGGCAGTCTGGATGCTCGTGATGAGAGTGGCCATCGTTCCTGGTCCAGCTCTGAGCCTTGGGCCCTGGTCCTGCCCCCCGACTTCGTGCTGCGCTGGGGAAGGGCCTGGCTGCGGGGGGGGGGGGGGGGGCGCTGACTTATCCAGCAGGGACGTGGCGATGGTCAGCGTCGCAACAGGAGACCCTCCTGGTTGGGGAACAGCCTGGTTCTTTCTTCAGTCTCTGGTGCCTGACTGCTCGTCCACCAGGCTCCAGGCGGGCAGTGCAGGGCCAGGCCTGGCTGCTGCCACTGTTCTCTGTGGCTGTCCCCACAGGCAGGGCCCCTGGGCCGCCCACTTCGTGAGGACCCTGTGCAGACGCAGGCTCCTGCCGGCTCTGCTCAGCAGGCTCTGCCAACTGCTCCATCACCAGGTAGGGCTGCTACCTCCTCCAGCCCCCACAACGCTGAACCTCTTTTCTTTTTAAATATTTCTGTATTTATCTACGTATGTACGTATGTATGCATGTGGCTGCGCCCGGTCTTCATTGCGGCATGTGGGCTCTTAGTTGCGGCACGTAGGCTCTTTAGTTGCGGCACACGGGCTCTTAGTTGCAGCACACAGAATCTTTAGTTGCAGCACGCGGGCTCTTGCGGCATGCGGGATCTTTAGTTGAGGCACGCGGGCTCTTAGTTGCGGCATGTGGACTCTTACTTGCGGTATGTGGGATCTCGTCCCCTGACCAGCGATTGAACCCTGGCCCCCTGCATTGGGAGCGCGGAGTCTTTAGCCACTGGACTACCAGGGAAGTCCCTGAACCACTCTTCTTTCCTATTTTAGGGCCCGAGCCTGAGTGCCTCACATGTGGTGGGGTTGGCTGCCCTGGCCGTCCACCTTGGCGAGTCCAGGTCTGCCCTCCCGGAGGTGCATGTGGGCCCTCCCACCCCTGCCAGGGGCCTGCCCGTCCCCGAGCTCTTCGACATCCTCCTGCCCTGTAGGACCCAGGAGTCCTCAGCCCTGTGTCTGAAGTGAGTGTCCCTCTTGTCAAAAGTAACACACGTTCATCAGACAAAATTAGCACAGACACACATGCTCTACAGATGACCAGTCTTTACCGTGTTGGTCTGTACCCTTCCAGAACCTTGTCTTCGGTGTATTTATGTGTGTGTTGGTATCTTCAGTTATAAAAGTGAGATCACCCTACTTTGCTACCTGCTTTTCAAGATGCTCACAGTGGGCTGCAGGTGCCCTTCTCCAGGTCAGGTGGCCAGCGGCTGGCTGGACCTGTCCCTCAGGTTAGGTTCCGGGGTCTCCCTGTGGTGAGCAGCTTTCTCTGGGGGATGTTTCTACACACACAGCTGTCCCATCCAGAGGGTTTTGAGACCCATCGTCCAGTTACGTGCTCATCCACTCGCTGCACACTGCGTGCTAGGCCCCCTCCGGCACCTGGTGAGCCGCAGGGAGCCCGTAGCCTGGGGTCGGCGGGTGTGAGAGATGGGCGGGGGTTGGGTGAGAGTGGCCATCCCATGGGCAGAGCCCTGGGGAGTCCACGTGTGACTCAGGCCCGAAGGGCTTCCTGTGGCTGCTGAGCTCAGGACGGAAGCTGGAGGCTCCGGTGGGAGATGTTGGGTCTCCGGTGGGAGATGAGGGTCGCGGCTCACGGACTGAGCTGGCGTTAGGAGAGACAGGGAGAGCTGAGCACAGGAACGCGGCCTGGGACCAGTGCCCGCCAGCTGTCTGCGCCATCCACAGCAGCACCACTGACAAGTCCGCACTGGGAGTCGGGCCCCATCCTCGCCACGGTCCTGACTCTCTGGGCCTCGTGGTCACCTCTGCTCTTGGCAGCCTCTCCCTCCCACACGTCACAGCCCGCCATGGGCAGGCAGAGGCTGAGTTGGAAACCGGACATGCTTCACTCTGGCTCTGAGGTTCTTTTAGGCGGGAACAGCGAATAATTTGCCATCATGCAGATGAACAAGAGCCTTACGCAATCACACGGGGAACACCCACCTCGCACCTCCTCACTTCATTCCCTTGGTTCTGACCGTGGCTCTTGACACGCTGGGAAAGCAAGCCCTTACGTGCAGAGCCTGCGTGTTCATGTGTTTTCTGAGTCTCTCGTCAACATGGAAAGAGCTCAGGCCAGACGGCCTGACTGGGGGCTCTTCCTGAGGGCTCGGGGGAGCCGGCCTGGCTGGGCCTGAGGCTGAGCGCCGAGCGGCCGTCGGGCTGGGAGGCCCTCAGTTCACGTTGTGCAGTTCACGCTCTTCTTCCACCTGTTGTTTTGCGTGGATCCCATTTCTGTGTTATAATCTGTTTTCTATTTTCAGATTTTGTACAGCGGCAATTTCCTATTCTCTGTGTAAGTTTTCTCCCCAGTCACGTGACATCTCGTACAGCTGTTTGTCTCCAGGCCTTATAAAAAAGGTGAGTCTTGTGGGTTCCTTTTTCTGCTCTCCTGTAAGTTCCAGTCTTGTATGGGTTTCTGGCCTGAAGCCTGTGTGGCCTCCATCTCGGCACCGGCCTCGTTCGTAGCAGACTTGTCTCCTGGCGCCACCCTGCCGTCTGCTTGGGTTGAACACTGCCTTTTCCTTCCATCTGAGTTAAGAGGAGGGGCTGGCAGGTGACAGCTACAGATGTCCCTCCTTATTTATGAAGTAGGCAAGTTAGAAGATTGACGTTCATAGAAAGTGCGTCAGCATTTAAAGAAGCACCCTGCGCTTCCTCTGAAGACGGCCTGGGAAGCCGCGTGTTAGAATCCTCAGCATCAGAGGCGGCGGTGCCGTCACAGCGGGAACCAGTGTTGCTGCGCCTGCAGAGCTTTAGGGCACATCTCCCATGGGGATCGAGCCTGGTTCAGAGTTCCGGGCTCCGCGTCGGACTCCTGGGCGCTGCTGGGAGCTCCACCGCGTCAGGAGCAGCCTGGGGTCCAGGTGCCCCTGTGCTCCCGGTCCCAGGTGCCGACATTTTAAAGTGTGGGATAGAGATCCGGAGGAGCGGCCCAGAAGAGGAAGTCCTCGCCCTGTGTCCCAAGCTCCCCGAGGTCCCCTCGAACAGCCTGTGGCTCTGTCAGCATGAGGGCGGGGGTGCGACCTCCTAAGGCAAAGATGTGCGGCTCAGTGCATCACTGAGGGAGCATCTCCTGTAGCCAGTGAGCACACTTCTTAGAATGCCGGTGCCCGCGGGTCGCGGGGGACGGCCGTGCGCGGCTGCAGGGCGTGGCAGCTCAGAGATGTGTGGTAAGGGCTGGCTGCCCACTGAGACCAGGGGCTCCTCGCTGCCAGCCGAGCGCCGCCAGGCCCCTGCGTGTTTCCTCAGTCTCACAGCACACACACCACTGTCTTTTTTCAGTTCCAGTTCATGGTGTTCAGATGGTTCTCAGAGGCCCGAGACCCTCCCTCTTGGGAAGACCCGGCCAGCTCTCCCTGGCGGCCCCTGTGCCTGCCCTCCGTGGACTGGCAGCGAGCCGCCCTCTGCCTGTGGAAGCAGAGGACCTTGCGGGAACTGCTGAAGCAGGAGGGACTCCATGTAGGTCCCACTGTCCCTTCCCCTGCTTTGCTCCTCCACGCTCTGGGCTCCGTGGGCGCAGGACATGGGCGGCGGGCCTGACCTGACAGAAATCACTCCTGGGATCGTCAGATTTTAAACACGCCTGCCAGGCTGCGAGCTGGGGCCGGGCGTCTCCAAGCACAGTCACCGGAAGCTTGGCCGCTCAGCCAACGTGCCCACGTGACTGTTTCTGCCACCTCTTCATAACTTTCCATTTATTTCTTGGATGTTTGCCTGCTTGTTTTGGTCTTTAGAGAAGAAGTTGTGTCGTTTTATTGTATATGTTTTTCAACTCTTTTATTGTTAATAATCAGTCATACAAGAGTAGGTCTGACCGGGCTTCCCTGGTGGCGCAGTGGTTGGGAGTCCGCCTGCTGATGCAGGGGACACGGGTTCGTGCCCCGGTCCGGGAAGATCCCACATGCCGCGGAGCGGCTGGGCCCGTGAGCCTTGGCCGCTGAGCCTGCGCGTCTGGAGCCTGTGCTCCGCAACGGGAGAGGCCACAACAGCTAGAGGCCCGCGTACAGAAAAAAAAAAAAAAAAAAAAAAAATGAGTAGGTCTGACCATCTGCCTGATGCTAGGAGCAACGAGGCAGGAGCAGCCGCGCCTCGATCACTGTCTACACACACGTCCCTGCTGGTGTCGCACAGCCCCGGCGTTTACACACACTGCGTGTGCTGCATGCATGTCCCTGAGACACGTTGTGACACACAGTGTGAGGTTTTTTTTGTTTTTGAATTCTGATGTCATTTATTGGCACAAAAATTATTCAAATACAACATGGTGTCTAGACATGGCTACACTTTATATTTTGTGCATTTAGTTTATATTTCTCTTGCTCCTAATTCCCAACATGTACTAGACCTTCCTTCTCTGTGTCAGCGGTGTGAGGTTTTGAGGTTAGTCTGTGTTGACGCGTGGAGCTGTGACTGTTGGAAGCATGTTGTCACGTCAAGTTTATCTCTTGGTTGTTTGCACAACTCAGTGAGCTAGAAAGCGATTGTTGTGCAGAGGCTGTGGGCTGTCCAGGACCAGGCAGCAGTGTTGAGGACTGAGTTTAAAGACCAGTTTGAACAGTTTTGGTTAGCTTCACGTTCAGAGTTAAATGACTGATTCTTCATCTGGGCTTGGTGCCAGCCTCCCAGTCTAACCCTGGGAGATGGCATAGGACGATATTTCTGACAGACACACAGGAGACCTCCAGCTAATATGAGAGGGCAGCGTCACAGCCCCAACCTGTGGCTTCTGTGCTCTGTCCTTGCTGTGGTGGTCACTTGGTCCTTTTCTCTCAGTTGACTTACAGAGACTGGTTACAGCTGGAACTAGAAATTCAGCCTGAAGTTGATTCTCTTTCAGATACAGAAAGGTAAGTGCTTAAAGGATCTACCCTTTAAAATGTTAATACAGTTTTCTACACTGTCTTAAGTCTAAGTTTTGTCATTATATCTTCAGTTTAATGTTCAGTTTAACATAAGTGTATGAGTACAATTTTATTCATTCTTTTATTCGAGAAACACTTATTGACCTACAGTTTGCCAGACACTTCTAGAATGTTCTGGAAGCTGGGGATGCAGTGTGAACAAGACAGATGGGGCACACGAGGCACATACAGGGCTTCCCACTTGCACTCTGCCCCAACGCCCCTAAGCCGTTCTTCACAGGAACTGTGCAGAACCGGGCCCTGTGTGAGCCTGGGGGCGGGCAGGGTGATAAATAAGGTGGATTAGAGGGCACTGAAGACACCAGATAGGGCTTTGGGAGCTGGTGCCGGCGGGCAAGGATCAGAGAAGGCTGCGCCTGGGGAGGGCCACAGTGGGGAAGCCCTGGAGGGTCTCAGCTGGTGTCGGCCAGCCAGGGAAGCAGAGGGGAGGGTGGGCAGCGCCTTGCCGAGTGCTGGCTTTGAGGCATGGCACCAGGGGTGAGCGAATCAGAGTCTGAGCCCCATGTGAGTCCCGGGGCTGGTGACTGAGACCGCCAAGACGTCAGGTGTGCTATCCTGGCCTCGAGCAGGTGCTGAGGGGCCATGGGTTTGGGGGTGGGTCAGGGGGCACAGAAGCCAGAGGTGGCTGTCCTCAAGCCACCGTACTTGGAGTGGTCAGAGACGTCCCTGAACACGGGGGTGCTGTGTCGTGGTGTCAGATTCTGACAGAACAAGTAGAATGAGGAAGGACAGTGATGGGCAATGGGAGGGATGACCCGCTTCCTTTCCCAGCTCAGTGGGCGCTTCCACCTTTCAGGTTTGTACGCAGCCTGCCTTCTGTGCGCTTCCTTCCTTGCCAGGAGGGAAAGAAGGAACTAGTTTTCTGGCCTGCGGATCCATAGGACCCCTTCTTAACTCACCCTCAGGTCACTGTGTGTTGATGGTGTGGGTCCTGTTCAGGGCCTCCTTCCGTCTCTCCTGATTGCAGTTCCAAACAGGCTTTGGCGGCTCGCTCCCTGCCCCTCGTGGTCACATGGGGAGGTCCTGCTTGGGTCCTGTTATTCCTGCAGGAACAGACTGCAGTGTTGGTGGCTGTCTGTGCTGTGGTTTCAGCACCACGGAGCCTGGTCCATATGTGGATGCTTTGCTGGTGGACCTGGGACAGTGCAGGCACCCGCTTCACCCCCAGCTCAGCAGCTGTAGACCTGCAGTCCCCGTCACCCCTGGCTGAAGCAGACCCTGGCCCGTGCCTCCCTCAGCACAGACCCTGGCATTTGCATTGCAGGCAGGACTTCCACCAGTGGGCCATCCACCAGCACTTCCTCCCCGCGCCCTCTGCCACCGGGGGCTGCGATGGAGACCTGGAAGTCGCCTGTGCCACGCTTGTCGACGTGCTCATGGACTTCTGCCAAAGGTTAGGAATGTTAGTGCCCAGAAGAGTCTGTCTTTTGATTTTGGTAGCTCTAAGAATGTTTTTATTTCTCTCAGTCCAGTCTGTGTTATACAGAGCACAGTTGAACATATCCTGATCGCAAGTTTGGGTTTTCGAGATAAAGGCAAGCTTCCGGAATCAGCTTCCTCTCTGTGCATAGATTTGCCAGTGGCAGTGACCTGGTCTTTCTGCTTTGTCTCCTGCTATCAGGGTTATTAGCAAATGTGATGAGAATAAAAGGTCAAGCAAGTGGTGGGCACCAGTGTTGTCACCCACAGTGCAGGGAGCACTGGCGTGGACTGCCTGCCATGAAAGGCAGGCGTTCCTGGTACCAAATGGGCTGTGCCAGGTGTGGCCTTCTGACGTGGCCTGTTTTTCTCATCGTCCTCGTGGTTGCTGTGTCGAGGTGGTACGTCGTGTTATCTCATTATGGTTTTGATTTGCTTTTCCCTGATGGCTTATGATGTTGAGCATCTTTTCACGTGCTGGTTGACCATTTATGTTATCTTTTTTGGACAAATGTCTGATCAGATCCTTTGCCTACTTAAAATTGGGTTATTTGCTTATTGAGTCATAAGAGTTCTTTATATACTCTAGATACTTGGTCCCTACCAGATACATGAGTTGCAGATATTTTCTTTCATTCCATGAGTCATCGGTTCACTCCCTAGAAGGGGTACTTTGATGCACAAAAGTTTTAAATTTTGAAGAAGCCTTATTCATCTATTTTTAGATTTAGCTCTTATTTTTAGGCCTTTGATCCATTCTGCATTAATTTTTTATATGGTGTGAGGTAGGGATCTGGCCCCATTCTTCTGTATGTGGATATCCAGTTGTCCCCTTTTGTTGAAGAGACTGTCCTTTCCCTGTTGAATGGTCTTGGTACTCCTGTGGAAAGTCCATTAGCCATACATGTGAGAGTTCACTCCTGGACTCCTGATTCTATTCTACTTATCTATATGTCCATCCTTGTGCCAGGACCACACCATTTTGATTACTATAGCTTTGTAGTAAGTTTTAAAATTGGAAAATGTGGGGATTTCTTGGTGGTCCAGTGGTTAGGACTCTGCACTTTCACTGCTAAGGGCCTGGGTTCAATCCCTGGTCGGGTAACAAGTTCCAACGAGCCATGTGGCATGGCCAAATATAAATAAATTTAAAAAATTGGAAAATGTGAAATCCTCCAACTTTGTCCTTTTTCAGGATTGTTTTTGGCTATTCTGGGTTCCTTGCACTTCCACCTGAATTTTAGGATCAACTTATCACTTTCTGCAAAATGAGATGAGATTCTGATTATGACTGCATTGTATCTGTAGATCAGTTTGGGTAGCACTGCCATCTTCCTATCCATGAACATGGGGTGGCTTTCCATTTATTAAGGTCATCTTTAATATTTTCAACAATATCTTATAGTTTTTAGCACGCAACTCTTGCATCTCCCTGATTAAATTTATTAAGTATTTTATTCTTTTTAGCACCATAGGCTCATTGCTTTAATTTCACTTATTTGCTCTGGTGGTTTTTTATTGTGAATTCTTTAGGATTTTCTATATAAAAGGTCTTGAAATCTGCCAGTAGAGATGGTTTAACTTTTTCTTTTCCAATCTGGATGCCTTATATGTACTGATTTATTTATTTGCTGAATTGTCCTGGCCAGAACTTGACAGGGCAGTGTTGACTGGAAGTGGTATGAGTGGACAGTTGTCCTGGTCCTGATCTTAGGAGGACAGTTTTCATCATTAAGTACGGTGTGAACTGAGGGTTTTTCATAGATGCCCTTTGACAGGTTGAGGAAGGTCCCTTTTACTCCTAGTTTTTTTTGTTTTGTTTTGTTTTTTGTTTTTTTTTAAATCTTGAAAGGGTATAGCATTTAATTTAATGCTTTATCTGTGTGGTTTTTGGTTTTTATTCTACTCATATGTTTATTGCATTAATTGATTCTTGCATGTTGAGCCAACCTTGCATTCTTGGGATAAATCCCACTTGGTCGTGGCATGTAATTGTTTTGATGTGTTGCTTGAGTTGGTTGCTGGCTTTTTGCTGTTGTTGGCACACCGTGAGTGTCCTGCAGTCTCCGGGTACCTCCTGGCCCTGTGACCACAGGCCACTCTGGAGGCAGGAGGAGAAGCAGGCAGCCCAGCACAGTTAGGAGACACTTAGGAGGCTTTCACTGTGTTTTCATTTCAGTTCAAGGAGTTATGATCACTCAGAGAATTCTGATTTGGTTCTTGGTGGCTGCACAGGAAATCGCGATATTTTTTCCAGATTGCAGGTGAGTTAGAAGATGTAAAACTCAAGTGTGTCCACTGCGTTTAAGCCGCGTGCTATTAAGGTATTTATTATGAATATCCAGTGAGTCCTAAGGAACCTGACCAGAACGAAAGCTTGAGTCACATACACAATGGCTGAGACCAGAGAGGCCACGTGCTCTGTGAACTCACCTCACCGTGAACATCACAGGAACACGGAAACGAAAACTGTAATATGGGAAGCATCTCCAGGCTTTAGGACGTTTAAAATTTGAGAACAGGAAGTAAAGATACTGACTTTGGCAGCAGCGTGGCTGCTACTCCTGTTCTCTGCTTTGTAACTCCTGGTGCTGCGTTGGGAGGTCAGGCTCTGAGGATTGACATAAATAACCCTCCACTTGGCCGAGGATCAGGAGTTTGCAGATGTCGGAGGCTGGGAGACTCTCCCGTCTCCCAGGTCACTTGGCAGCAAGGCAGGAGCACTTTTAGGAGAGTGCAGAAACCGTGTTTCTCACGTTGAAGTGAAAGGGGCGTTTCTGTCAGCATCCTGCTCTCCCCAGATCTCTTGAGCGTGAACTCTGGGGCCAGAGTGCAGAGCAAGGCCCCATCCTGCATCCTCGTCCACTGTGTGCACTGGGGGTCTGTAACTTTGGAAGAGTACGTGCAATTCTGTATAATAGGAGTCGGTGTTCCCGCTGTCACTCTTAAAAAAGTGCCTGACTTTAGAACATGTGGGGAATGAAAGAGATATCATGGAGGATGTGGTCTGGAGCACTGGGAAAATGTACTTAAAAATGAGTAAAGCATCCCACAGAGAAAGGACCCGAGTCCCCCAAGCCCTCATCTTGACCTTTGTCCTCCACGTCCGTCATAACTGAACGTGGAAGAAAGTGACCTGTGAGGGCAGACACAGCGGGAGACGTGGGGTTGGGGTCACACATGACGGGGCGATGATGAGACGGGTGCTCTGCATCTGGGGGGTGAGACAACACACGTGTGCCTGCAGGCTGTGTGCGCACCTCACTTGTGTGATTCACCCTCAGGCTGTGCACACACCCCCACCTGCACAGGGGAGCAGGTGATAAACGGGTGAAGTGTTAGCCATGGGGAGTCTGGGGAAGGGTGTTCTTTGCACTGTTCTTTCTTCATTTTTGCAAAATCCTGCAGTTGTTCAGTCATTTCCAAGTGAAAAGGCTAGTTGCACTCACTCTGCTGGCCCCACCTCAGGGCCCTGCTCGGAGTGAGAGGCCCCAGGATTTCTGCCTCTGGCCGTGCTTTCTTCCAGGAGATGGCTGCTGACCTGGAGCAGGGCCCAGCGCCCCTCGGCCATGCTGCTCCCCGGGGCCACTTCCTCTTTGGAGTTTTCTGCAGACGCCTCCAGGCCCTGGCTCGAGGGTGGGACGTGGCCAGCCGCCTGCAGCGACAGCAGGAGCTGCTCATGTGCAAACGGTAACACGGCTTGTGCCCCAGGGTCTGTCTTCACTTTGGGTTCTCTTCCCACTAGTCGCTCGTCTCTGGCCCCCGCCCCAGCCTGGGACGGCACCTTCCCCGGGTCCCCCTGGAGAGCAGGGTCTAGAGGTGTGAAAGCAACTGGGGGTGAAAGTTCTCCTCCTGGGCTTCAGAAACCCCTCAGTTCAAAGACCTCGTGTGGAATGTGCGCTCAGGGTCCTCACTGCATCACGGCTGAGCCGTGATGTCCTTCCCGGTCTCGTGAACTGGTTGGTTAACACGCTGCTCCCTGCCCTTGGTCATCATGTAACATCACACCTGGTCTGGGGACACACAGTGAGTGTCCGTCGGCCCAGCAGGGCAACAGGCCGCAGACCAGGGCCAGTTCCGAGCGGGCTGGGAGGGTTGGCTGCGCTCCGAGCGTAGCTCTCGGGGTCACCGTCCATGCCTCCCTCCTCCCAGCATCCTCCTCGGCCTGCCCCCCTCCGTGCTTGTCGGCAGCCCCCGCTTGGAGCAGCCGGCCGCCCCCGACTGTGATGACTTCTTCCACTTGGTCAACTCGGAGCTGGTAGGCGCAGGGCAAGTGAGCTGGGGTGTGGGGTCGAGGGGCTACGTGGGCACCTCAGGCTGGCTCTGGAAAACTCCACAGCACATCCGTGGTCACGTGGAGCCAACGCCTCAGTGCATGTCCTGCCTGCCCACGCCGGGTCTCTGAGGGTAGGACGTGGCGCTCGGAGCTGCGGGTGAGCCCTTCACCTGGCTCGGCACCGGCCTGCGAGGCTAGCGACTGGGCAGCCTCGTCCTCCGGAGCACGACTCCTTCACGGAACCTTCCCCAGGGTGACCAGCTTGGGCCCTGCGTGTGCAGACCATCCTGCCCGCCTTGCCTCCCCTCCGTCGGTTTCTTTTGGGGGCACGGAAGCCAGATGGTGCCCTGGCTCTTGTCAGGGGCTCCAAAGGGTGACATCCCTGTGACCTGCATGCGGTCAGGGTCAGGGAGGTGCCGTGCATAAGTGCTCCCCTGCCCACTGCAGGGGAACGGCTTCTACACCAAAGATGGGTTCCCGCTTTCTAGAAATGCACACGTGACTAGAGCTTGACCTGAGGTTCTGTTCATTTGTGTGGAACTTTAAAAGGTAACTGGGGAAGCAGCAGAAATGAGATGAGATTTTCTTTAAGTTCGTTCTAAAGGCTGTTTCCCTTCGAGCCTTGAGAACGCCTGTGAAAGCAGCCAGGGAGGACACGGCAGGGACAGCACCTGGCCCGCCCGCCTGGGCCCATAGGGTTTGCGCCACGGCTGGCGGTCGCAGGGGTGGATGCGAAGCCACACGGAGCCAGCCCTCCATGGACCGTGGTGGTGCCATCCTGCTGCGTGTCCTTACGTGCTGGAGCCCCCAGCAGCTGCCCGCCCTGTCCTGTGCGTGCTTCCTCACTGGCCTCTACCGTTGTGCAGAGAAACTTCTCCCACGACGGCGCCCTGACCCATGACATCACGGCCCACTTCTTCAGGGTAATTTCCTTTCCCTCTGCCCCTCCAGCGTCGCTGCTCACTCAGACCCCAGGGCTGGGCCCTTGCGTGCGTGGCAGCTCCCGGGGCCCTGGTCCACGTGCAAACCCTGCGTGCGGGCGTGTCTCCCCGCAGGGGCTCCTCAACGCCTGTTCACGAAGCAGAGACCCCTCCCTGGCAGCCGACCTGACCCTGACTGCCTGCCAGACCCAGTGCCCCTTGCTTCTGACCTCTGCTCTGGTAGGCTTCGCATCTTCTCAGGGGCGTTCCTGGACCTGGCTCAGCCGGGGTCCGCCCAGGGCTTCCTGGCAGCGTGATTCAGGGGAAGCTGCACCAGGAGCAGTTGGGACAGACCGCAGGAGTTGGGGTGGGGCTCCTCAGGAGTCTCTGTGCCCGGAGCCGTTCACACTCCTACTTGCTCTGTGCTGACTGGAGCTGAGCGGGGACTGCTGCTCTGCTGGTCCGGCTGCTGCCCCAGCCTCTGCTGGCCCGGCCTTCTCGTGACGTTCCACGGGTGGGGCTCCCACGCGGGCTTTCTCACCCCTTCTCAGTTTTGTCGGGAGGGAGGACGCAGCGCATTCCTTGCTGGCTCCCTGGGCGGCTGTGGCCTCTGCCTCACGGCTCGGCAGCTCAGCAGGGCCGTCCAAGGACCGGGCCATTCTCTGTCCGCATCCTGCGTCCTCCGCGGATGAGGATGAGCACGCCTCACGGAGCTGCTTTGGGCCTTAAATGAGACGCTGTCCTTGCGGTTATGAAGCACTTGATGAGCGGGAGACAGGCTCTGGGGGTGTCGGCCTGCGGGCAGACGTTGCCCGCGCAGATCGCCAGCGTCACCCGAGGCTTCCCGATCTTCTTGGTGAGGGGGGTGGGGGAACTGACCCGTCGGTGCCCGTTCTCTCCCATGAGCTGTGGTGGCCGCACCTGGAGCCCGAGCTTCACCGCCGCTGGAGGAGATGCTCCCAGAGCCCGCTGCCTGCAGAGCTGCGGAGGCTGCAGGAGGCCCGGCACTTTGCCGGGAGGTGAGTGCGGGCAGCGGGACCCACTCTGGGTTACGTGCATCGTGTCTCGGGAGCTGGAGGGGGCCCTGGGGAGGCTCTGTGAGGCCCACGTGTGGAAGGGGGAAGCAGAGCCGAGCGGACACGTTCCCGTCAGACTGGTATCCGGGGTCCACCTGCCCGTCTCCTCGCACATCCGAGTGGTGCTGTCCTCGGAGGTCACAGCAGGGATTGCTGGCCCCATCCAGCCTCCCTGCATCTTCCTTTGTGACCCGTTTTTATCCGAGGCACCTGTGTCCCCGCCCCCAAAGGGTCAGGGATGCTCGAAATCTCAGAAAACGAGGAAACCAAGTCTGCCCACAGAGTCTAATTCTGCAAAGAGCAGAGAACTTTCTTAAATCACTGCATTATATTCCATTTTTAACTTTCGGCCCAGTTTTAACCTTCTGGAGAACCGTGAACATCACAGTGCAGTCAGAGTGGGGGCTGAGTAGAAGGCGGGTGCAGACTCTGGGGGGAGGACTCCTTGCAAAGCTGAGGCTGCTGGGACCGGGCTCCCCCTCCAGACATACCGCTTCCTGTGTCTGGGGCAGAGGGGCATGTTGACAGCCAAGGGCCAGCCTGTGGAGACTGGTTGGGAGGCCGGGGCGGGTGCGCTTTGGGTTCTGGCTGTGACGGGCGGGGGGCTCTTGTGGTGACACACACCTCCGTCTGCGGCAGCGTCCTCTCCCCCCTTGCGGCACCCCCCACACCTGGCCCGGCCTGGCTCTGCGCGGCTGCCCTGCACTTTGTGATTCGACGGGCCGGGAAGGAGAGCATCCGGTGGGAGCTGGGGCAGCTGGATGGCCAAGGAGAGGAGGTAAGAGTGAGATCCTTTCCCTGCGTGTCCTTTTCCAGCAGCCTCACTGGTTCTCAGGGTTCCGACCACACTGTGCTTTTCAAGGACAGACAAGAGTTTGGGGTGCTTGTAACTTTATTTGGAAGCAAAAACTTACTGGGTTTGTAGGTTTAGTAAGACTTAGGTTCTCAGGTTTGTTGATAAAAAGGGTACTTTACATTTCATTCTCAAGTGCTTTTATTCGGCCTGTTTATCAACGCAACCCCGGGGTGGGGGGTCAGGGCTGGCTGTCAGCTGTCCAGCGGGACCTTCCGTCTCATAGCCTCCAGGCACCCGCACCCCAGTTAGCTGCTGGCAGAGACCAAGGGTGGACAGAGGGCTGCTGGGATGGCAGGCTGGTGGCCCCACTGGGAGCTGTGGGACCCCCCAGGGACCCCTACCCAGAGCTGTGGCGTGCTCCCCTGTGTCTCCCCCAGCTGAACCCCTGGTTCTGTGAAAGCCAGGGTCCCGCAGTAGCTCAGGCCGTACACACCTGCCTGAGAACGGTTGCTGAGCTGTGAGTTTTTGGTGATTATAATTTAAAGTAAGAAACTACCAGGGAGAGTCTATTTTTAAGAGTTTTCAGGTTGTTTCTGCTGGAAGGATTTTAGTGGCTCCAGAGCCTCCAGGCCACTGTCACCTCTACACACTCTGGCCTGGAGGATCAGCAGAGACAGGTCCCCAAGCAGTAACAGTTTATAACCCACTAAATTTTCTCTTTAAGAGTGACTGGAAAATTTTCTTTCTCTGGAGATCCACTTAAGAGAGATTTATAACCTAGGCCTGTAAATTGTTCAGTTAACGAGGAATGTGTTCTTTCCCCATTCAGAATTACTTTAAGGGAACGGAGCACAGGTAGTTTTATGTTGTCAGTGGACCTGTTTTTATTTGCAGCTATTGGTTTTCCTGTTTTTTTTTTCCTTGATGGGCCTGCTCTCTTCACATCTGACCCCACAGGTAGGTCAGACCCTCTGCCGCCGTGGGCAGGGCGGCAAGCAGCTGGTACGACCCCCCAGGGCACTTGAAACCATGGGTCTCCCCGTCTCCCCCGAGACCTCCTGAGTTAGGGTCTCGTGGTGGTGGTGGGGGTGGGCGCGCCTGGGACCTTTGTGTCGAAGGCTTTCTCAGGAGAGAAAACCCCAGGCTGTTGGCCTGCCTCTTGGTGTCTTATGTCCAGAGGCCCCAGGTGGACACCTCTTCCTCGCGCACTTGTCAGCTTAGGGTCCTTCTCCTCCTCCTCCTGTGGGTAACAGGCCGCTGGCTCCCTGAAGCCTCTGGACGTCTGTGCCGAGGTCCTGGGGTGTCTGCAGAGGAAGAGGGTTTCCTGGCTGCCGCTCTTTCAGTTGACGGAGACGGGTGAGAAATCCGGAGACCGACTGGCCGGCCTGTGTCTGTCCTGGTTCCCAGCCCTCTGCCGGGAGCACAGGGGGTGGCAGGGTCAGACTGCGGCCCCGTTCTTTAGTCCTTCTCTTCAGAAGCAACTTTCAGATGGTTAAACATGAGCCTCTCCTTGGGGCTCACTTTGAAAACTCATTTTTGCAAGTTTCTGTTCTTGGTAAGTATGTAGACTCATTTAAGCAAAATAATTTAGTGGAGTATCGAGGATCCCAGGGACCCCGGCCCCCAAGCTCTACTCTGCAGCATGAGGACATCACCCCTGCGTCACAGGCACACGACGCCCGTGAAGACCCTGACCCTGCAGGGAGGCACCTGCGTTGCTGACGGAGCCCCTCTGTGTTGCAGATGCTGGCCTGGGGCGCACCCTCCTCCGCCTGGCCCCCGACCACCAGGTCAGGCTGCTGCCGCTCGCCTTCTACAGGTAACCCCGGGGCCTGCTGGTCAGGGGAGGGGCGGCGGGGCTCCCTCGAGATGGGAACGGCTGCTCCTCTGCTGCCTGCACCGGCCTCAGTGAGGTCAGTGAGGTCTGGGTCACCTGACATCCGTCTCTGCTTTCAGCCTCCTGTCCTACTTTGACGAGGACGCCCTCCTCCAGGAAGACGCCTTCCTGCACGTTGCTGTTAACATGTACCTGAAGCTCGTGGGCCTCTTTGTGGCTGGGGAGACTGGTGCGGTTTGGACTCTGGCCCACGGTGGGGACCTCCAGGCCCAGGCAGGTGCAGGGCCAGGCCTGTCTCCAGACGGACCCGGGCGGCCAGCTCTTGGGGGCCTGTGCAGCCCCTCCCGGCGCAGCACGCAGCTGTGGGCACCCTGACCGCGTCTCTGTCTTCTCTCCAGGGCGACCCCGTAAGCCTGATTACAAACGCTCGTCTTTTTCTGCTGCAGTCGATACCTCGGTGCCCGAAAAGGAGCTTCTCAGACGTGGCAGAGGTAACACCCAGATGCTCGCCTTGCTGTCTGTCTTTTTAAGTCCCCATCACTGTTCACTGTGAGGGTGCTGAACGCCTTCGGGAAGACGAGCATGCAGCGTCCAGCACTTGGCATCTCCCCGGGCCCTGGGTGTTTGGGGGCCATGGGCAGCAGCACGGGCCCAGCACACGGGCTTTCTTGCAGCTGCTGGGCGCGAGTGCGGACTGTGACCCGGAAGTGCGTGCCGCCCTCCTCAGCAGGCAGCAGGCCGTGCTGGACCCTGACCTCTACCAGGCGCCCCGACTCTTCTGACAGGATCTGTGCAGGGCACAGCCCAACTCCTCGGTAAATAATTTATTACAAGCGTTAACGTGGAGCTCTCCGTTGCCCTGAAAAGTGGGTTACAAACCTCGACTGCATTAGCGGGGAAGAGGAATCATTTCTTTGAAGTCTGCCTCTGGCCCCAAGTCACTCTGTTTATAGAAGAAACTGCCGGTCCCGGAGCAGAAGCCACAAGGCCCCGTGAGCTGTGTGCTGAGCCCCTGCCACCCAGCACACGGGGTGGAGGCTCGTCGGGGTGCAGAGCTGTGCCGTCAGGCCTGAACCCCCATCACTGCCCACTGAGCTCGGGGGCGGGCGTGCCCTCAGGTGGGCTCAGCCTTCACGGCCTGCCCCGCTGCGGGCCCAGGCGGGGGCTCCGGGGCCTTGTCCGGGGTCTGCGTCAGGGGGTGCACCATGGACATGTGCACGTTGAGGTTGTGAGCCTTCTCGAACCGCCGGCCACACTGGTCGCAGGCAAAGTCCAGCTCCGTCTCGGCCTTGTGCTTGGTCATGTGGTACTTCAGGGATGCCCGCTGTCGGCACTGGAACCCGCAGACTTCGCACCTGGGGGCCGGGGGCAGGTGAGCCAGGGCACCGCTGGTGGGAGAAACCCCCCCCCCAACCCCCCACCCCACTTACTGCAGGGGCTTGGCTCCTGAGTGGCGCATCTGGTGGACCAGGAGGTGCTTCCGCTGCTTGAAGGTCTGCCCACACTCGTCACAGATATAGTTCCGCACCTCTGGGGACCAGAGAGGCAGTGACCACAGGCCCTGACACCCTCCCCTCGGTGCCCAAGTGCCTTACAGGTGACACAGCTCTGATACAGAGCCCTCCGGGTCGCCTGAAAATTGTCACCTGGCTGCAGCTTCCTCTCCAACTACTGTGTACATTTCACCTGGAGCCTGTTTTCTTGCCCTTTAGGCCGATTTCCTTGAGCACAAATTTTTAGAGGAAGCCAAAGCAGCAAGGTTTCATAGATGACTGACTGATGACAGCTGCTGCTACTCTAAGACCCACCGTCACGCTGGGCCCTCTGCGGGGTACCCACTGCAAAGGCAATCTTAACGCTCTTGAACAGACTTGAACCGTCACGCCCCACGCCAGTGGTTCCACTGCAGGCCGTGCCAGTGGGGCAGCTGCCACACGCTTCCCGCCCCACGTCACTGCACGTCCCACTGCTCATCTACCAGTACCTGAACCAGCCTCCCAGGCAGGCTCCTCCCTCACTAGGGGCAACTGTCCCCATAGCACACGATCTAGCCTCTTTTGTGTTAGAAACAAAAACTGCTTGTGGTCACGACCACTGGCATCCAGACTGAGAACAGCTTGACCCAACCCAAGAGAATTACTGTGTTTGTTAGAGACACAGACAAGAACACTTGGAGCAAAAAACACAAGGAAAACTGTTTCGCTGTGGAACCAACAAGTAAATGTGCGCCAACAATTAAACGGTCAACTCTGAGTGAAGTAACTCATTTTTACAAAGTTCAAAACGAGAAAAACTCTCTCTTAGGGATAGACACAGATGTAACAAATCTATCTAGAAGGGGGTGCGGTTTGGGAGAGCTGCCTTCTGTGCAGAAGCAGTGACGATGCGCACCAGGCACGTAAGAGTCCAAGGTATGAACGCATGTTCAGAGAGAGAAGGGGGCAGTGGGCCTCACGTGCTGTTGGCGGTGATGACCAGGGCACTGTCTTCACTGTGCTTCCTCCCCCAGTTTCTACAACGGATGCGGGTCACTTGTAATCCAAAAAGCACACGTCATCTTCTTAAAGTAGTGATTTAAAAAAACACGACAGTAAAGCCACAGAGAGGTACCAGGATTCTTTGGCGCCAGTTTCCCAGGAGGCAGCCCTGTCCACGGGGGTGGGTGGGGGGACGCACCTGTGTGGATGAGCTTGACGTGGCGCTGCAGGTAGCGGTCGATCATGAACACCTTGTTGCAGCCGGGGTGCGGGCAGGGCCTCTCCCGGACCTCCTCGTGGTGCTCCTTGACGTGCTTCTGAGGGAGGGACCGGGGACCTGAGTGCCTCGGCCTGGCCGACACCCCTGGTCACAGCACGTGCCTCCCTCCCACAGGCCCCGCTCAGCACCCTCCTCTCCCCAGAGGAACAGATCCCAGCACTGCAGGCCTGTCCAGCCTCCCCCCAATCCTCACGGGCCGGGGCCCTCACCTTCATGCCGTCAGCCCCACGGTACACGGCCGTGCAGCCCTGGTGAGGACACTTGTAGATGGTGGGCAGCTCCTCCCTGCAATGCAGAGCACACGTGGAGCTGCGGCCCCGATGGGCTGCGTGGCCCGGACGGGCTGCGCGGCCCCGGCCCCTCACCTCTCACAGCGCGGCTTGCCCTTCCAGCCCGGCTTGGGCCCAGGTTTCTTTCGAATTTTTGGTTCTTCTGGCTTCTTGGCTTCTTTGCTTTCACTCTTCTTACCAGAGATCCTGGGGGAAAAAGAGGACACCAGTCAGTGATGTTTCTGATTGTTTGCATATGCACTGCGGGAGGTGGGTCTCCTCGGGCCTCCAGGGCTAACCTGCTTCAGTCCCCGTGCTGACTGGCTGGCCCTCATATTGACCCTTGGCCGCCAAAGCTAGAACAGCTCTTCGGGGAGGTGGAGGCGCTGCACTGCCCCCTCGGGACACAGGAGTGGGCCTTCATGACAACTTTCACTCCCTGTCTGAAACATCAACACCATAATTTTGGAGACAGCATGGAAAAAGGTGGGGCAGGGGAGACTCGGGGGTCAGTCCCTCAACAAAACTATCGTTAAGCTAGAAAAGATCAGGATCCACTCTTCTGGAACCTGCTGGGAGACTCACGGCAGCCAGGAGAGAGCTCTGCGCCCACTGCCGTCCCCCACTCCACAGCCCCTGGGCAGCGGGGACCTTGTCCTCCACACATGGGGTCATGCATTTCAGCCAGTCTCGCAGGCCCCAGAGGACCAGGCCAGACACAGTAACTTCCCCCCCCGCCCTGTGGTGTCCTTCAAAGACTTAAAGATACATGCACACTTTTCTTTCTAGATCCAGGAGTTTAAGGAAATCTGTCAGGAATAGAAGGAAACTTCTAGGGCCATAGCAACAAGCCCACAGCTGACACCATGCTTGGTGGTCAAAGACTGGAAGCTTTTCCTCTGAGATCAGGAACAGAGAGAGAGGGGGCGGTGGGCCTCACGTGCTGTTGGCGGTGATGACCAAGCAAGAACAAGACAAAGATGCTCATTTTCACCACTTCTCAACAGAACACTGGAATTCCTAGCCACAGCGAGTAGGCAAAAAAAAAAAAAAAAAAAAAGAAAAGGCATCTAAATTAGAAAGGAAAGAAAATTACCTCTTCACGATGTCATGATCTTATATGTAGAAAACCCTAAAGAACCCACACAGAAAAATAAATTCAGCAACATTGCAGGGTAGAAAATCAACACACAAAAACCAGTTCTATCTCTATACACTAAAAATGAACAGTCCAAAAAGGAAATTAAGAAAACAATTCATTTTTAATAGCATCAAAAAGAATAAGACACTTAGGAATAAACTTAACCAAGGTGAAAGACTTGTACACTGAAAACTGCAAAATGCTGCTGAAAGAAGTTAAAGACCTAAATAAGTAGATATCTCATACCCATGGATTGTAAAGATGGAAGTAATCCCCCAAAGCAATCTATACGTTCAATCCCTATCAAAATCCCAATGGTGTTTTTTACAAAAACAACAACAACAAAAAAACAAATTTTCACATAGAATTTCAAGGTACACTGAATAACCACACAATTTTGAAAGACAACAAAGCTGGAGAGTTCAAACTTCCTGATTCCAAAATTTACTACAAAGCTACAATAATCAAAACTGTGTGGTACTGGCAAAAAGACAGACATACAGACCAACTGAATAATTGAGTGACCAGAAATAAACCCTTGCAAGTACAATCAACTGATTTGACAAAGGTGCCAAGACCACTCACGGGGGAAAGGACAGTCTTTTCAACAAAAGGTGCTGGGACAACCGAATATCCACATACAAAAGAATGGAGCTGGATCCCTACCTCACACCCTACGTAGAAATTAACTCAAATGGATCAAAGATCTAAAACTAAAATTCTTAGGGGTAAATCCTCTAGGACCTTAGATTTGGGAATGGTTTCTCTTAAATATGACACCAAAAGCACAGCCAACAAAAGTAAAAACAGGTAAACTGGACTTCAAAATAATTTTTTGTGCACCAAAGGGCACTATGAAGAGAGTGAAAAAAGGGAGAATATATACAACTCAATGGCAAAAAAGCAAACAACTCAATTAAAAAGTGGGCAAAGGACTTGAATAGACACTTCTCCAAAGAAGATACAAGCATGTGAAAAGATGCTCTACATCACTCATCACTAGGGAAATGCCAATCAAAATGACGAGATACCACTTCACACCCATTAGGATGACTATTAAAACACACACACACACCCAGAAAATAACAGATATTGGTGAGGATGTGTAGAAATCAGAACCCCTGTACACTGTTAGTAGGAAATGTAGAATGTGCAGCTGCTGTAGAAAACTGTATGGCAGTTCCCCAAAAAGTTCAAAGTACCATATGACCCAAAGAATTGAAAACAGGGTCTCAGACAGATACTTGTTACAACAGCCTTTATACCATGATTCACAATAGCCAAAAAAAGTATAAACAACCAAAACTGACAGATGAATGGATCAACAAAACGTGGTCCATCCATACGATAGAATTTTTTTTTTTTTTTGACCACACCGTGCCACATGCAGGATCTTAGTTCCCCGACCAGGGATCAAACCCATGCCCACTGCAGTGGAAGAGTGCAGTCTTAACCACGAGACTGCCAGGGAAGTCCCTTTACAATAGAATATTACTCAAGTCATAGAAAGGAATCAAACTGACACATCACAACATGGATGAATTTCAAAAACATTATTCTAAGTGGAAGAAGCCCGTAGCAAAAGGACACATAACATGTTATTGCACTTGTATGAAGTCCCCAGAATGGATACCTAGATTAGGAGTTGCCAGGGCCTGTGGGGAGGAGAGGGGAGGTCGTTGCTTCATGGGGACAGAGTTTCTACTTGGGATAGTAAAAGTCTGGAAATAGTGGTGACAGTCGCACAACACTGTGAAAGCACTTAAATGCCACCGAGTTGTACACTTTTAAAAATGGGGAAACAGTAAATGTTCTTACGTATATTTTACCACAATTGAAAACATAAACAGGGCTTCCCTGGAGGCTCAGTGGTTGAGAGTCTGCCTGCTAATGCAGGGGACACGGGTTCGAGCCCTGGTCTGGGAGGATCCCGCGTGCCACGGAGCGGCTGGGCCCGTGAGCCACAACTACTGAGCCTGCGCTCCGCAGCGGGAGAGGCCGCGATAGTGAGAGGCCCGCGCACCGCGACGAAGAGTGGTCCCCACTTGCCACAACTAGAGAAAGCCCTCGCACAGAAACGAAGACCCAACACAGCAAAAATAAATAAATAAATTAAAAACATAAACAGCTGTCCTCCTCTTTAAACAGTGCATTAACAAGAACCTTCTCAACAACTGTACAGGCTGCTTCTCCTTTTGTCTAGTAACTGCTCTTCCGCCTGGCCACGGTCCTGGCCTCCACCCTCCCCCTCTGCTGCGTGGCTTAGGCGCCCAGTCAGAGCTGAACCGTAACCAGTGCTTGCAGAGGATTACACATTTCTTGAGAGCAGGAGGCTTCAGAGAGCCCACAGGTGTCTCAGGTGAGTCCTTGAAGGACAAGGTGTTGAGGTCCCTGCGGACGCAGGAGGACCGTGCTCACAGCGCCCAACTCGGGGCTGCCGGCGCCCTTCCTTCCCATCGCCGCTCAGGCTCCTTCTCTCCCGCTTCCTGCTGGAGCCCTGGCCCCTGCCGCCTGGCTGCGGACCCCGACAGGCACGGCTGCTGCAAGGTCACATGGACCACGGCTGCTCAGAGGCCCCATCCTAGGACGTCAGCTGGCACTCACATCATGGCACCTGAGGCACCAAGTGGCCGTCAGGGCTAAGCCCAGAGCTTCCGCCAGCCCACTGCTGCCCAGTCCCAACTCCCACAGGCCTCTGAACACATACCTTGTGTGTCCTGTCCTACAGCATGTGTCTGTGTGCCCTCCCAGGGGCCTCCTGGAAACCCAGGGACACGGCAGGTGTCCCCGTCCCCACACCAGTGGCCCCAGGCCTGCTGGGCAGCAGGACGTAAGAGGTGGGTTCGTGGAGTTCAGGGTGGGGAGCGGGGGCTCCTGCCGCAGCCCCGGGCAGCACCGTGGAAGCAGATGTGGTCTCCCCAACCTAGCCCGCCTGACGCCCCCCCTTGGCCCCAGGCAGCGTGTGTCCACTCAGGCCTGCTCGAGGGCTCGTGACTCAGCCAGCCCCACACGCTGACTGGGATCTCCTAGGCCGCCTCCTCTCCTGTCTCTCTACCCACACCGCCCACACGGGAGCTTAAAGCAGAAAAGGAAGCCATGCTTTTGCTTCTCTGTTTTGTTTTGTGCTTTCCCGGCTGATGGTGTGGTGCTCCTGAGATTTTGTTCCACGTCAGAGGCCCAGGCTGGGCATCTACTAACTGGAGGTGTTTGGGGTGTTCCTGGGCACAGGGTGACACAAGTGAAAATCGGCCTTCTCTGCCACGACCCCGCGTTCTAACGGAGAGAGGACACAAAGCCGCGCAGGGGGCAGGCTGCCCCAGCGAGGAAGTGGCGTGGCAGTCAGAGCCAGAGGCGGGCCTGAGAGCCGCTGATGAGCCGGGAAAGTGGGGCCGACAGCAGACGCGGGGGGTGGCGGGGTCCCATCCCCAGGGCTCCTCGCACAGCTGGCTGCCGCCCCCCAGGGTGACGCCAGGCCAGGCCCCTGCGCTGAACTGGGCAGGTCCTCCCGGGTCACCCAGAAGCCACACTGTGCCGAGCTTGGGAAGTCAGGCCATCAGAGAAGCAGAAAGCATGTGCTGAGCGAGGCAGACGGGGGCAGCGAGCTTCCGTCCAGTCCCCGCTGCCCCCCAGGACAGACGCACGTCTCCAGGTCACCCACTGGACACCTCCCACATCCCGTGAGCTTACAGCACCACTGTCCCCCTTACTTCTTTTCTGGGTAGGGCTCAAAGGACTCGTCTGAGGACTGGGTATTCTGCTTCTTATCATTTTCGTCTTCACTCAGGAAGTCTCTAGGAGAGAAGAGAGAACCTTTAGCAAAGCTCTGGGGCCGGTGACGGAGCCAGTGAAACTTCCTGTCTAAAGGCACCCTGTGGATCCCCACACTGCACGTCTTAGCTCTCCTCAAAAGGCCTAAAATTCTCAAGTCTCCAATCCCATCTCCTAACAGCAAGGGCACGCCAGCCAGGGTCACAAGCTGACGATCCCGTGTAAGCCACACTTCTCATCACGACACCAGGACCCCGATCTCCCAAAGAGCCTCTCTACCGGGGCCCGAGGCAGGGGGTGAAGACCCTCACAAGAGGCGGGCTTCTCAGGAAGTGGGCCTTTAGAATGTCACCTCACCCCCATAACTGTGAGCACCTGCCCAGATGAGAGGTCAGCTGTCAGTCATCTCAAAGGTCACAAAGGCCAAAAAAACATCTGTACGTCTGTAACCTTTACCCTGAAGTGTGAGTCACTACACAGGCTCTGCTGGGCAGCGGATAGAGCCCAGCTGTCACACTCCCCACAGAGAAAGGCCCAAGGCTGGCTGGTGGCTATGGAACAGCCACGGCCTCCTGACCCCGGGGGAGTTTGTGGCACACACGGTGGGGTTCCTCCAGCACCTGGGTCATCCGTCACTGGCACCAAAGTCACGCTGTCCTTCTACTTGTTTGGACAAAAGTGCATCTGCAGTCCAGCCAGAGCTCGCAGGGCAGGGTGGGAAGGCTGGCTGGCATGCGGCCTCCATCCCGAAAGGTTTGGTCTTGGAGCCCGGGGGGTGGCCCCAGGAGCAAACAGGTGCCCCTTCCAGGAAGGTTTGTCCTCCTGTAGGAAGCCTCCACCCCCATGTCACCAACACATGATAGAGGGCCAGAGGCTGGCTTCTGTTCTAGTAATGTCTGGGGTTGGCTCAAAACTCAGGCCTTGGAGGGCGAGACAAGCGGCAGCAGCAAAGGACCAGCCAGAGGACCATCTGAGCAGAGTAACTTCCATACCACCCTGGCCAGGCCCCCTGCAGCTCCATCAGGTCTGCGGTGCCCCGGGGACCCAGGAGCCCCCAATCAGGAACGGAAGCCTAGAAGCACCCCCCGCCGCTCCCCTCCTCCCAACAGAGAAAGCGGGGAGGCCGGCCGAGACCCAGGCTGCCGGCCCCTGGGATGGCGGAGTTTGGTTTCCAAGGAGGAATTTTAGGCTATGTAAACCCACTCTTCTCTCACCCCTCAGAAAGGTCACTGAACTCGTCTTTTACCCGATCATCCGAGGTTGGAGATGGAACCTGCTTCTCACCCAACTGCCCTGAGAAACAAAGAACAAGACTCCAGTCACCCGTCACCCCCAGACAGCCAGGGGTGCTCCCCGCAAGGACGACGGGGAGCCTGGGGTCCCCCTGCCTCCAAGTCACTCACCTCCCAACCCATCCCGCACATGGGGGTGGCCCCAGCGCCGGGCCACCCCCATGTCCAGCCAACAGTAGCAACACCAGCAAGCCCAGCCCCTCCCCAGGGGTTCGGATCCAGCCGCTTTGGGATGGGCTGCCTGGTACTTTGTGGATGTTTTGGGACATTTAAAAAAATCACTGTTATCCAAGTACTGCAGGCACACAGTTTAGAAACGCAAGCAATTCTAAGAACGGTGCAGCACAAGTCTCTCCCCTCCAACACCAGCGTCGCCCTCACTCTGAGCCGTCCGGTGGCTGAGGGTCAGCACACGGGGCAGCCTGGTGCCCACACGGCAACAGGCGCCCACATGGAGGCCGAGGGACGCGGCCGGAAGCCAGCCTGGCCCTCCGAACACGACGTCTGCGAACAGCTGCGCCCAACCCACAGTGCCGTGGGATCGGGCCCCGAAGAAGGGGCCGCCCAGAGCAGCCTGTCCACACTGGTCCCACTGGGCGCTGGTTGAGGCCCAGGGAGAGACCTGCAGCTGGCTCAGGACAGCCTCAGACACCAACCGCCGTCGGGCCCCATGAGGCCCCCGTCCTCTTCCACCCTCTGTGCCCTGGGCCCACGCAGGCTTAGAGGAAGCCTGCAGGGCAGACGAGTGTGCCGTCACAGAAAGCGCTGGAACAGGGTCCTCGGCCTCTCTGCTGTCAGATGGCCGTGAGGCGGCCCCCGGCATTACCCTGGCCCCTCCACGCACGACACTGCAGCCACCGCCCCAACACACGCTTCCTGTCGAGGGCTCTGCCTGGCCCAGGACTAGGAATCCTGGTCAGACAGCCCAGAGGCGCCTCCTACCTGGGGCCCCGCTTTGGGGGAGGCTTGGCTGAGGCGGGGGGCCCGGCCCAGGCCCCACCGGGTCGCCATCTGAAGGAGGCCGGGCTGTGTCCGTGCTGGGCAGCGTCTCGGTCTCGGCCCCGGCGGCGGTCGCTCTGCCCTGGGAGCTCTGAGGGGCAGCCCCGCTGGGGCTGGACCCCCGATGCCGGGGGAGCCCTGGGGCCAAATCCTTGTCCCACGTCCGCCTGACGCCCAAGGTGCCGTCCAGCAAGAGGGCCCCGCAGCTGGAGTCGGCGTCCATGGTGTAGTCGTGCCCTCGGTCACAGCCCCACACGGCCCGGACGATGCCACAGTACTCGGAGGACAGGGTCCTCTGGAGGCTGGGCAGGGCCCCGCAGCCGGCCGCGTGTCCGTGCACCCACCCCACCAAGCCACGCAGGCCCTGGGGGCTCGAAGCGATCAGGTCCACTGAGGAGAGGCAGAGACGCCAGCCCATGGCCGGTGAGCACGGGCACCTCCCACCCCGCCCACCCCACGCCCCACCCTGGGGGTGCACTCACCCACACACGCTCCCTCCTCCGCCCCCGTCCGAGGCTGCACACCGACCCTGCAAAGGAGCAGCGCCGCCCACTGAGAGCAGGAGTGGGCCCGGCCGCTCCGCGTGCAGTCTGAGCCCTCTCCTCCGAGGCCGCCCGCCGGGCCCCCCTGCCCACACACCCGTCGCACTGGTGCTCACGAACGTCTCCCTCACCCGCCATGATGGGCTCCCCGTGAGGAGGCTCCCACCCGGGCCACCCTGTGCCCACGCGGCCCGCTTGTGGGGTCTCCTGCACGCCCCCAGCGAACGAGGGAGGGCGCCTACTTTGCACAAGGCTTCCGGCGGCCCGTGGGGGGGACGTTGACTCTCTGCAGGAAAGACGTGAGGAGGCCGTGGCACTGGTAGAACTGGGTGTGGCAGTTCTTGCAGACAAACTGGGACAGAGCCGGGTCCTGGTGGACGGCCACCCCCAGGAGGCGCTGGAAGTCCCGGACAAAAACACGGTCCCCAGGGGCCGGTCTTTCTGAGCTCTCCCCAGGCGCCCTGCCAGAGATGCTGCGGAGACTCCGAGAGGAGAACTTCCCGTGACAGAGGCGACAGTGCCCCATGGCCAGGGCCCGGGCCGTTCCTGGGCAAGCACAGGAAACATGAAGTCAGGCATGCAAGACAGCTCCCAGGGGAGGTGAGGCCCACACTCCGCCAGCCTCCCAGCTCCTGGAGCAGGGCCTACCCAGACATGCCCCTTAAACACAGGCGCAGGTCTGGGCCAAAGGCAGGCCTCTGGCTCCGGTCTCCCAGGCGAATACACAGCCTTTGGGGAGAATGGCCAGTGGAGGGCCTTCTGGGCTAGAAAACCTTTCAAAGAATTCTAAATGCCTCCAAAACAAGACTTTTTTTTTTTTTTTTTTGGCTCTGTTGGGTCTTTGTTGCTGTGCGCGGCTTTCTCTAGTTGCAGAGAGCCGGGGGCGGCTCTCCGTTGCAGTGCGCGGGCTCTAGGCACACGGGCTTCGGAAATTGTGACACGTGGCCTTAGTAGTTGTGGCTTGCAGGCTGTAGAGCACAGGCTCAGTAGTTGTGGCACAAGGGCTGAGTTGCTCTGCAGCTTGTGGGATCTTCCCGGACCAGGGCTCAAACCTGTGTCCCCTGCTTTGGCAAGCAGATTCTTAACCGCTGTGCCACCAGGGAAGCCCAACAAGGCCGGTATTACTCTGATACTAAAACCAGACAAGGACACAACAAGAAAAGAAAATTACAGGCCAATATACCTAATGAATGTAGATGTAAAAATCTTCAACAAAACAACAGCAAACTGAATTCAACAATTAATTTAAAAGATCGTGGAGACTTCCCTGCTGGTCCAGTGGTTAAGAATCCGCCTTCCAATGCAGGGCACACGGGTTTGATCCCTGGTTGGGGAACTAAGATCCCACATGCCACGGGGCAACTAAGCCCGCGCACCACAACTACTGAGCCCGGCGCCACAACTACAGAGCCCACACGCTCTGAAGCCCACGCGCCACAACTACAGAGTCCATGCACTCTGGAGCCTGCATGCCACAACTAGAGAGAAGCCCGTGCGTCGCAACGAAAGATCCCGTGTGCCACAACCAAGACCCGATGCAACCAAAAAATATATAAGTAAAATAAATAAATAAATAAGTAAATAAAAGATCATGCACAATGATCAGTTGGGATTTATTCCAGGGATGCAAGGCTGGCTCAACCTCCCCAAACCAATCCATGTGACACACATTAACAAAGTAAAAAATAAAAATCATACAATCATCTCAATAAATGCAGAAGAAATGTTTCACAAAATTCAACATCCATTCACGATAAAAACCTCAATAAATTGTGTACAGACAGAAAGTACCACAACATAATAAAGGCCATATATGACAAGCCCAGAGCTAACATCATACTCAATGGTGAAGAGCTAAAAGCTTTCCTCTAAGACCAGGAACAAAGCAAGGATGCCCACTCTCACCATTTTTATTCAACATAGTATTGGAAGTCCTGGCCAGAACAATCAGACAAGAAAAATAAAAACCACACAAATCATAAAGAAAGAAGTAAAACAACCTCTATTTGCACATGATATTATATATAGAAAACTCTGTAAGACCCCACCAAAAAAACTGTTAGAATAAACAAAGTCAGTGAAGTTGCAAAATATAAAATCAGTATACAAAAATCGGCTGACTTCTAAATACTCACAAACTATTAAAAATTAAGAAAACAACCAGATTTATAATTGTGTCAAAAAGAATAAAATCCTTAGAAAAAATTTAACCAAGGAGGTGAAAGACCTGTACACTGACAACTATAAGACACTGAAGAAAGAAACTGAAAACACAAATAAAGACAGTCCATGCTCATGGGTTGGAAGAATTAATATTGCTAAAATGTTTACACTCCCCAAAGCCATCTACTAATTTAAAGCAACCCCTATCAAAATCCCACTGGTATTTTTCACAAAAATACAACAATCTTAAAATTTATATGGAACCAAAAAAAAAAAAAAAAACCATGAATAGCCAAAGCAATCCTGAGAAACAAGAACAAAGCTGGAGGCAACATTTCAAACTATATGGAGGCATGATCATGGAGGCATGACTTCAAAGTATACTACAAAGCTAGAGTAATCAAAACAGTACAGTGTTAACATAAAAATAGACATGTAAGCTAATAAAACAGAATAGAGAGCCCAGAAATAAATTCATGCGTACAGAGCCAATTAGTTTGCAACAAATGAGCCAAGAACATACAGTGGGGAAAGGACAGTCTCTTCAATAAATGGTGCTGCGACTGGGAGATTGGGATTGACATATATACACTAATATGTATAAAATGGATAACTAATAAGAACCTGCTGTATAAAAAAATAAAATTTAAAAAAAAATGGTGTTGGGAAAACTGGACAGCCATATGCAAAAGAATGAAACTAGACCACCACCTTATACCATACTCAAGATAAACTCAAATGTATTACAGATTTCAAAGACCTGAAAGCATAAAACTCCTTCATAGAAGAAAACATAAAGGTAAGCTCCTTGACATGGGTCTTGGAGATGACTTTTTGGATTGACACCAAAAGCAAAGGCAACAAAAGCAAAAATAAACAAATGGGCATATGTCACACTAAAAAGCTTCTGCACAGCAAAGGAAACCACCAACAAAATGAAAAGGCAACCTACTGAATAGGAAAAAAAGTTTGCCAATCATGTATCTGATAAGGGGTTAATAATCAAAATATGTAAAGAACTCATACAACACTATAATAAGAGCACAAATAATCTGATTTTAAAAATGAGCAGAGGATCTGAAGAGACCTCTTCCCAAAGAAGGCATAGATAACCAACAGGTGTGTGGAAAGGTGCGCAACATCACTAATCATCAGAGAAATGCCAATTAAAACCACAATGAGACATCACTCCCGCCTGTCAGAATGGCCACCACCAAAAAGTCAAGTAATAACAAGTGTCGGTGAGGGTGTGGAGAAAAGTGAACCCTTGCGCACTGTTGATGGGAATGTAAATTGGTGCAGCCACTATGGAAACAGTATAGAGGTTCCTCAAAAAATTAAAAACAGAACTACTACACAGTCCAGCAATTCCAGTGCTGGGTGTTTATCCTAAGGAAATGAAAACACTAACTTGAAAAGATATATGCTCCCCTATACTCACTGCAGCATTATTTATAACTGCCAAGGTATGGGAACAACCAAAGTGTCCACCAATGGGTAAATGTTTAAAGAAGCTGTGGTACATATACACAATGGAATATTTACTCAGCCACGAAAAGGTGAGAAAATTCTGCCATTTCCAACAACATGGATGGACCTTAATGGCATTACACCAAGTGAAGTAAGTCAGATGGAGGAAGATGAATACCATATGATCTTACTAATACGTGGAATCTAAAGAAAGAAAAAATCCTGAACTAATAGTTACAGAAAACATATTAGTGGTTGCCAGAGAAGGGGAGTGGGGTGGTGAGTGAAAGGCATGAAGTGGTCAGAAGGTACCGACTTCCAGTTATAAGTCCTGGCATGTGCTACACAGTACGGTAACTACAGATACTTCAGCATAATACTGCGTTGCATATTTGAAAATTGCTGAGATCTTAAAAGTAGATCCTAAAAGTTCTCATCTTAGAGAACTTAGAAGGGAAAACAACTTCTAAGTACAAGTGGTGATGGATGTTACCTAGTACACCTGAAACCAATATCATATTATGTGCCAATTATACCTCAAAAAATCCCCCCCCAATAAAAATAATAATAAAAAAGAAAGTTTGAGTAAATAAATAAATGCCTCCACAGCTATGGAACTTCATAAACTAAGCTGGAAACTTCATTCCTCTTCACATCACCCTCCTGCGACCAGAACTGAAAGAGCACGTCCATGCTCTGCTTCTCCGGGGGTCTCCGGTCTGCAAGTGTAGATGATGCACCTCCCTCTCTGCCCCGGGGGAGGACTACATGAGAGAAGCGTGAAGTCCTTCTCGAGGGGGCAAAGGCATTACACGAAGGCAAAGTGCATATTAACGTCCATACCGCCTGCCAGGAGGGGGCCCCGGCACTCCTACACTTAACCCTCTTAAACCCTCTTAGTTCTGTTTTAACGAAGAGGAAGCTGAGGCCCAGACCAGATGAAGCCATTATCCGAAGAGCACAGGGCAAAACCACGACTGAAACCCAGGCCTGCCCGACAGACGGCAGGACTTGAGCACTAATTACTCAGTGAGCTCAGAGTCGGCGCCGAAGGGACAGCTGTCTTGCGAAACATCACCCAGCGCAGCTGCGGCGTCCGCCGCGGAGACCGCCTCACCCCCTCCAGGCGGGGAGGCCTAGTCCGCTTTCTGAGGAGCCAAGGCACCCTGGGCCAGGTTGTCGCGGGGGGCGGGGGCGAACGGGTGGTCTCGGGGGGCCGGGGAGTCACGGCGGGCCGGTGCTCCCCGGGGGCCGGGTGGTCGCGGAGAGACGGGTGTTCATGGGGGCTGGGTAGTCACCGGGAGCCGGGGGGGGTCGCGGGGGCACTCGGCGGTCACGAGGGGCCCCCGCCCGCCGCCCCTCGAGCCCGGACGGCAGGACCCACCTGCCTCGTCGGCGCCGTCCTCGCCCGCGTCCGCGCAGGCCCGCGTCGGGCCCCAGCCCAGCCGCGCAGCCACCAGAGCCGCCGCCTCGGCCACGTCGGGACCGCTGCGGGACGGGCGGCCCCGGGCCCGGCCGCCGCCACAGCTGCCGCCACCTGAGCTCCCGCGCTGCCCGGACACCCCGGGCGACAGGAAGCGCCCGAGCCGGTCCCGCTTCATCGCTGTGGTGGCGGCTTGAGCTCGGCCCCGGAGCTCCGCCCCGTCCGATTCCGTTCGGCCCCGCTCGGCTCCGCTCGGCTCCGCCCGGCCCCGCCCGGCCCTGCTCGGCCCGGCGCTCCGCCCCGTTCCTCCTCGCTCGGCCCCGCTCGGCCCCGCTCGGCCCCGCTCGGTTAGCCGGGCCAAGAGGCAGGGCTAGGTGTTGCTCTGCCCGGAGCCTCTCGTCCGCTAGGTTGGACTGTGCTCACTCGTTCAGTTCGACTCCGCCGTTCGGCTCCGCTGGACTCACTGGCAGCGGGGCGGGGCGATGAGGGAGGGGCGGGGCGAGTGATGGGGGCGAGGAGGGTGAGGAAACAGGGATTGGACGGATTGACAGCGGGAGGGGAGTGGCGAGGAAAGGGAGGAGGGGATGGGAGAAGCGTAGCGAGGAGGGGCGGGGCGATGAGGGGAGGAGCGGACTGAGGAGGGGAGGGGCGGACTGAGGAGGGCAGGGCAGCACGGCACGACGAGGGCAAGGGGCGGGGGCGTACGCGGTTGCCCTGTCACCGACAAGGAGTGATGGCATCGGTAGTTGCACTTACACTGTCGTGGCAACTGCGGGAGGAGGTTATTTGAGAGTTCCGTCCCCCCCACCTCCGCCCCTTCGGCTCCAGGAGCGGAGCGCGCCGCGCGTCGGGAGGCAGGGCTGCCGGAAGTGGCCTCACGTCGGTACCGCCTTTTCCGGCGGTCAGGGGCTCGGGCGGCACCCGCGCCCGCGCACGCCGCGTTCCGGTATCCGGGCCGTCCGCCCCGCCCCTCGGCCGCCACGGCCTACTCCGCCGGCGCCATGGCCGCTGCGGTCGGGGACGGCGCGGTGAAACCGCTTCAATGCGCCATGAAGCTGGCCAACGGGGCCATCGAGCTGGACACCGGCAACCGGCCCCGGGTGAGGCGGGCGGGGCGAGGCGGGGGCGGTAGCCGACCCGCGGCAGCCCGGTGGGCGTGGGCGAGGGCGGGGCTGCGGGGTGGGCGCCTCCAGGCCTCTCCGAAGGCTCCGGGGCGCGGGCTCGGGCTTCGGCCGTGACCGTGGACAGCTCCCGTGGGTTCCAGCCCTCAGTTTTCCCGTCTGTTCATTAAGTCGGGAATATGAGAAGAGGTGTTTTCATTTGTGAAGGGGACTCAGGAGGGTCCGTGAAGCAGCCCTCCAAAGTGTATCTGGCAGACAATCCCGTGTGTTTGTATAGTTTGTGGGCGGGCCCTGTAGCTTTAGTCAGATTCCCGAAGGGGACGGTATCCATAAGAGGTTAGCTGCGGCTTTCCAGTCGCCTTCAGCGCTTGTTTGGAAGGAAATGCCGGCGGGGGAGGGGTGTGGCTTGTCTCCAAGAACGAGTGTTAATCCTAAGGGTGGCGACCGCCTGGAAAAGCCGGCTGAGTCACACCGGGCCGCCCAAGGAGGGGAGGAGGCCGCGGGTGCCTCCGAAAGGCAATCCGGTCTTCCATCCGCTGCCTTCCCCAAGTCGGGATCCTAGGGCAGCAAATGCCCCCACAAGTCAGAAATCCTTCCCGGAACCCATTTTATCCTTATCTGAGGTGTAGACTTAAAGGTGGGTAATTTGAGAACTGGGATGCAGCAAAACAAACAAAAAGCAAAGCACCATGCTATGGTTCCAAACGCCCTGAGCTCTATCAGGGAGCCCTGAACAGGGCGGCAGGGTCACCCTCTTGAAAATACTGACATTCTAGTGTCAGACTGCTGCGTGCCCAGGGAATACTTACTCTGGGGTTCGGGAAAGGATCTCCCAGAATCCGAGTCAGAAAGGCATTCTGAGGTTTACAACACACTTCCTGATTCACCTTCCAAGAAATATTTTTCTAAAGCCACTGAGTGAATGGCCCCTGAGTTACACAGGAAGAGAACTTGTTGCATAGAGTGGAAAATGGCAGCACCTGCCAAGGCTCCTTACCCTGGCCCACTGACAGAGAACCTCCGTTCCTTCCTGTACTGGAGAGAAAGGCAGTGATGCCAGCTTCAAGTCTAGAGAAGAGGGGTACTCTCCATGCCCCAGCAGAGCAGTTACCAGTGAACCGGCTCGGCCACTGCAGGTGTATCTCACAGATAAGCAGGCACCACTGTTCCTGTGTTTCCACAAGGGCACCGAGCAGGCATGATGGAATTATGCGCCTCTACTGGCCTGACCGCTGCCATTTCTCTTCCCTGGGCACAGGAGGCATATACAGAATACCTGAGGAGCGTCCACTACATCTCCCAGGTGCTGCTAGAAGAAGTGGAGACTTCCAAAGGTACAGCTCCTCCCAGGCCGGGCAGACCGTGGACAGCTTAGCCTTTGATGGGTCCCAGGGCCCCAGGCCTGGGGGTGTCCTGTGCCTTGCCTGCCGCGCCATTGGTCGAAGGTGGACGGCTGAGCGCTCAGTAAGCATGAGCGCAGCAGGGAGCAGGAAGGGCCGGCTGCCGTGACTGAGGGGATGGAGATGGGCTGGGACGTGACCAAAGACTGGACACTGAACCTCAGTCCAGGGACGAGTGAGCTGCACGATGGTTGAGGGCTGGGGGCAGCATCCCAGCAGAGGGCGCTGCAAAGGCCCTGAGGCGAGAGGGTGCCAGACACAAGAAGGGTGGGTAGGCAGGCAGGAGAGGGGAAGGTGCAGTTGGGGCCGGTCGGCCCTTGGGATGGGCCTGGGGTTGTTCTGGCACGAGGCGAAGCTCGCGGAGGCTTTGTGGGGAGAGGCCGGCATGGGAGCAGATCCTCCAGGAGGCTCCCACAGTGAGGACAGCAGTGGTGGGACTGCCTGGAGGTGGAAGGAGTGAAGGGCTTGGGGCATGTTCTCTAAAGATGGGCCTCACCAGACATTCTGAGCGGACAGTGAGCTGCCTGGAGTTGGGGGGGAGGGCCAGGGAGCACAGGAGGCAGTGCGGGAGGTGGCAGGAGCAGACATGAGGGAGGAACTGAGGTCTCTGTCAGGAGCACATTCTGCTCGAGGTGTCCAGCAGCCCGACAGCAGTCAGGGAGAGGTGGGAGTCTCCACCCTGGGGAGCTAGGGAGCTCAGCAGAGCTCTGGGCACTGGGCGGAGGGCACGGTGGGAGCAGCCGCGAGGGGTCGTCCTAGAGGAGAGACCTGCGAGGTCAGGGAGCCCTCAGAGAAGGGCAGGACTGAGTGGGTGAGGGCCACTGCAATGGGAGCAACGTGGCTGAACGAGGGTGTGGTGAGGGTCTGGCCGTCACGGGAGCGGGGGTGGATCAGGTCTGGTGGGGTCCAGGGGAGAGTGTCAGGTGGCAGCTCCTACACCGTGAGTTTGCTGATAGGAGCGATTCCCAGAGGGAGTGCAGAACAGAAGTCCTCTAGCTGCACCAGGGGTGAGCTTGGACACAGCCAGGGGGCGGGAGATGGGTTTTGAAACTCTTTCTGTGAAACAGCCGTGCTGACTGCAGGGCCCACCTGGAGGAGGGGCTGTGAGTAAAGTGAAGCCGTCAGTGAGGAGAAAAGGCCCAGTTAGTTACAGAGAAGGCTCTGATGGTCCAGGCGAGAGGACAGGACAGCCACACACAGGGCCAGGAGGTAAACCCAGGGCAGATGGTCAGAGATGAGGAGGAAGTGGGCTCTCCTTTGTTTCTATCCCAGCAAGAATCTGACTAGTGATAGAGGTGATGGTGACCACCCTTCTTGTCGCTTGCTCCCCAGAAGCTGGGGAAACTGTGACCCCTGACACCTCGAAGATGCTGAAGCTGGCTGAGCAGTGTCTGGAGAGGGCCCAGTCGACAGCTGCCAAACTTGGTGGGTGTCCGGCAGAAAGCTTTCTTAGGACATCCCCACCCCCCAAGTCTGCATGTCTTTTTTTTTTTTTAATTAATTAATTTTTTGGCCGCGTTGGGTCTTCATTGCTGTGCACACGCTTTCTCTAGTTGCAGTGGGTGGGGGCTACTCTTTGTTGCAGTGCGCGGACTTCTCATTGCAGTGGCTTCTCTTTGTTGCGGAGCACAGACTCTAGGCACACAGGCTCAGTAGTTGTGGCTCGCGGGCCTTAGAGCGCAGGCTCAGTAGTTGTGGCACATGGGTTTAGTTGCTCAACAGCACATGGGATCTTCCCGGACCAGGGCTCAAACCCGTGTCCCCTGCATTGGCAGGCGGATTCTTAACCACTGAGCCACCAGGGAAGTCCCAAGTCTGCATCTCCTTTGTGGAATGTCAGGCCCCTGTGCAGACCCTTGGCTACGTATGTCTTACAGGGAAAACATGCCTGAGGCCAGCCATGCCTGTGGCTGCCCCCGTCCCCTCTCCTACCAGCCGACACCGCCGGGTGTACTCGGATGAGGGAGGGAAGCTCTCTCCATTTCTGCCGCCTGAGATCTTCCAGAAGCTTCAGGCTGTAGAGTCACAAAGCTCTAAGAAGTAAGATGGGTCAGAACAGAAGGTGGGCTAAGCCTGGGTTTAGAGGCAAAGTGAGCTAATCATGGTGGATTTAGTCAAAAGGGATCCCAGAATGGAAATACCTGGTGCCTGGCAGAAACAAATGCAAATTGTCTCTGGAGCAAAGCACCTTCAACTTTCATAAAATGAGTGGTACATAGTCAAAGATAACCAAGCACAGAAAGAATCAAGAAACTGTAAACGAGAGGTAGCAGAAACAGACTTGTAAAGTCTTCAGATAGAGTTATGGGACACAGATTATAATACAATCACGCTTTCTGTATTTAGAGAAATAAAAAGCAAGTTTGAAAATACCTGCAGGGAACAAGAAACTATAAAATCTGACTTATAATAGGGGTCAAATAGAATTTATAATAGGGGTCAAATAAGAACCAAGTAGAAACAAAAATACTGAAATTATTTTTAAACACTAATCAGAAACGGCAACAAATTATATCCTCCTGTAAACATATACACACGCACACAAAAAGAAGGGGACAAGTTTAAAACAGCAGAGTAGACCCAGCTGAAGACAGAATTAGAGAATTGGATAAAAGGTTAAAAGATACCCTGAATGGCTCACACACACAAAAAGACATGGAAGGTCTAAGGGGTTATTGGAATTCCAAAGAAAGATGAGAAAGAAAATGTGAGAGGAGCGTTACTTGAGGAGATGAAAGCAATTTTCTAGAACTGGTGAAAGACACTGAGACACAGATGCCAGAATCCCAGCAGGATAAGCAAGAGGATGGGCTCTTCCTGCTGCTGCTGCTGCCAGGCCTTGAGCCACAGCTACACCCTGTCTCTCCAAGTGCAGTTCTGGGGCAGGGCCAGGCACCAGACTTCCATCTCAGTATAGTCTTGTGTCCCCACGACTTACCTCCTCCCACCCATGAAAGCAGGAAGACGTGGGACCATAAGTTTTGATGGTGAGGGGGCTGTTGGTGGCTGTTACCAAGTAGCTGTGAAACACCCCCCACCCCTACCCCTCTTTCATGGGTTGCAAACTAATCTAGCTGTTCGGCTCACATGGTGCCTTCACAGAGTTTCATGCTGTTAATAAACACATGTGACTGGTGTGCATAAAGGTCTGGAATCCAGGCAGTAGGGCCATGTTTCAGGGAGGCAGGTGTCTCCCGCCCACCCCAGACCTCCTCCCTCCTTTACATTCCTGCCTGCCCCCATCACCACCTCCTCACCTTCCGGTCTCAGGGCAGGGCCAGGAAGGGACCTCAGGTGACCAGAGCGTTCCTGGGCTTCCTGGAGCCTGGACAGCAGCTTGTCACCATTCCAGGGAGCTGACACCCCTGGAGGAGGCCTCCCTGCAGAATCAGAAGCTGAAGGCTGCCTATGAGGCCAGGATGGCCCGTCTGGACCCCAGCCAGGCCATGCAGAAGACATCCCTGGTGAGCGGAGTCCAGGAGGGTCTGGACTGAGGGCCGCGGGGGCAGTAGGCCTAACTCCACCCTCCCCGTCCTAGACCCTGTCCCTGCAGCGGCACGTGATGGAGAACCTGGTGATCGCTAAAGCCCGGGAGAAGACAGTATCCTTTCCGTGCATCCTTAGTGTGCAGAGGCTTCACCTGAGGGAGGGGACAGGGAAGTAAAGATGCCAGGGTTCAGGTGTGGAAACAGAGTTCCTCCAGTTTCGGAGACACTTGTCCTCAGTGGGTGGTTCCTGCCCAGCCCCGCTTCCTCTCGCCTCCCGGCCTTTGCACAGGCCACCCTGCCCCTCCCAGCACCCACAGACTCCTCTCCACCCCTCAGGTCGACTAGGACTTGCCTTCCCTCCCTGAGCGGGCCTGTCCTCTGGCCCAGCCCCTCCTCCCACCCATCCCAACGGGCCCCGTGTCCGGCAGGGCGCTGGGACGCCGGGGGGGTTCGTGCACGCCGCGTCGGAAGGGCCTTGACTCTGCCGCCCCAGCTGCAGAGGAAGATGGAGGAGCGCCGGCTGCGGCTCCAGGAGGCCGCCAACAGGTGCGTCTCCGCCTTCGGTCCCGGGACTACTGGGGGGGCCAGGTGGGGACTCCCGCGCCCACCTGTCCAGCCCTGAGGCCCTCAGACCTGTCCTTTCTCCCAGGAGGTTCTGCAGCCAGGTTGCCCTGACCCCCGAGGACCGGGAGCAGCGGGCCCTCTACGCCGCCATCCTCGAGTACGAGCAAGACCACGTGAGTGCGCGGGGCTGGGAGTCCGCAGGGAGGCCTGGGCCCCTGGGCGCGGCCTTGGCTTGGGAGGAGGGGCTTCCCGCGGGCTCTCCCCCAAGGTCTCCTGTCCTGCAGGACTGGCCAAAGCGCTGGAAGGCCAAGCTCAAGAGGAGCCCAGGGGACCTGTCCCTGGTGACCAGCCTGGTCTCCCACCTGCTCAGGTACCGGCCGTCGGCCCCTCCCCCGGCTGCAGGCTGATGGCGGAGGAAAGGATTAAGAAGGAGAGAGGAGCGAGGCAGTCTGGGGTGACTGCACGGGCAGCAGGCCACGCTGGCTCTCTCGGAGGCCCCCGCCTGTGACCCCGGGGTCTCCTGTCTGCGGATGGCCTTTCACGGGCCTCCTGGCTTCTCAGAGGGGTGGGACAGGCCTTACCAGCAACATTCAGCCGCGAGGACTAGTCCATGCGTCCCTTCTCTGAAATCCCTCACGGCGGGGCCACGTGGCCGTTGGGTGGGGGTCGGGTAAGGGCCTCGCAGGGCTGGCGGGCCTTCTCAGCCCCCGGGTCACCCAGCGAGGGGACTGCAGCCCCAGCCCGACGGGGCTGCCTTCACACACTGCCTCTCCCCCTACTCACAGCGTCCCCGACCACCCCATCTCGCAGCTCCTGAAGAAGCTCCAGTGCGCCGTGTACCGGGCGCTGTACCCCATCGTGAGCAGGGGCGCTGCCTCGGCCCTGGGCTGCCGTTCCCTGCCCCCCGACGCCGACGGGCTGCTGGCTCCTGGAAGCCGGCGGCTCCGGCCCTCTCAGAGCCTCTACTGCATGCCCTCCCCCCCGGAGCCCAGCCCAGCCCAAAGGCCCACAGACGGCGCCTCCGCCAGCGCCCCCATCCCCCCACCCCACCCCGGCAACCCGGACAGAGGGGCAGACGGCAGCCCCGCGGGGCCTCCCTCACCCCTGGCGGACACTTCATCCGACCTGCCGGGCAACGACAGCTCCTTCGGGGACCTGGAACAGTTCTTGGCTGCTCCTGAGAGGAGGGGCCGGGGCCCTGGGGGGCAGCCTGAGCCCCAGCCCCCAGGGGTGAGGAAGGAGCCATTGCTGGAGCAGCTGAAGGGCACCGTGCAGGACATACACGACGCCATCGGTGAGGTCCGCGCCACAGGCCGGGTGGGTGGTGGGGGAACTGCGCTGTCCAAAGCCCACATCCTCGGAAAGCTTGTCAGAGGCCTGGGATGGGCCCGGTCCGGTGGAGCCTTCCTGTGGGTGGCATCCAGGCCGGCCCTGCTCTGCAGAGCCCTCCCCTGGGGCCACGTGTCCAGTTCAGCAGAGAGGCACACACCCTGCCCAGAGAGCAGCTGGGGCTGGCAGTGGCCAGGGTCTCCCTCCATCCCTGGCTGTCTCCTCACGGGGCCACATAGGGAGGACAGCCGGGTCCATTTCAGTCTTGTGTTTGGGGGAGGGTCTGCTGTCAGGGCCTCTGGCTGCCAGGTGGTCCTAGCTGCCCCATTAGGTCCGACCCCCACCCTTCCAAACCCAGGGCTCTAGGTCTGTGCGGCCTGGTGGCGGCTCATCTTAGGTTTTTCCATTTTGAGAAGCGTGTGTGTGTTCCATAAGGAGCCCAGGGTGGCAGGGGACTTCACGTCCCTTCCAAGGAGGAAGGCTGTGAGGGTTTCCTGAGAACCAGCGAGAGGCCCAGCAGTCAGGGGCCTGTGTTGTCTGGGAGACTCTGGGTGAGCACCCCTTCCTCCCCGGTGGGGGGCGGGTTCCTTCATCTCCCTGGGCCTCAGATTTCTTGTCTTCAGATATGCTTCTGACGGTCCTCTGGGTGCCCCAGTTTGGGGTACAGACCCTTTTCAGAAAGAAGCTGTCTTATGCCCTCCCTTCCAGGCTTGTCTCCTTGGCCCCCTGGCGGAGCTGCATATGACCTTGTGACCCCCTAGGGATGAGGGCCCTGACTCCCTGCACCGACCTGGGCCGTAGCGTTTAGAAGTGGGGGGAGGCAGGGCCAGGCAGAGCCGCTCCTGCTGAGCCGGGAAGCTACCTGTGGCTCTGCCCATCCCAAGCCTGGCTCTGGGGCAGCAGGGAGGGGCAGGCAGGTGGGGACCCTGCCTGGGCACCCCAGGTTGGCTGCGGGTGGGAGAGGCCTCCAGGGGCCGCCAGCGGGGCTAGAGGTCCCAGCTGTCCCCACAGTGCCTCTGTACCGGCTCTGCTCCCGGCAGACAGGCTGCTCTCGCTGACCCTCCTGGCTTTTGAAGGCCTGAACACGGCCGCCTCCAAAGACCGCTGCTTGGCCTGCATCGAGGAGCCCTTCTTCTCCCCGCTGTGGCCCCTGCTGCTGGCCGTGTACAGGTACGGCCCCGCCACGTGTGCGTCCCTGAGCTGCCTTCCTCCCAGGCCTCCTCAGGTGTTGCGCATGTGCAGGCGGTGCCACGCGCACCCTCCCACGGCTCGGGGCATGGCCAGCTTTCCCCAGCCCCGCCCCTGTCCCCTCCCGGGCGGGGCCCTGGGCCGCTGAGCCGGGCCCCTCTCTGCCGCAGGAGCGTTCACCGCCTGCGGGAGGCCGCCCTGAGCAGGAGCATGGAGCTGTACGGGAACGCGCCCCCGGCGGCCGTTGGCGTCCCCACCAAGCTCCTCCCCCGGGACCCCGAGGCCACAGCGGGCGGCGCCTACCCGTATTGTGCTGCCGCCCAGGAGCTAGGGCTGCTGGTCCTGGAGAGCTGCCCCCAGAAGAAGCTGGAGTGCATTGGTGAGGGGGGACGGTTTGGTTGGAGGAAAGGGAGAAGGGAGTCAGATGAGACAGAGTCGAGTCCCGTCCCGGAGGGCGACTGGAGTCTGCGCCTTCAGCCCTCAGCGGCAGGCCCTTCTCCAGTCCGGGGGGTGTGTGTCCCGTGGGACATGAGTGGTGGTGGTCCAGGCTCTGCCCAGACCTGCACGCGATGGGGGTGGCGCGGCGCCCGGGGCCGTACCGGGACGAGGTCCCCAGCCCCTCACCCGAAGCCTGGCTTCTGCGACGCAGTGCGGGCCCTGCGGGTCACCTGTGCCTGCGCGGAGGACTACTCCCGGGCTCGCGAGGCTGCGCCCCAGCCCGGCATCGCCGCCATGTGAGTCCCAGGAGGCCGCGGCCTGTGGTGGGGACTGGGCGGGAGGGGCTGCCTTCAGAGGCCAGGGGAGCGGGAACCCTGCCACCCAGGCCCTGGCCCCGGCGCCTCGGGCTCCCGCCCGGCGCCTGGCCCTGCTTCTCCTTGAGGAGAGTGCGGCCCATTTCCACCAAAGACCCCGGGCTCCAGCCCTGCTGACGACGCGGTCCGGCCCCTCGCTAACCTGGTGGCGTGTGCCCCCCTCAGGTGCATGCTTGGGGAAGCCGCCCCGGTCCTGTCCTGGGGAAGAGCCCGTCCCCTGTGCTGAGCCCCAGCCTGGGGTTCCTGCACTGCCCCTGCCCCAGCCTCCTGAGGTGGGCAGGGGTCTTCCCCACCTGGGTTCTGCCTTATCTCACCTGCACCAGCCTGTAGCCAGCAGCCTGCCCTGGCCCTGGCGCCCACCTGGGGCTGGTGACCCTCACCCTGTGCCAGAGACCGGGGTCGTCCTGAAAGCACCTGTCCTTGCAGCCAGCTGGGTGGGCTGCGGGGTCAGGCCGGGGGACCCACCTGGCTCTCACCGGCCACCATCACTATTGTACCATCTGGTCTCCGAAAAAGTTGCAGCAGGTGAAAGGGCCCCAGAACTGAAAGCATTTCCGAGTCCCAGCTGCAACCCCACGCTAGCGCTCTCTCTCTCCTCAGGACATCCAAGGAGTGGGGGGTGGGGGTCGCTGTGTGTCCCTGCAGGTGTGTGGCACCCAGCGAGGTGGGGGCAGGAGTCCCTGGTTGGTCATCAGGTTCAAACCAGTCTGCCGCCGTGCTCCTCGCCAAAAGTACTGGCCCGTGGGCCCTTCGCCAGGGTTTTGAGCATCCCCCGAGGCCTCCCTCCCTCACTTAGGTGCTTCTTGGGGAGGGTCTGGGGTACCTGGAGTGGTACGTGAGTGACCCTGATCCCAGGAGTGAGCAGGCTGCCTGGGACACGGGCTATCCTCTCCGTCCTCCCGTCCCAGGGCTCGGGCCAGCTCACGGGAGAGCTTCACCGTGGGGCCTCCTTGGTCCAGCCCTGGGCTCTGCGGCACAGGGTCCCCCTTCAGGATGGCCTCAGCGATCCCGGGTGGTCTCTTGTCACGCTGACCCAAGCCCACCCCCAGCCCCCTGAGGCCGGTGGGCAGGAGAGGCACGGGGACAGCATCCAGCAAGCCCAAAGCTACTCCAGGGACCTAGCTGGGAGGCTTCAGGGCTGTGGGGACTGAGCAGCGCCCCCGGTCCCTGGAGCCTCCTGGCCGGCTCTGCGTCTCCCCAACAGTGGCGCCGACGACCTGCTGCCCATCCTGTCCTTTGTGGCGCTGAGGAGTGGCCTCCCCCAGCTGGTGTCGGAGTGTGCAGCCCTGGAGGAGTTCATCCACGAGAGGTGGGAGCCTCGGGCCAGCGTGGGGGCTGAGCTCGTGCTCCCACCCATGCACGGGGCCCACGGCCCCTCTCCCTGCCCCTCACCCAGCACACCGCCCAGAGGAGCCAGGGGGCCATCCCCTGAGCAGCGTCTGCCTGGGGAGTGGGCCGTCCCCCAGCCCAGCGCCCTGACAGCCCGTGGGACCTCAGCATCCAGGTTCTGCCCCGCCAGGGCAGGTGCCCCTTCCAGAATGTCGGGGTCTCCTTGCATCCCTCCAGTGACAGGTGCTTGTGCCACCTCCGTGCAGGTACCTGATCGGAGAGGAGGGTTACTGCCTGACGTCACTGCAGAGCGCCCTGAGCTACGTGGAGCTGCTGCCCCGGCGGGCCCTGGGCAAGTAGCAGAGGACGGGCTGGCCAAGGACTGGCCCAGAGGCACCTGCGTGGGGCGGTGGGCTGGCCGAGGTGGGGCTCTCGCCCCCGCCTGACATCAGCCCCTAAGGCTCAAGGAGGCCCCTCTGCTCCGGATACGATGGGGCTGACCCGAGTCAGCTCCCAGGAACCAGACCCTTCTCTTTCCTGTCCCCACCTGTGAGAGGCCCCGTGCAGGGAAACTGGGCGCCCCTGGGGCCTGCACACTCCAATGGCTCAGTCCGCTGACACCCTGCAGGCCCCGCAAGCCCAAGGACAGAGGGGCCGTGGGCCTGACCGAGGGCAGGTCTGCTTCTCTCCCTTCCCGTCCCCTGTGACACGCGGAGCTCCCTGAGCCAGGTTCTTGTCTGAGTCGAGAAGAGAGCCTGTCACCCCACAAGAGGCCTGGGGCCCAGGTGGGTTTAGACTGTGCTGTTTATTGGTCACTGACCACTCTGTCCTGGAGACCCAGGTGTCCCCAGGGCACCCGCCCATGTGTGGGAGCTCTGAGCCACACTCCCACCCTTGGTAATGGGCACAGACATCCTGAGACCCCTGGCGAATCCCCACCCCCACTCAGCCACTTCAGGGTCGGTGTGAACCCAAGGGTTGGCGCCTGCCAGGAGCCCCACCACCTGCCCACCCTGACTGTTACAGGCCCCTGGGCAACCACTGACCCAGCTGGAAATAAAGAGGTCACTGGTGTCTCCGTCAGCGCGGCTCACCTGCTCCCCGTCCCACTGGCCGGGCGGAGGACTGGGCAGCACAGCCACTCCCAGCCAACCAGCCAGAGCCAGAGGGTCCCAGAGGCCCCTGGGGCCATCGCCAAGCCCAGCCTGCCTCCCAGACCTCTGCCCAGGAGTGGGATCCGTGGGGCTGCTCCTTCTAGCACTGGACACACTTGGGGGGGCCTAGCAGGTTGGCAGGGTCAGAGGTCATCACTGGGCAGGATCTGAGCCCGGACCACTCCTCCCGAAGGGTTCCCAGGAGTCATGTTGCTCTCCAGGTGGGGAACACACGCAGGTGGCCCGGCCCCAGCCCCAGGCAGCATCTGTCACCATGGCAGAAAGTGGTGTGGGAGCAGCGTGTGGGTCCCTGGGGAAGGCCCAGCTGGACCTGACTGTGTGTTCTGTGCACGCAGTGTCCCAAGGCTGTGCGGGAACCTCGTGAGGAAAGTGAGGCACAGAAGGGGAAACGCCTTCTCCAGGCCACAGCTCCCGGTGGCAGAGCTCTCTTTGAGCCCAGCAGGTTGACTCCGGAGGCCAGAGGGGGCCGGGGACGTGACCCCAAGGGAAGGCCAACCCGAGTTCCGGGGGCAGCTGCCTCTTTCGGGAGCCTTTGTGGGCAGGGGTCCCCTGCCCACCAGCACCCCAGGAACGACAGGCAGGCACCCGCCTGCTCACCCTGCCCTGCCCTCAAAGCTCTCAGTCCCTGAGTCCCTGCCCTCTCCAAAGGAAGCCCCCCAGTCCTGGACACGAGGCCCAGCCAGCCATGAAGCCTGGGGAGGATGACCCCCCTGCTCCAGGCCTTGGCGGTCTCAAGGATGGGATTTTAAGCCCCCTTTCATAGAGCAGGTGGACGATGGAGCGAAGCCTGACCGTGGGCGCTCCTGCTGGCTTTGGGGAGCTCTCTGGAGGCGCTGATCAGACGGCCTTCCTCCTGCTGGCTCTGGGCCAGTCCTTCAGCCTCTCCCAGCCTACAGCCGTTCGTAAGACGGTGAGTGATGGATTCTTCACACAGAAAATCCTCCAGATCAACACGAAAAAGGCAGGAGCCCCAGTCAGGAAAATAGCAACGGCTGTGAACAGGCTGTCTTCAGAAGAACTTTAAAAAGCTCATCAGCATAAGAAGAGGTGTTTAAAGTCATTTTTAAAATCAAGAAATGCAAATTAAAACACTTACAAGACAGACCTTCCCTTGCGCTGAACTGGTGAAGATGAGAAAGCTGGATGATCGGGAGAGTGGTGTTGCCTGGGAGACTGGACCCAGCCACACAGTGTGCAGCGTGCTGGGCGGTGGTCCGGGGAGCTGCGGTCCTGGCAAAGGTAGGTATTAACTGACCCTGCCACCCATCTGCTCCGTCCGGCTATAGCCCAGGGTCACAGGAGGACCCCTACGCAGCTGGCGCTGAGGCAGTGTGGCATCCACCCCCCCCCCTGCTGTGTAACAAACCAGCCCACTCACTGGCTTAAACATGGGACAGCCATTTGCTTTGCTTGTGAAACTCCCACCTCGGCAGGGTTCAGTGGGGACATCTTGTCTCTGCCCCACCTGCAGCATCAGCTAGGTCAGCTTCCAAGTTGGGGTGACCCAAGATCAAGGGGTTGGAGTCATCTGGAGATTTGTCTACATGTCTGCCATCAGCGAGGGCCTCAGGGCTGTGGGAACAGCCGTGGGAGGCCTGCATTCGTTTCCTGTAACTAGCTACTGGGGAGCTTAAAACAACAAAAATTTACTCTCAAAGCCCTGAAGTCAAGGCGTCCACAGGGCCGTGGCCCAGCAGAGTGCTAGACGAGAACCCTTTCCTGCCTCGTCCAGCTCCGGGGGTTCCTGCAGTCTCTGCCTGTAGCTGCAAGCCTCTGCATCCATCATATGCCTCCTCCCGAAGTATGTAACCTTGCTCCTTACAAAGACATCATTCTGACAGGGTTTAGGGTCCACCCTAATCCAGTCTGACTTCGTCTTAACTTGATTATATCTCCAAAGATCCTATTTCCAAATATGCTCACATTCCCGGGTTCCATGGATTTTGGACATTATTCGGCCCCTTCATGCAGCTGCTTTCCTCCCAATATGTGGCTAGGTCCCAAAATTGAGCGTCTCAAGACAGCAAGGCAGTTTTATGACTTAACCTGGAAAGCCACGCAACGTCACTTCCATTCAACGGGTCTTCTATGGGACTACTCCTCTAAGGGAGGACGGTGCAAAGACCTGCTCAGGTTCCAGTGGCACACTGAGACAGAGCATGCTCCCTGGAGTAGCACACAACAGTTAACAGCGAACACCTGGGGCCACGCAAACAGCACTCAGAGCGGGAGCGGAGAAGCAGGGCTGGATACAGAGCAGAACATCGGATCCGGTGCCTGGAAGCGACTCTGACCTAGGCAGAAAGGCGCCTTCACGCCGCCTCAAAGAGGCCCGGGTTGCTGATTTTTTGGGTTTTTTTGGTGGGGCGAGGAGGGTGCGGCGCCCCCAGCAGTGGGAGAGCGGAGTCCTAACGACTGGACCGCCAGGAAAGTCTCCTGAGGTTGCAGTTTTAAATGACGCTGAAACGCCCGGCCGGCTTCCACCTGGAGCGCTGGCCCCGCCAGAGGGCGGCTCGAGCCCTCCCTCCCTCCTTCCCGTATCTGGTCAATCCCGTTAGGCAACGAGAAGGGTCCTGTCACTGTTGGGGTAACCCCGCCCCCAGGAGATTGCCCCGCCCCGCGTCCGGTCCCCGCTCCCGGCAGGCGCACGAAGAGCCACGGTACCTGCTTCCTCGGCACCCTGGCGCTCCCGAGGGTCCAGCTCGGGAGGTCGGCGCCCGCCTCGGTGGGAGCGTCCGCGGTGTGCCCCCTGTCCTTGGCTCCGCAGGCCGTGGAGGTTCGTGCTCCCGGGCCCTCACCAGGCCCCGCCCTGTCCGCGTTGGCGGAGGGGGCGGTGCCCGAAGAGACCCCGCCCCTAACGTCACGGCCGAGGGGTGGAGCCGGCCCGACGGAAGCGAGGTGCTGCTGGAGAGGCCCGAACAGAGCAGCGGGCGCTCGGGGACTGCTGGTGAGAGACAGGTAGGGTTGTCGTCCTCCGGGCCCACAGCACGATCTGCTGGGCAAAGGGGTCTCTGTTCGGGAAGGGAGACTCAGGTGGCGTACGTCTCCAGGGAAGGGGGTGCTGTAGATACCAGGGGCGTACAGTTGGTGGGGGACCTGTGGATGCAGGCGAGGGCTCTCGAGGCGCGCAGCGGGCAGGGAGGGGCCTCTGCGTCCTGATACCCTATTCCCGCCCGCCAGCATGGGCAGCAGCTCGCTGTCCGAGGACTACCGTCTGTGCCTGGAGCGCGAACTTAGGCACGGCCGCGCGGCCGTGTGCGGGGACCCATCGCTACGCGCCGTGCTCTGGCACATCCTGGTGGAAGACTTCGACCTGCATGGGGCGCTGCAGGATGACGCGCTGGCACTACTCACCGATGGCCTGTGGGGCCGCGCCGACCTGGCCCCTGCGCTACGCGGCCTGGCCCGCGCCTTCGAGCTGCTGGAGTTGGCCGCCGTGCACCTGTATCTGCTGCCTTGGAGGAAAGAGTTCACCACCATCAAGGTAGGGCGCCGAGCCGAGTGGGGGCCCCTGCCCAGGCTACTGGGAGTTGGCTACCATCGGGACGGTGGCTACCGTCGGGCATAAGGGATTTCAGGTATCCTCAGAGGCTGATAGGTTTCAGAGAGTTCAGTGTGCTGAGGGGTCCTGGGCGTGTTGGAGCATCTCTTGGCCGATGTTCCCCTTTGTACTCCTGGGGCTGAGAACATGGGGTGGGTGGAGGTCACCTGTTTGGATACCTGCCTTCTGAGGGGGATCCTGGTCCTTAAAGCTTGCATCACTGCCCTCCCCAAAGTGGCCTTGTGGCCCCAGTTACCATAGAAATCCTAGGACAGGAACACAGGATGGACTGGGCATTCCAGGGTCACCCTAATCTCTCCAGGAGAGATTTGTGGCTCCATTTGTGGAAGAGGACATGGTTATCCTCTATGAAGTAGGCAGGGGCTGGGGGTGCCCCTGCATGTCCTAGTGGAGCCGGGCTAAACAAGTACCTAGCTCACCCCACAGCCTGGGTAGAGCTGAGCCCAGGGCTGGCCGGGCCCCTCCAGGTGAGCTGCAGGCTGGCAGGAGGGGGCAGGCTGCCTTGTGCTCTGAGCTAATTCAGAAGAGTGGGAAGGTAATGATGTCACTGGGCACGTGGGCGTCCGCCTCCACTGGTTGCCATGGCAGCAGCAGCCTCTCTCAGTGAGGTGAGCCGTGGAGCCCACTGCTCCACTGGGACACCTGCTGTTCTGAGGCTCTAGGACTTTCATTCATCGGTTCAGACGAGGGCAGGATGCAGCCCCATGGGGGGCCAAGAGCAGAACAGACAGGCCTGATCTTGACACGCTCACGGGCTTCAGCACTGGGCAGACCTGGATGGGGTCTGCTTCTGCCGGCTCTGTGGCTTGGGGCAAGTTACCTAATCTTTTGGAATCCATTCCTTCCTCCATGAAGCAAACACGAGGACAGTCTAGCACAAGGTCCATTGTGAGGGGTGAGAGCACAGCCCTGAGCACAGTCTTACAGCAGTGCCCCATCTGTGGAGGTCCTCTCATTAGCTGTAAGCAAAGGTACACTCACAGGGTCCCAGGATCAAAGACCTGTAGACACGCGAGACACACGTTATCACCATCCTAGGGACGCTTCTAGTTCCTTTGCAGCCTGGAGCGTCCAAAAACTACAGATGTTCCATCCGTGTGGTGGAAAGCTGCACAGCTGGAAAAGTGAATGGCTAGGCCTCTGTCGTGTTAGGGAAAGCTGTCAGAAACTGGAAAAGCAGAGTTCAGAATGAGGCGTTTAGGAGGCTACCTGCTCAGAGCAAATAAGCACCTGTATTCTTTGTGTGTTTGCATGACCACTCAGCAGGTACACGGGAAACTAACTAAAGTAGCAAACCCCCACAGGTGAGAGGAGGTGGAGAGGACCCAGAGGGCAGCGAGATTTCTCAACAGGGCCTGTTTATTTAGTTTGTTCTATGACCCAGGTGAAATGTGTTAGATTAAAAAATTGTGATGCCTGGGCCTACGTCAGCCAGTGAGATCAGAGTTTCTGGGGGTGGCCCTGAGCATCTATGGTTTTTTTGTTTTTGGCCGCACAGCTTGCGGGATTTCAGTTCCCCGACCGGGGACTGAACGCAGGCCCCAGCAGTGAAAGCGCCAAATCCTAACCACAAGACCACCAGGGAACTCCCAGCATGTATGTTTTTAAACAGCTCCTCTGGAGGGAGCATCAGCACATCCCAGACCGCCTTGGGGCCATGCTGCCCCCTGGGGTGAGGATGGTGGCCCCCAAAGCAAGCCACTGCCAGAGTGCAGCTGAGGCGGGGGCAGGTCTGCGGGAGGGTGGGCTGCCGCCGACCGACCCCCTCCCTTGCAGACTTTCTCAGGGGGCTACGTGCACGTGCTGAAGGGCGCACTCTCGGAGGACCTCCTCATCCAGAGCTTCCAGAAGATGGGCTATGTGCGCAGGGACGACCACCGCCTTATGGTGGCCGCCCTGCCCCCTGCCCGCCAGCTTGTGCAGGTGGCCCTGGGCTGCTTTGCCCTGCGGCTGGAGTGTGAGATCCTGGGCGAGGTGCTGGCGCAGCTGGGCACCAGCATGCTGCCAGCCGAGGAGCTGCTGCAGGCGCGGCGGGCCAGCGCGGATGTGGCCTCCTGCGTGGCCTGGCTGCAGCAGCGGCTAGCCCGCGAAGAAGAGCCACCACCTGTTCCCCCCCGTGGCTCCCCGGCCCGGTGCCAGGCCCGGCTGGACCTGTACCGGGACCTGCAGGAGGATGAGGGCTCAGACGAGACCAGCCTATACGGGCGAGCCTCGCCAGGCCTCGACTCACCCCCCTCGGAGCTAGCCTGCCAGCCTCTGTTCTGGGAGCAGAGCGCCAGACTGTGGGGCGTGGGGGGCGGGGCCTGGGAGGCTGAGGCCAGCAGCCCGGCCTCGGAGGAGGAGCCCGAGGCCGAGGCCTTCTCCCTCCTCTCACTGCGCCAAGAGCTGCTCAGTCGGCCCGGAGACCTGGCCGCCCCCCAAGCCCCTGGCACCCCTGAGCAGGCCAGCCCCCCACGAGTCCCCGAGCCCCCCGGCTACCAGACACACAGCTGCCTGGGCCCTGGCGCCCTCCCCACCCTCTGCTGTGACACGTGTCGCCAGCTGCACACTTCCCACTGTGCCACCCTGGCCACCTGCCGCCTGGGCCACCCTTTGCGCGCCCTGCACGGAAACCACCAGCGGCGCCTGTGGCTGCAGCGAGCCCAGGTGGACACCTTGCTCTACGATGCCCCTAGGCCCGCCTGGCCCTAGGCCCAGGGCTTTCTGGAGACATGTTCCGTGGTGCTTTTCTGGGCCTCATCCCTCCTCAGACCCGGGCCACTGGCCACCCTGCTCCTCCTGCCCCCCCAGGGGTGCTGAGCACAGCGGCAGGTCGGGGGGCATGGAGACTCAACCCCGCTACGTGAGAGGTGGGGGCCGTCTTCCTCGGAAAGCTGCCGGCCCGCCCCCAGGGAGCACCGTCTCCCTCCTCTCCCACCCCTCCCCGGCCCCACCACTGGCCCCAGCGCCGCAGCTCCTGACCTGCTCCCTGCAAGTGCCCAAAGGGGTGCTCCACAGAGGAGTGTCCTTAGGGGCTCAGGTGACCTCATGAGCCCCGGAGCTTTGCTAAGACCATTCTAGGGGCTCTGCCAGGTGCATGGCTGACCCGGCTGAGGGGACCTGGTCCCCCATGGGTGTCACAGACCAGCACTGAATGAGCTGAGTGCTGGCCTGAGACCAGCCCCATGGGCTCCAGTCAGAGCCGGGCGGGGAAGCTGGACCCAAGGACAGAAGAGAAATGATCTAGTCTCCAGCCAGCGTGAGTGCCCAAGAGTTCCAGAGAACAGCAGGCGGGAGACAGGGAGCCACGGAGCCCGAGAGGCTGTCACCCCACTTCCGGGTGGAGCGTGGGGGCTTCTGAGCAATCAGTACCCCAGCAGCCTCCCTGCTACATCTTCCTGCTGTCCGGCTTCGGAAGGCAGGGTGAGAGATCTCCAAGGCTCCCACCCCAGAGCCCACCTGGGTCCCGTGGTAAAGATGCACCAGCTACCAGCCGCCAGCCCGCTCACAGGGCTGGAGGGGGTGGGTCTGCCCACCTGGGCCTGGGGTGGGGCCAGTCTTGTGTGTGGCCCCTCCCCCCACACCTGTCCGTCACGCGAATCACAACTTCAGAGTACATTAAAGGACGCTGGATCCAGCTGCGTCTGTGAGGAAAGCGTTTATCTCTCCGAGGCCCAACCATGTCCCTCCCTCCCCAGGAGCCTCAGTGGGGAGTGGGGACAGGGCACAGCCCCCAACCCAGGGCTGTCCCTCTGGTGGGCTCAGAGCTGCCCAGACTCCAGTCCACCCAGCTGGCGGCACCCCACACCCCACCCCTCCTTCCCACTCTGAGTCCTGCAGCCCCAGCGGGGGGTCACTGTAGCCTCTCCCTTCCCAGGCCGACCCTGGGGATCAAGTGGGGACAAAGGTGACCACGTGGGGTCTGCTCGTCCCAAGCCAGAGACACCTCCTGAGATGGGCCCAGCCAAATTTCCTCCTGGGAAGTGAGGGTCTGAGGGCTTGGCAACAGGTGGACCCAGCCCAGCCACCAGATGGCAGAGCCACGAGATGACAGAGCCACCAGGTGGCGCCCGGCAGGGTGTCTGGGCCTGCAGGACGCACCCACCGGCATCCCCCGTGTCCACACGCTGCCGTTCTGGGGCAGCGGTGGGCAGAGGTGCAGGAAGCGGTGCAGTCAGCTGGAGGAGCTGGTCGGTCCTGGCTGAGGGACAGGCCGGGCCGCAGGGGCCCCCACCCTCAGGGCTTGCAGCGCCGGCTCTGGCTCTCAGCGCCTGAGGATGTGGCCGGGGCAGCACGCTTGTTGCGGTGGTGGGGGAAAGTGGGCATGAGCTCCGGCTCGCAGGCTGCAGGGAGGGGGCTGCTCAGCGCCGGGTGGGGAGGGCCCCCCACGCCTCCCTCTGCTCCCCTCCTGGCCCTGCACGCGGTTCCTGCGGCACGAGCAGCCCGTGCCTGCTCAGGCCCCACTGCCCACCTGCCCAACAGTGGCCCCAGCCCGGACACGGACCCCCAGCCAAGCGCCGGCCAGGGGGCGGGGGAGACTCACGCAGGGGCTTCTCCTTGAAGTAGGAGCTCTCCAGGCAGTCGCCGGCCGTCGCCCTGGAGAGAAGGCCTTGCCGTTCGTGGGGCCCAGGCCTGGCCGAGGCCCATCTCCCTCACACCCGCCCCGCACGGCAGACAGCTGGGTGGCAGGTAGGGATCGGGGGCCCAGAAACCGACAGGAGCCTCAGAAAGGGCTTCATGACCTGGGTGGGCAGAGGCCCCGGCCTCACAGGCATGTCTGGGACCCGCAGGCCGGGTCAGCACCTTTTCTTGGGGTCGTACATGAAGAGCAGGTTCAGCAGGCGCAGGCCGGCCTCCGAGAGCCACGGGAACTTGTGCTTCAGGTTGTTGTAGGGCTGCTTCCTCAGACTGTACTGGCTCACCAGTGGCAGCTGGGAGAAGCCCTGTGTGGGGGAGGGGGAGTGGCAGCTGCAGGCTGGCGGCCGGCAGGGGGCAGGAGAGGGGAGGGCAGGGCCGACACTCACCGGCCAGATGTTCTCACTGGGTGTCCCCAGCAGCTGTACGATCAGGTCCACCTGGTGGATCTCGGAAGCGCCGGGCAGAAGGGGCTTATGGGCCAGCAGCTCGGCCAGGATGCAGCCCACGGCCCTGCAGAGGAGCACGGGGCCTCGCCTCAGCTCCTCCGGCCCCGCAGAGCACCACTCCGCCGGGCCTCGGCCCCCGGGGTGCTGGGGTCAGAAGCCGGGGGCAGAGCTGGGAGGAGGCCACGACGGGAAGGCAGGTGACCACTGGGTTCTCCCCCCGGGCCACGTGAGCTGGCACCAGCAGGCCTCTCTGAGTGGCCACAAGGGCGGGTCCTCAGTGATGGGGGCCGTGAACGCTGAAGCCGTCTTACACTGCCTCTCGGGACCCCAGGCGCAGGCCCACCTTCCTGGGAGTTGGGAGGCTGGTGCGATCCCAGCCCCACTCCTGCCCCGCCAGCTCCCACAAGACCACCCCGCCCTGCCCAAGGCCCTGGGTGCATCCACCCCTCACCACATGTCGATGCTGGTGGTCTGCGTGGTGGTCCCCAGCAGCAGTTCAGGGGCTCGGTACCTGCGAACAGGAGCCCCCACCTTGGGTCTGGCAGTTCCTCTCCTCTGGCCCGGCCTCCACGAGGCACTGTGGCCCTGCACCAGCCTACCCACCGGCCACCCCTCCCTGAGAGCCAGAGTCAGCCTGGGCGATGGAGCATGAAGCCCAGCTCAGCTGTCCCTTCCCCTAACCCGACAAGCACGACAGCACACGAGGCAGCGCAGCAGGGTCCTGTGCTGGCCCGTCCTATACAGGTCGGGGCTGAGCGACACACGGCAGAAAGCATCCTGCCCTAAAGCACAACCCCATTCTTCGAAATGTCGAGTGAGAAATAGTTACAGAGGACATGCACTGTTCTGTCCTCGCGTCGGTGGAGCCACCGCCCCTTCCGAGCAGCTCAGAGCAGCGCCCCGTCTGGACGGGGCAGGTCCTTCCCAGTGGCAGCCCTGCTCGGCCTCAGGAGCCATCCACACCCAGCCTCTGAGTGTGTGCAGCCCCACAGCTTAAAATCCTCCAAAGTCCTTGAGCAGCTTCAGCGTGACCCCCCCACTTCCCATGGTCCCCAGGGACTCACCAGAGGGTGACCACCTTGGGGGTCATTGGCTTCAGCGGGATGCCATAGGCCCGGGCCAGGCCGAAATCCGCTGGACAGACGGGAGGGACAGTGTCACCCAGTGAAGACTGTCCACTGACGTTTGCAACCAGCTTGTAGCGTGCAGGGTGCTTATCGGGACCGGCCTGCCGCCCCGTCGAGGTGGCGCTCATGGAGGCCCCCACCAAAGAGCCAGCACCTGCACCCACCTGTCTTCACGCAGCCCTTATCCGTCATGAGCAAGTTGGAGACCTTCAGATCCCTGTGACAAAAAGAGAACACCAGTGCTTCCCAGGAAACTGCGTGGGGAAAGAGGCTGTCACCGTCGCAGTGACGCTTAGAACATTTCCCCATACGTCTCCTCCTGTTTGCACTTTTTTATTTTTTTTATGTGGACCATTTTTAAAGTCTTTACTGAATTTGTTACAATATTGCTTCTGGGTTTTTTTGGGGTTTTTTTTTTGCGGTACGCGGGCCTCTCACTGCTGTGGCCTCTCCCATTGCGCAGCACAGGCTCCGGACGCACAGGCTCAGCGGCCATGGCTCACGGGCCCAGCCGCTCTGCGGCATGTGGGATCTTCCCGCACCGGGGCACGAACCCACGTCCCCTGCATCGGCAGGCGGACCCCCAACCACTGTGCCACCAGGGAAGCCCTACTGCTTCTTTTTTATGCTTTGGATTTTCTGGCCACGAGGCATGTGGGATCTTAGCTCCCCGACCAGCGATCGAACCCACACCCCCTGCATTGGAAGGCAAAGTCTAAACCACTGGACTGCCACGGAAGTCCCTGCACTTCTTAAAAATAAGGACGGCAGGCAGTGCAAGGCGATTTGGCAGCTGGGAACACCAGAGAGAGCTCTCAGTAACTTTCTGAGAAACTGGCAGAGGCGGCCTTGAGCCCAGGTCTGACTTCCAGGGCTGTGTCTGATCCCCACCCAGGCCATGCGAGCCACCGAGGGCACACGGAACTGCTGCCTGCAAGGTCCTGCCCAGGCCTGCAAGACCCTCCCCTCTGCCCCTCCAGTCTCTGCCCTTCCTGGCCTGCCTTCCAGTAAGGCTCTCTCCAAGGCAGCACTTCTCAGAGCCTGACTCGCTCACACCATCGGCCCCCCAGAGGAGAAAACAGGTATTATCTGCTCCTGGACCATCCGCCAGGAGCAGTCACAGAACCTCTACTGCATCGAGGCTGTGCCTGCTCCTCTCCTGGATACTGGGCAACGTCAACTGGCACTGGGTCAGTACTGGCAGTCACACTTCCCCCATGTCACAAACCAGCACTCCTCTGGAAAAATGTCTCCTGAGGCCCCGCCCCCTTCCAGGCCCGTGGACCCCGCCCACCTGTGGATGATGAAGTTCCGGTGCAAGTACTGGAGGCCCCGGAGCACCTGCAGCACGATGCACTTGACCTGTAGAGGGCCAGGATGCAGGGTCAGGGCAGCCTGCGTCTGCCACAGTGCGCCGAGCAAGGACTTGGGAAGCCCGCCACCAGAGCCCGCAGCCTCAAACCTGCGCCTCAGAGAAGGGTGTCGGCATGTTCTCCAGAAGGCTGGCCAGGTCCTGCTCACAGTAACCCATCACCAGGAAGATGCTGAAAAGAAGAGGGGGAAATGCAGGCCACCTCCCACCTCCTCCCAAGTGGGCCAAGGGACCCTCCTGGGGCAGCAGGAAGGGCAAGAGAGAGGGGCGGGCAGGACCCAATGCGGGGGCAGCAAGCGGCCCACTCACCTCTCCAGGTGGTTCCCCACAACCACCTCCTTCAGCTCCACGATGTTCGGATGGCGGAGGCGAAGGAGAAGCGTGATCTCTCGAAGGCTGCTGATGGGGACCCCTGCAACCCAGCGTGGCCTCAGCGAGCCCACCCCTGCAGTCAGGACCCCCTGACAGCCTCTGGGACCCCCACCCTTGCAGACAGGGACCCCTGACAGCCTCTGTGACCGCCCCCTGCAGACAGGGACCCCTGACAGCCTCTGTGACCCCACCCCCGTGCAGACAGGGACCCCTGACAGCCTCTGTGACGCCCATTCCTGCAGACAGGGACCCCTGACAGCCTCTGTGAACCCCCCCCTGCAGACAGGGACCCCTGACAGCCTCTGTGACGCTCCCCTGCAGACAGGGATCCCTGACAGCCAGCTACTCGGTGAGCCCCCAACCCCTGTCTACATCCCCTCTCAGGGACCCCCATGCCCGCCGCTGTCAGGGCTCTGCCTGCTACTTCAGGGAGAAGCAAGGCCATCCTAACCAGCACCTTTAACTTTTCCCTCCTTCATCAAATGCAAGCAGCACTCTGTACTGACCCCTGTGCATGGCAGGTGGCCCCCAGTGCGCCCAGCACAGCCCTGCCTGCACAGGCAGCCACGGGGCTGTCGGCAGGGCGGCATGGAGCACACAGGTGCTGCCGGCTCAGTCTTGGGTGGGAAAGCCCTGTGGAGGGGTGACGCTGAGCTGAGACAGAAGATGAGGCAGTCATTCAATGGGAGGGTGAAGGGGATGAACCGCACAGGGCTTGGGGGGGCTGAGGCCTAGACTGTGTGGCAGGGGCCAGGCTGCAGCCCCAGAGATCAGCCTCCTTTGACCATCATGCAGACACCCTTGGGAAAGCAGGTGCGACTCGGGGGGGGCCTCAGGCAACTCACACCTTCCTCCCCCTCCCACGTGAGCTCAGAGTGGTCCGGCGGCCCCTCCGCGCTCACCATCCTTCTCCTTGTCCATCCGCACTTTCTTCAGGGCGACAATCTCATCCGTTTGGGTATCCCGGGCCCTGTCTGCAATGGAAACTCCTCCAGGATAGGATCCAAGCCCGACCCCAGCGTGTGGCCTCCTGCCCCACAGGGGCTCCCTTCTCTTCCCCCTTGACTGCTGGGTACCCTGTGACAGCCCGTCCACACTCCTCGCAAGCAGCACCCGACCCTGCGAGATGTGCTCCCTGGGGAGTCCTCTGGCTTGAGCTGGTACAGGGTCCCTGGTTGTGAGAAGCTCCCTGTAAGTTTTCCTTCTTAGAGCTGGTATGCAGATCACTGCTTTGTGCTCTGCGGTTACTATGTTCTAACAGCAAATAAGGTAGCTTATCTTGAGAAAGGAACTCTTATTTTGTCAAAGTTGGCTCCCCAGAGCACTGTGCTCGATTGTGCTTCTTCCACACCCGTAGCCGCTTGACGCACACCGGTGTCCCAGCTACTGTGGACGCAGCTCTGGCTGCTTCCCGCGGTGTGTACTTTACGGCTATAACAGCTACCTCTACTCACGGGCACACATTAGCAACCTGATGCTTGTGTTTATTCAGGCGTGCTGTGAAATCTATGGCAATTACACCAGGGATTAGAGGTCACCTGTCCCCTCCTTCCAGCCCCGCCACAGCTGCTGCTGGGACAGTCCCTGGGCGCCCAGGCCTCCCACCGTGGCCACTCACACACAATGCCGTAGGTGCCTTCCCCAATGCGGTTCAGCTTCTCAAACTCCTTCACGCTCCGGCACCGTCCCAGCTGAAAGAGAGAGGTGCTGGCGGTGAGGGGATCCGGCAGCTAATGGAGCCAGAGATGGATATGGACACGCAATTGGTACCAAAACGCCAGCTCGTGTCCTGCTCACCAAACAGAAAGGTCACCACACACCTGGGTTTGCAGGTGAGAAAATGGGGTGATGATGCTGGCCTCTTTGAATGTGATATCAAAGACGCTCTAACCACTCCCTTTCAATTCCATGGTCCAGATGTGTGCTGCCCAAAAGGAGGAACTGCCAGCCACATTTGGTTAAAATTAACTAAAATGAAAGTAAAAGTCCATTTCTTCAGCTGCATAAGCCATGTGAAGCGCTCCATGGCCCCACGCAGCTTGTGGTGACCATCCTGGACGATTCAGAAAACAGAACATTTCCACCATCACAGAAAGTCCCCTGAACAGCACCGCTCTAAATTATGCTCTGGGGTTTTCTCCAGCAGTCCACTGGATAGAACTCCGCACTCTAGGTGCCGAGGGCCTGGATTCAATCCCTGACTGGGGGAACTGAAATCCCACAAGCTGCAGGGGGAGGCCATAAATAAATAAATAAAGAAGCAAGCAAGCTCTGGACGTGGAAAAAGCTTGAAGAACTTCTCAAAGCATCTACCAAGCACAGTGGAAACACTTCTGCAGCAAAAACTGTCTCAATCATCCACACGTTACTTCTTCCTTTGGGTTATGAAACTGCCCAGGGGCACATAGCCACCCAGCTGGTGGCCATAGTTCCCAGCCTCCCTTGCAGCTGGGTGTGACCATGTGACTAAATCCTGGCCAATGGGATGCGGGCAGAAGGGACAAGTGCAACTTTCTGATCAAAGGAGGCTGCTTGCTGCTCACTCCTTCCTGCCCCTTGAGGCAGGCTGGGATTTGGGTGGGGCACAGGTGAAGCAAAGAGACAACCTGAGTGCCTGGCCCACCTGTGAGACGTTAGGGGAGCCAGAAATAAAGTCCTGTACTTACGCCACTGTATTTTGGGGTCTCCATATTCTAGCAGAGAGCCTGTACCCTAATACACCTTCAGTTGTAGCAGAATCAATGAGCACCTCCCCTTGGGTCGGAGAAGCACGTGCGGCAAGGTTCAAGTTCTAAGAGCCCTTCTCTGGACTCCCTGCCTCTATGTATCTTGCCCTCCATCCTGGGGAACGGAGTCAGAGTCACCTGGCCTGTACTTAAGCCCTTCCACGGTTTCAGCTCAACCTAGTTGTCCTCTCTCTCCCGTGACCCCCTGGTGCTTCTTGTGCGCTCTGTGCTTCGCGGGACTTTGCTCCTGCTGCTGCCCAGGTCTGGCAAGAACCCTCCTCGTCTCTGCGTGTCCAAAACGCACTCACATTTACCCGCCCAGCAGAAATGCTACCGCTTTGCAAAACTGCTTCCTGGCCCCCAGCTGAAAGCATTCTTTCTCTGAAAAATCCCGACACTTCCGTCTCACAGCACCTACTATTGTGCACTGTCCTCGTCCGGGTATGTCTTAACTCCCCACTGAGAGCAGCTGCTGCGTGTCTCGGTGATGAACGACGGCGGCGGACGGCTCAAGGCGGGGGTCCTGCGTTCACTCAGCCAGCATGTTAGGATCCTTACTGGGCACTGAGGCGGCCTCTCAGAGCACCAGCAAGTGTTTAAAACAATCCGCCGCCAGGGTTCACACCAGCCCCTGCACGAGCCGTCTACCTTGGAGAAACCACCCAACGCCCATAAGCTTCACTCCCCTCACCTCTACAAAGGGTCCCCGAAAGGACTAAGTGACAGTTACACACGCAGAGGCCCCACACGGAGCAAGGCACAAACGAAGCTGCCGGGTCACAGGTGGGGCCCCGCGCCCAGTGCACCCACAGCCCGGTGGGAGACACGCCTCCAACTCTTCCCATGGCTACTGTCTCCCGACACAAGGCGCCCGTCCCCGGCACAAAGCTAAGAAACGCCCGCGCTGCAGCGCGCTCTTGCTTAGGCGGCCGGAGGCCAGAGAGCCGGCCCTTCCCTCGCGCGGGCGTGACACGCCCCGGGGTCTGCAGACCGGCCGGGACCGGAGTCCCGGGCGGCCGCCGCCGGCTTCCGCGCCCGTCGCGAGGAGCTCTGGGACTGTCGTTCCCGCTCTCGCCGGAAACCTGGCGCTTTAGCGCGACACTGAGGGCCCCAGTGCGTTTCGGCTCCGCCCTGCCGCCGGCGAGGACACAACTACCCCGAGCAGCCCGTCGTCGCACCCTGTGCTCTGGAGGCACCGTGAAGAAGCCTTCCTTACGGATACACTTCAGACGGATCTGTTCCGGCTCCGGCTCCGGCTCCCCCATGCCGAGCTCAGCCCCACCCCACCCCACCCCACCCCCACCACTTCCCATGTGCGTAGGCGCAGACGGGTGTTCCTCGGAGCAAGCGCATGGCCTACTTCCGGGGCGTCCCCTCCTCAGCAACGGTTACCAAGGAAACCTCCCGAAGACCCCACCCCACCCACGAGGACCTCAACTCCTACGATGCACTCGGACTACCAAGGTTCTAGCTTTAGTTTTTTTTTTTTTTTTTCCAGTACGTGGGCCTCTCACTGTTGTGGCCTCTCCCGTTGCGGAGCACAGGCTCCGGACGCGCAGGATCGGCGGTCATGGCTCACGGGCCCAGCCGCCCCGCGGCATGTTGTATCTTCCCGGACCGGGGCACGAACCGGTGTCCCCTGCATCGGCAGGCGGACTCTCAACCACCGCGCCACCAGGGAAACCCTACTTTAGTTTTAAGTGCGGGCACGTGACCGCGCTGGGGCGCTGAGTAACGGCCGCCGGAGGAGGAGGCCGAAGTCCGGGGGGCTGCAGTGGGGTGGGGGGGTGGCTGCGGGGGCCGTGGCGGCCGCGGGGCCGCGGGAGCTGTGCTGTAGAGCTCTCCCTTGGAGCATTGGAGGGCTGACCTGGAGCCAGGGAGGGAGGAGGCTCGGGCAGGGCCAGTGGGGACCGAGAGCAGAGGGCGCGTCCGAGAGCTGTGGAAAGAACTGACAGGACGCGGCGACGGAGGGACTGTGGGACCAAAGGGTCACCTAACACATCCGTGTTGAGCACCCAGTACGTGGTCGGCCCTGTCAGGCTCTGCCCTGGCGGACCTTACATTCCAACTGGAGGCGGTAAACAAGGTAAGTAAAGCAGACGGCGTGCTAAGGAGAAAAACGAGGCAGGGCAGTGAGTGGCCCGTGTAGGAGGAGGGGTGCAGCTTCTCCTGTCACGGGGACTATACTGTAAATGATAAAATGATGCGAATGTAAGTTCAGGGCGTTTGATAATTATGAAATTAAATAATCATGAGTCAAAAGTATTTAATTTAAACTAATTACCACATTCAGTTCATTCTGGTGGGTTTTGAATTCTGATAAGCTAAGCTCACGGCTAATAATGAGATTAGAATTAATGCCATGGTAAGTATAGTTTGGGGATTATTTGTTTGAGATGCTCAGGGCAGGGGTAGGAGGAGGGCAATTTCTAGGTCATCTAGTAGAAATGCAACAGCTACTAGAAACTTTATAGAGAAGGAGAGGCATGCTGACCCAATGGGTTCAAATTCGAATACCTTTGTGTGGGCTTGATTTTTCTGTATAAATATTTAGTCATGGCAGTCAGGATACATAAATAAACATACTAAATAAATACAAATAAGGATGTTGATAATATGTTAGTAAACAATGTCAATATGAGATTTCTTTTTTCTTGGGTTATACCAAAACTCATGGATTGAAAGTCACTTGTACTGTTTACTACTAAAGAATATGACCCTCATCAATAGACAGAGACAGACCATGTGTACGGCCTGCTGATCGTTCCAGGAACGAAGGAAGCTGACATATACTGTCATCAGACTAAACGTTTGAGCTCGGACGGGCAGGGCACTCTCTCCAGCCACCCCGGAGGAGAATGGACTCTGACCCAAGGGCTGCCGGTGAGGATGGACAGCTGAGGCTGGGGGTCCCCTGAACAGCCCCTCCCCCCCAGGAGCCCTCAAACACAGCCAGAAAGAGGGGAAGTTGTCAGTTCAACTCACCTTCTCCCAGGGCAGCTCTGACAAAGCCACTTCCACAGTTCTAAGCGCCATGGCTGCCACCACTCCTGCATCCACATTCTTCTTCTGGATCCTATAATACCTTGCATCCCTACTACTCAAGCTAGGAGCCCTTGGACCCTCCAAGGTGACTGTGCACTTCCCTGTTCTGGGACCTAACCACCTGAAGGTTTCATCCTCAGAGTGCGACCTTTTGCTCAAGGGTGGGGGCACCTCCTCCACTGTAACTGCTGAGTGCTTACGCCATGCTCCTTCAGAAGCGAACAGGAAGGGTTCTAATGCCCACCCAGAGTCAGCAAGAGATGCTGCCTGCTGCCAGTTCATCACTCTGCACAGCCAGACAGCTCCGACAGGGTCATCTCTTCACCGATTACCCCAGAGCCACTCTTGCCCTCTGCCAAGCTGCCTGCGGCTTTGGAGAAGCTGGGGAGAGCCTTGTTTACTGAAGGGGCACCTGCAGCTTTCCACAGGGTAGGGCAGCCCTTTGCCATCACCTCTGAGACTCAGAGCACAGGGAGTGACTGCAGCTACTGGGGTGCCTGTTTATTCTTTGGTCTGTGAATTATAGGCGTCTACCGTACTGGGGTTCCTGTGTCGGTAGAAGGGGCCCGGTTCAGCCCTTTCCCGAATGGTCCTCTGCTCCTCCATTCCTGTGGAACCGTAGCTGATCAGAGTCTCTTTTGAGGCTGTGGTGATGACAATCTGGGGGATGGCAAATTTCTTCTCTTCTGAATTTACATCAGGTTTCTCTAGAAGGAAGGAAACATCCGGGTATTTCATAAGTCTGTGGAAAAACTCTTCTGTAAAACAGACAATGTCTGTGTTAGGGCCAGAGCAAAGGAATTAGGTTCGTGGCTCAGGAAAAGAAATGGGTGAGGTTGAAAGCAGTCAAAACCGTAAGTGAACATTCCAAAGCTTACACCAACCGGCAACGCAGCCACGCAGTGGTGACCCTGGAGGCCTCCTTCCAGGAGGGGAACGGACAGACACCCGCACCGTCCCCGTGGAAAGCCTGAGCTGCCGGGCAGCCGGGGTGACAGACGCAGGAGCGAGACCTGGGAAAGGCAGGGTCTGCCCCAGAGGTGAAGGTTCAGACACACAGTGTGCAAAGGATTCTCTGCACAGAGCTTCATCAGGCAGGGCGCTCTAGAAATGGACGCCACAGCGTTTTCTCAAACTTGTCAGGATTACCAGGAACACATGGGACGTGTGAAACGTTACAAAGTACAAAAGCGGAAGCCCCTTCGCTGCCTCCACCGCCTCACTTCCCGGCCTGCTCCCTCCGTTCAGGCCTGTGTGTCCCCGTGTGCACACACGTGTACTCCACAGACTTAGAACACTGAATACCCCAGGAACTCAGCTATACGGGGGATGAACAGGTGCCCGTCCTGTGCTAGATGTTGCTCTGAGCCCTAGAATAACAACTGCACGTTTCTGAGATAGGTCCTCTTAAGACCTACGTTTTACAGACGAAGGAACTGAGGCACAGAGGGTTGGTTCAGTCACATGCCCAGGGCTGGTGGGAGAGGGAGACGCCGGGTCCCAGGCGGTCGGGTCCAGAGCCACCTCAACCTTCAGCGCTGCAAGCATGGCTTCAGTCGTTCTAACCCGCTGCCGATGGCCCACGGCCTGCACTGAGCACTGACAGTATCCTTTCTTTTCATTTTTATCATTAAGCCAAATGTGCATTTCATCGTATTTTGGATTTAATTTATTTTTTTAAATTTATTTATTTAATTTATTTTTTGCCGTGTTGGGTCTTTGTTGCTGCACGTGGGCTTTCTCTAGTTGTGGTGAGCGGGGGCTACTCTTCGTTGCGGTGCATGGGCTTCCCATTGCGGTGGCTTCTCTTGTTGCAGAGCACGGGCTCTAGGCGTGCAGGCTTCAGTAGTTGTGGCACAGGGGCTCAGTAGTTGTGGCACACGGGCTC